TTTACCAGGGTTATAAATATAGGTACTAACCAGTTACATCCAGTAGGATGATGTGGGATGATCCCCCAGAGAAGAAATCAGCGCCGCTGATTGGCGTTCGCCATGTTGGTTGCTTCGGTAAATCAACGGAAAACGATGGAAAGATCCAGCATTTTATAGCTGGGTAAATCAACGAACTTTCTAATCTATGGCCATGTTCAAACTAGTGATTTTGACATAACCAGAGGGTAGCTCTAATCATTGTGGCCCAGTACTTCAAAATGAGGCGCGGGTTTTTTTCCTGCCCTATTTTTCAAAGGATATCCAACTTGGACCCCGCGACCGAAGTCTTTCCAGGATATCATTCTTGGCAGACAAGAAGATTCAGGTGCAGGGAACCAGCAGGTCACCCACCACCATGGTTGCTTGGATAAGAAACACCCTCTTTAATGTCAACCCTGGATTAAGAAACCGCTAGGCTGTTAGGGGGTACCAATTCAGTAACAGTATCATATGAAATCACTTATGTAAAGACTGAGATTGGCAGTCACACAGTACTTGTGCAAAAGTTATTGCTGATGAATAAAGGTGCAATACACCCCAGGAAAAGCTGACTTTGCTTCTCAAGGATCCTCCGTTCTCAATCCACAATCATGTACTACATGTACAAACGGTCGATTTTTCAGTTGGTCACATTATCCACATAATAGAACTATGTATATATATACATGTATTATTTACCAGATTGTCCATGTATGCTATCTTCAATTATCGATTTCCCCTCAAGCAAACCAACTGTGAGCAACTACAAATGTATGATGTATGTTCCAAAAAAACAAAAAATGTAAGTGTACCAAGATTAACTATTGATTATTGGGTAAAACAGCATTTGTAAGGGTACTTAAAGAGTCTAGGTAGTTCTATCTCATTAATTCAATGATCCTTTTTTCCATGATTCGACGTAGAATTGTCTCCACTTCCTGATGTTGCAGGGGCTGGAAAAGACGATGTCTGGGATATTCTCGAGGCGAAGATGGGACGTGTGTATGGATCATGTCGGTTGGAAGGGAATTTGATGGTGACCTCTGGTCACTGATTCGTCCTTAGGTTAGGGACTATACCCAGGGCTGAATTCAGAAGCTTCAATCACCCAACTGCTGGGCTGATTCTCCGATTTTTCTGGGACTCCACAGCATACAGTAATCATACTTCCTGAATCTTCCTGACCTAAGCCCTAGTTTTTGGCATGGATCAAGTCCTTTGCTGGTGGCTTGAGCCAGGAGGCTCCTCCAAAAGAGCAGCCCAACTGTTGGCTTCGCTTAGGCACTGGGGGGCCCTCAATGACTCCAAAATCGGCAGGGGACATCGACAATCCTCTCCGGTTAACAGCGGCTTGCTGGAAATCCCTGATGTTTTTGGATTCTTTTGCCATTCAAACCTCCATTATCCCATAGGATCCATGGTGCTGGTATATATGCTAACATAAAGGGGGTATATTGATGGGATCCATGTCACCATATATAGCATACATGGATCCTATGGGTTATTGGGGGATTTTCCGTGATTTTCCAGCCGCCTTTGATTACCACAGGATAGACGAAAAAGAATTCTTTCGATGACGGAACGTTTGGAAAACCATGGAACCATTGAAGCTCACCGTCCTTTCCGGGCTAAATCCGGGCCGAGAAAACCTTCCCACTATCCCAAAGGAAGAAACTTTCGGGAACCGTCCAAGCGGATGCCCTTCAGATTTTGGGGTACGAGACTTGAGATCAACACAATAGCCCTGGAGGACGCTGGAGTTTGAACACTCAGAAAGTGGTGATGAAGAGCTGCAAACTTAGGGAGGTTTAAGGTTTATAGATGAAGTGTTTTCCATGTAGCCTCTGATAAACATGTTTTTCTGTGAAAAAGGTAAATACTCTATTTTGTAGATGATTGAGTTGCAGTATGTTGCAGCTTCAAGGGATTTGCCACTGGTCGGATTGTTCGAGGGTAATGTGATACATAATTTTCCAGTGGTCTTGTACCCTTCATTGGATTGGTTTATTTATTATGTCTTTAACCAAGAAAACCCCTATATATTTGGGGAAAACCACGGTTTCCGCTTAAGATGTTCCCTTAAAGCAAGCCCCTTTTTAGTGCCTTGCCCCGTGTCGACAGGTGCTTCCCTCTTCGGAATCGACATGATGGGCCTTCACCACTCCGTGGAAAGTGACCTCGACATAGACCAGGACTCCGTGCGACGAGTGGAACGACTCAGACTGGTAGCTCGACAACGGAATGGAGGATCAATGTCAACCCTGGATGAATAAAGCCCGTCTACGGCTGTGACTAATTGGGAGGATACCATTTAAGTATCAGATTATGACTATTGGAGGAGTATCATTCATGTTTAATGGGTTTTTTCATGGGATGTCACCATGAAAAGTGGTGATTTAATAGGATCTAATGGGATTTAATAGGATCTAATGTGGGTAAGACAATGCCATAAACCACCCATGACTGGGAATGGTAATTTTATACCACCTATAAAAATGGCAATGACTGGGGGATGGTTTATTATTTTTTTTGGTTTTACCCACATTAAAAATCATTAAAACAATGATATGCATTTTTTTAAACCACCCATATGGAGGAGGAGGATTAATCATATTAAGGATTTAGGGCATAACAGGGAAAACAAATCGACTTCCAGGACTTGCACCCCTATGGATCGATGGTTGAAAGCCCACCCATTTGTGATGTTGGGGATGGTTTACTATTGGCTTTAACCACATTTACAGGCTTTAGACTGTAGCATCACGCACCCAAACGATAGAATCGTGAAATCATTCGAAAAATAGTGGTAACTTTAACTTGACAATACATTCCCAATCTTAAAACAAGATTTCATCGGCAAAATTACAGATGCAATGTCCCACTATTTTTGCTGAGTACTTAGGTATCTCAATTGCAACATTTTTTTTGACCCAGTTTCCTTTGGCTGGGAATGGTGATTGGTATTGGATTTATCATCGTTAACTTGGATTATCACTGATAAAAACCAGGGTTGGTGGATACATCTAGGAATCGATCGGTTTACAAACCAACTTGTAACTGGGGGGCCTTCCTGTGGATGGGATCGAGATTGATCATTGGCTGGTAGCCTTTGGTAAACATACAAAAAGCTGTTGAAAATGGCAGAAATAGCTGATTTACCCATTGAACATGGTGGATCTTTCCATAGTTATGTAAACGTTTACCGGGTAAATTTCAGGGAGGGCTGTTCAATCTCGCAAGACACTCAAAGTATCCATGGACTTGGTAAAAGCATGCAACAAGATTGAACTTATGGGGTAAAATACACATGTTCAACTCATGTTCATAGGTCAATTGAGGGTCTAGGCCCCTCTGACCGCAACACCGGGTCCAGGTTGCTGACAGTGACTCTAGCATGGCTTGAGGGCTGCGTGAGCTACCAGGTGTTGCAGCTGATTGGAGAAATCACTGATTCAAAGTTCATAACCAAAAATCATAGTGTCCAAATAATGTCCAAATATACGTATAAATATAATGTCCAAACATACGTAAAGAAAATTGTGTTAGAGCGGATCCTAATTCATGTCCTATCAATGCCTCTCATATTTGCCATAGCAACTTGGGCATCACAGGATTCTGATCACAGCCATCCCACAAGCGGCCACTGCCCTGCCTTCAACGCGCGGCCTGCGGTGGTTTTCATACCCAGGAAGCGCGTGGGGAATCGATTCTTTACGTCACTCTTCAGCAGCTCAAACTTCGAGCAAAACGGGAGCGCAGCTGGCAGGCAGCCAGAAATCCTCTTAGTATTCTCTTAGTATCTTTTCGGTAATTTCAACCATGGCAATGGAAAATATGAAAATCCACCATAAATGGAGGTTTGAATAGTTTGAATGGGAAAATCAGTTGTAAATGAGGGATTGTCCAACGCTATCTATATAGTGCAAAATGGGAATTGTCCAGGAAAAAATGGTGTTTTGCCCCACAATCTTAGTACTTCACCATTTTTGGGGGGGGTACAAACGGAGGGTTCAGGTGGTTCTTATTTCTCCCTGAAGACTTGTGCATGTTTCGAACCGGAAGATCCCGGGCCCCTGGTTTGATACTCCATGATCCTCGGCCAACGTGTTCGAACTGGGTGATTTTCCAGAATTGCTTGAAGATCTGGGGGTTTCTTAAAGTGGGGGTCCCAAAAAAAACCATGGGTTTCATTTCGGGACATCCCCATTTTAGGAAACCTCCAGCTATAGCTGCATGAATGCTCATGAATGCTCATGATTGGATGGTTGGGATGTGTTGTTGGGATATTTGAGCTGTTGGTGTGGCGGGACACGCCCAATCTTTAGAGTAATTGTTTATATTTATGGCCATGTTCTAAGGGATGATTGTGTTTGAATTGTGTCTTTTGAATTTCGCCAGCAAAAATGGGGCTTTGCCGGGCTTTGCCACAATTCATGGTGACGCGCCCGGTTTATCATGAGGGCCCAATTGAAAGGGCCCCGATTAGGACGGGTTATATATTTCGAAAGCCGAATTTGGAGGTTGTATGAGCATCGTATAAGCTGTATCCATTCTAATCCCGCCCGAGCCATCCCCCTAATATTCAACACCCCCATATGGTCCCAAGATGTTTTCCACTCCCCTAGATCCACCATGGTTTCTCGGGGGTGTTCGAATCGGGGAATGGGATTGCTGGACCACTTCTTCGCTGCAGCTTGATTTGGAGTCAAAGTTTGTGTTTGTTTTTGCAACAAGTTTCTGCTTCAGCATCATGTGGGGACACTCTACCTGATTAATCAATCTACAGGCGTACGTTAAGAGCGTTAATATTTTTCGCAGGTATTTTAAATGTCTTCAACACGTGTCAGATGACAATCACATCATCAATTTGAGGAGCTTAGAATCCTCACTTAAGTCTTGATAATGTCTTGATATTTCTTGCCACTAGCTCTTCTCTGTGAGATGTATATCACTTCCATCACTTCCACTCAGCGGGCAGTGTTTTTCACAGCGGACGCGCTTTATTGCGGGCGACTCTGAACACCGCGCTTGAAGCGGGCGCCATGAACTTAGAGCCTTCACCTCAGTGTTGATGCTTCAATGGGAGTGGAACCCATGGGTTCCCATATGTTCCCATCATTGGAGGATCACTGGTTGATGCTGGTTGTTTTATTTCATGGAAAATCCCAAACAAACATGGATGATTTAGGGGTCCCTTCATGACTTTGGAAACCTCCAATGGTTATTGACTAGTTGCTTCTATGTTTCATTTGATTCAATAGGGATGTTAACCATCAAACAATATGAAGATAGAAGTGAATATGAGATAATAAAACTGATATATAAATGATGATTGATGATGGGTGAGGTTGTATCAGATATTGGGGAATATCGCAATCCATTTTCACGGAGATTCCCGTTCTCAACCAACCAGTAGACAAGTGTTCACTCCGTTGGATCAATTCCGTTTCCATATCGATCATTTAGCATCAGACTTCTTACTTGGAAACCATAGTTTTTGTCGGGCTTTTATCCCAATTATCCCAACTTATGGACACTTCAAATTTCATGGTAACCCTCTGGTAAATTAACATAACTATGGAAAATCACCATGCTATTAATGGGAAAACTCACTATTTCTATGGCCATTTTCAATAGCTATTTTGACATAACCAGAGGGTAACCCAGCCATAGGCTAACCTTTAGTAGCCGCTGCCGGGCGTAGATCGCTGACCCAACGAGGTCCGAGTATCCAAATCACTTGGAGCTCCGGACGTACCTTGGAAACTTCTCCACACATCGGCTAGCTCCTCAGGTCTTTGGGGGCGCTACTGCATGTTCATTCTCCATTGGAATAATTCAACATACCCTCTGGTAATTTAACATAACTATTGAAAATGGCCATTTATAGTGGATTTTCCCTTAAAAAATGGTGATTTTCCATAGCTATGTTAAATTACCAGAAATTGAAACATATTAAAACATGGAAGAAATCTTGTCATCAAACATGGCTTGCTGGAGAATTCTTCATTGACTGGTTGGTGGTTTGGAACATGAATGGATTATTTTTCCATATATTGGGAATGTCGTCATTCCAACTGACGAACTCATATTTTTCGGAAGGGGTAGGTTGAAACCACCAACCAGATTGATATTCCATGATTTTCCCAACATCATTCTGGGGATTTTTTAGACAAAAATGATGAGACCGGTCCGGGTCGCTGATTCTGGAGATCCAGGAATCTACCGGTCTTCACCATCTCCAAAACGGGCGTGGAGGAAGAACTTGGGCGTCCACTCCCGAGGAAAGATGGGAGGTTGGAGATGGCGCCTTTGAAGAAATGGGGGGATGACAGATTGGAGGCACTAGATGGGTGAGTTTTTGCAATTGTTTTCTTTTTAATGTTAGCATAATAGTTATGTATTAGTTAAGTTATGTAATAAATATCAACACAATAATAATAGTAATATAGTAATGATAATGATTAGGTTCTATGTTTATTATGATCATTATATTTTTTGGTGAAGTAGGTAGAAGTTAGATTTCGCGACATCGCCACCCTCGATGCAAATGGGCAATGAAGCTTGAGAAGGGAAAACCCCACTGGTTTGAGATGATCTGGTCACTGGCAACTTGTCGTCACTTCGATGTGAAGTAGACATTGCTGTCCCTTCAAGATGAGTCAAAGTGCATGTTTGGAGGAAATAAACTGGCCAAAGCACCAAACTGCTCGATGGTGTCGGGTATCTCCAGGCGAATGATGGAACAGCAGTTTCTCCTAAGGAGTTGTTGTAGATGCCCTCATGATGTTCTCAAAGACATCTCTGGTATCCAGTGGGCCCCGGGACCGACAGGACCCAAACTTCCGCAGATCACTTGGCGTGAGAAGCTCACAGGGGATTAGCCCGTGGGGGGGTGAGATTTTTTCCACTTCTTGACCCTCAAAACTCGTACAGAATTCATGGGAATTCTTGAAGTACAACAGTACAACAAAGATACTCAAAGATGACGCCCTTGCTACAAAACTACACAGACACTTCGCCAATTTTCAGGATCCGGTTTATTTTTATTTTTTGGGGAGGGTGGCCAATTACCAATACTATATATTCCTAGACCCTCCAAGTATCCTTACAAATCGTGTTTTACCCCAGATATTACTTCTTCCCATTTTTGTTTGGCTATTTTGCAGGGTCGTTTGAAACATTTAGATCAACAACCCATAGACCACATGCACCGACACAAGGCCTGGCCACTATCCAGTGGAGCGAGACTTTCCGACCACCACGCGGAGATATGAGGCAGCAGCAGCAAACTGCGCAGCTGCGGCGCTTTGCTGCCTTGAATCAGTTGCCAAGTGAACCAGGGTTCCAGTTGCGAAGTGCTGTAGTGCCCCGTGGTTCACGGATGATTTCTGGGTGAGTTGTGAGAAGTTCAGATTCGGATCATCATCCATTATGATCCAGAAATTTCTGGATGATTTCAAGGAGATTCCATCTGGATGGCTCACCAGGACTCGGGCAACCCGGGCAACGCAGTGTTGATGTCATCAAATCTCTAGGACCCTAGGAGGTGAGCCTTACTAGTTAATTATAGGGTTACAATCCCATCTAATATGTGTATATATAATTATATATATATATGTAGTTATAACATGTTATAACATATTTTAACATGTTACAACATGTTATAACATGTTGTGTAACATGTTATAACATGTTGTGTAACATGTTATAACATGTTATAACTATCATAAACCCAACAGGTCACCCTGTGAATGCAACGAACCTCCCCCATTCGAAACTGGGGCCTGGTGGCTGGTTTCTGTTTCAGAGGACGGAGATGATCCTAGGATCAAATTTCTAGTCCTCAGATGTCCTCAGATTTGAGACAATCCATTGTTGATGGTTACAACATGTTACAACATCTTATACATGAGTCCAAATTGTGGCCATCAGCGCAAGCCTTTTTCAAGATTCGCCAATGATTCTAGGAGAAACTGGGGGTTCAACAGCTCGTCAGGAGTTCGCGAGTGAAGCAGGTCTTGATGCCCTATGAGGAGCGGGGCTTCCATGTTCGGCGGCATCATAAATAGTTGACCTATCCCACACTAATATTGGGGATATCATTGGGGGATATTGCTTCGTTGCTATTTTTTCAATTGGTATCTAGTGAGGATGTAATTAAATGATATTAAATGAGTAAACGTATAAAAGTGGGATTAACGGGTTGATTAAGATAATTATGATATCCATCAAAAGGGATTCATCGGATCAAAGGTTAAGTACTAATGGATTCTAGTGAGGTTATAACTAAAGTAACTAAAGGTTTACCAACAGTTTGATGTTTGGGTGTCTGAAAAAGGGGTAGCCATGGGTAGCCAATTTTCCGAGCCCAGACAAGCCACCCAGAAATAGTGGTTTGCGCGTAATCCTACTCCACAATCCCTGAGGTTATCCGATATATTAAGTTAGGAGTGATTATATGTATGTATATTAATATACATATTATATATAAATATCTATATGTTAACCTGTTAACTAGCATTGATAGCTGTAGTAGCTATCCGATAACTTATCCAATCTATAATATACACATATAGCCAACCAGTCACAAAATAGGTTTTATTGGGGGGTGATTCTCCAAGTACTTTCTGGTAGCCTTCAGACATCAGGAATGTTGGATGATCGCAAGTTTGACCAAGTCTGGTCCATTTGTTGATTTGTTGTTGACCTTTTTTCCCCATATAGTCCAATCAACAACTGGGGAATGTCATGAAAGCCATATATTCCAAGTCTGTCCAATCATTTCTAGCCGTTTTGTTTGGTGACTGTCAGCAAAATTCACTCTAAATTGAATGGGGAATGGCATGTATGGTACCCAGTTGGATATGATATTCATGGGATCCATCGTTGGTTTGTAACCATGAACTAGACCCTGGGACCCTCTAAGTATCCATAAACATTAAAAAAAAATATGATATTTTCCCTCATAATCTTAGATGATCTTAGATGTTTTCCCCTTTTTTTGTGTTTTTTTTTGGGAGTCTATAGGTACATCTAGGTACTATCACTTCCCTCTCAGGTTTTCGGACAACTTCTCTCCCCCTACCCATCTCGACTTCGTCTCAGGACAGGCGGAAGGTGGCAGAAAGGGCCCTGCCGGGCTTGAAGAACCCGGGCCCAGGGTAGGGGCGCTTGGTGGATGAGTCGGACTCGTTGGGGGATACCCTCTGGTAAACTAACATAGCTATGGAAAATCACTATTTTTTATGGGAAAATCCACTATAAATGGCCATTTCAATAGCTATGTTAAATTACCAGAGGGTACGAATCGTGCTGGTGGATTTGTGTTCAAAGCCCCAAGCCCTTTGCATCAACACATTGGCGCCTCATGTCCCAATTTAAGCAGTTGGACCCAGCTGGATTTTTTGAATTCAATTTAAGTTGAATACCACGACGGTCGATGGACAAACCATGTGCGAAACTGTGCTGAAACGGGGGTAGTTCTGACTGGACTCTCCCTACTTAGCCTTTTGAAATGGGGTTATATCCCACTGATTGACCGCGGTGTAACCGCGGTAAATGCACACACCACTGTGCCCCGCAGTGGTTTGTAGGAGATGCGGCTCAAGATTTTTCAAGCCTCACAACTACTTCACTACTTCCAATGATTTGCGATCCTAAAAAATGCAGAAAAGAAATAATCTTGAATCATCATAAACTGGTTTTGTGATGTTTTGTGAGCCCCCCCTGTCCCGCAGGCATTACTATGAGCACAGTCTCAGCTATCAGACTGGAGTGCGCAGGGTTTCTCAGTGATGCCATCGTCTCCAAACTCGTTGGAGGTTGTAGTCCAACCATATTCCAACAATTTTTTCTCAAAACATGTCTTCAAATACCCGTGAAAAACCATCCACATATGGATCCATATGGTCTGTGGACATCTTCTCACTATGATATGGGGTTGAATCTGATCTCTATGACACGATAATATGGAGGTTTTCGAATATAGGGCTACACCCAAATCATCCAAAATTAGACCAGTTTTTTCGTATTGAAACCTATGGTTTGGGGATTAAATTTAGGACACCCTCCATTATTCACAATTATTAGCCATAGATTAACGATAGGTTAAGCACAAATTAACAAAAGATTAACCATAGATAAATCATAGATTAACCATAGATTAACCATAAAAAATAACCATAAAAATGACCATAAAAATGACCATAGATTAACCATAGATTAACCATATTATATTAACCATAGATCAACCATAGGTCAACCATAGATCAACCATAGATCAACCATAGATTAACCATAGACCAACCATAGATCAACCATAGATCAACCATAGATTAACCATAGATCAACCATAGATCAACCATAGATCAACCATAGATCAACCATAGACCAACCATAGATCAACCATAGAACAACCATATATCTCATAAATTAGCCATAGGTATACCATAGGTTAACCATAGATTAACCATAGATTAAGCATAGATTAACCATAGATGAACCATAGATCAACCATAGATGAACCATAGATCAACCATAGATGAACCATAGATTAAGCATAGATCAACCATAGATTAACCATCGATTAACCATAGATTAACCATATATCAACCATAGATCAACCATAGATCAACCATAGATCAACCATAGGTCAACCATAGAGCAACCATAGATAAACTAGAGATCAACCATAGATGAACCATAGATTAACCATAGATGAACCATAGATCAACCATAGATGAACCATAGATTAAGCATAGATCAACCATAGTTTAACCATAGATTAACCATAGATTAACCATAGATTAACCATAGGTTACCATAAAAATAACAATAAAAATGACCATAGATTAACCATAGATTAACCATTGGTTGACCATAGATTAACCATAGATTAACTATAGATCAACCATAAATGAACCGTAGATCAACCATAGATTAACCATAGATTAACCATAGATTAACCATATTATATTAATCATAGATCAACCATAGATTAACCATAGATCAACCATAGATCAACCATAGACCAACCATAGACCAACCATAGATCAACCATAGATCAACCATAGATTAACCATAGATTAACCATAGATCAACCATAGATTAACCATAGATTAATCATAGATTAACCATAGATTAACCATAGGTTACCATAAAAATAACAATAAAAATGACCATAGATTAACCATAGATTAACCATTGATTAACCATAGATTAACCATAGATTAACTATAGATCAACCATAAATGAACCGTAGATCAACCATAGATTAACCATAGATTAACCATAGATTAACCATATTATATTAATCATAGATCAACCATAGATTAACCATAGATCAACCATAGATCAACCATAGACCAACCATAGACCAACCATAGATCAACCATAGATCAACCATAGATTAACCATAGATTAACCATAGATCAACCATAGATTAACCATAGATTAATCATAGATTAACCATAGATTAACCATAGAACAATATATATCAACCATAGATGAACCATAGATCAATCATAGATCAACCATAGATCAACATAGATCAACCATAGATTCACAAAGATCAACCATAGATAACCTTGATCAAACATAGATCAACCATAATCAACCATAGATACCAAGATAGATCAACCATAGATAACCATAGATGAACCAAGATCAACCATAGAGAACCATAGATTAAGCATAGATCAACCATAGTTTAACCATAGATTAACCATCGATTACCCATAAGTTACCATAAAAATACACCATAGATTAACCATAGATCAATTGTAGATCAACCATAGATTAACCATAGATCAACCATAGATCAACCATAGATCAACCATAGATCAACCATAGACCAGCCATAGATCAACCATAGATCAACCATAGATCAACCATAGATTAACCATAGATTAACCATAGATCAACCATAGATCAACCATAGATCAACCATAGATCAACCATAGATCAACCATAGAACAACCATAGATCAACCATAGATTAACCATAGATCAAACATAGATTCACCATAGATGAACCATATATCAATTGTAGATCAACCATAGATTAAAGATAGATCAACCATAGATCAACCATAGATCAACCATAGATCAACCATAGACCAACCATAGATCAACCATAGATCAACCATAGATCAACCATAGATTAACCATAGATTAACCATAGATCAACCATAGATCAACCATAGATCAACCATAGATCAACCATAGATCAACCATAGAACAACCATAGATCAACCATAGATTAACCATAGATCAAACATAGATTCACCATAGATGAACCATATATCAATTGTAGATCAACCATAGATTAAAGATAGATCAACCATAGATCAACCATAGATCAACCATAGATCAACCATAGACCAACCATAGATCAACCATAGATCAACCATAGATCAACCATAGATTAACCATAGATTAACCATAGATTAACCATAGATTAATCATAGATCAAGCATAGATTAACCATAGATTAACCGTAGATCAAACAAAGATCAACCATAGATCAACCATAGATTAACCATAGATCAACCATAGATTAACCATAGATTTACCATAGATCAAACAAAGATCAACCATAGATTAACCATAGATTAACTTGTTCCCCCCAGGCTCGACGGAGCACACGACGCCGGAATGGACCATTTCAAAGCCCAAGGACGGACCCACATGAAACATGGGAAATATCTGGTTTCCTATAGATTTTTCCTTAAACCAATCCAGTGACTAAGGGGATTTTTCATGGTTTATAAATGTTTATGTAACTTTAGTATGTTCCAACCAGGAAAATTAGTAGCTCACGAAGCAACACGGTTTTCGTTGGTATTAGTTTTTCTCAGGTGTTCTTGGTCAGACAATCATCTTACCAGTGGTGCTATGGGCATGTGTGCCCCAAGATGTTGGGACCTTTCTAACAACACAGACCAACGTTTGGTGAGAGTCGAATACCCACAATTGTCCTGCATGATGATGAATTTGGTGGATGACCTGTAGCCCTGGACCAGCTTCGGGATTCAGTGCCAGAGTCTTCACTGCATTACTGGCTGCATCCCCATAACCAAGCATACACACAAATCAATGATAATAGCGGTTTAGTTTCCGTGCTAGTTGGTGACGTGAGCCACTTGTTTCTTGCTTCACCCATTTGTGGGTGTATTTCTTGCAGATCAGGGACGTGTGGCACGCCGGAGACATGTTCCCATTGTAAAAGCATTGCAACAAGATGAAACCAGTCCACCCATCCAGATACCCTGAGGACGTAAGACCTGTCATGAATATACGTTTATGACGATTCCCCAAACATTGTGGCCACCCTGAAGGGTTCTTACGGTAAGTGTTAAGGCCCGGTGTTCAATCGAGGTGGTATCGGTCGCGTCCGGCATTTTCCGGTAAATTAACGCACAAAATGCCTCTTGTGACCTGTCCATGTGTATTTCGACTGCGCAGGCTCGCACAAAATGGATGTCGCGGGATACGCGTACGGCATTTTCCCATATTTTCCCTGTAAATTTCGCACAAAATGCCTCTTGTGACATGTCCATGTGCATTTCGGCTGCGCAGGCTCGCACAAAATGCTTGCCCCGGGATTTGCGTACGGCACTTGTCCTGTAAATTTCGACACAAAATGGCTCTTGTGAAATGTCCGTGTACATTTCGACTGCGCAAAGTGTGCTTCCCGGTCTTGGGATCGATTTTCCTCCTCCACATCATCATCCTCAACATCATCATCTTCCTCCTCCTCCTCAACATCCACATCGTCATCATCATCATCATGATCATCATCATCATCATCAGATATCATCACCATCATCACCATCATCATCATCGTCGTCATCCCCATCCCCATCATCATCTTCATCATCATCTTCATCATCATCATCATCATCGTCGTCATCCCCATCCCCATCATCATCTTCATCATCTTCATCATCATCATCATCGTCAACATCACCATCATCAACATTATCACCCTTATCATCATCACAATCATCAACATCAACATCACCGTCAACATCATCATCAACATCAACATTACCATCAACATTATGATACATGATCCTTTTACTCTACCCACACTCTCTTGCCGGGATATTTTTTGTGGACAAAATTCAATTTATATCCAATGATTTGCTTGTAAAATAGGTTTAAACAGATTTTTACTTGTTTATATCCCTTGATTGATTTTATAGCTATCTACAATAGAGATTGATATTTCCATGTATATGGGTAAATTATAACTGACTGGAATCATCCTGATACAGCCTGATTTCATGTTAGTTAATTATTTTGATTTACCCGTAATATGTATGTATATATACATATATGGAAGATCCCTGAAATGGTGGTACCTTGAAATAATCCATTTTTACATGGATTTTCCATTATAAGCCATCCAACTATTGGGGTACCTCCATTTATGGAAATCCCTTGGTTCACTATTACATAGTTATGATAGAGATTTGTATTTCCATATAATATTATTATTATAGTTGAGATTGCTATCCCCATATTTTACATATACATAATATATATTATATTTTCTTTGATATGTAATATATAATGCGTAATATTTAATATTTGAAATTTAGTATTTAGTATACAATATCTAATATTCTACATTTAATTTCAGATATATATAATACTAATAATGATATTAGTTTATAATATATAGTAATAACAACAATAAAATGATATATATATATATTTAGAAAATCATATATATATAATTATGTAATGATGAACATATAATTAATCTTATTTAATATTTAATATAGGTAAATGCATTGATTTTCGTACAACTATTCCAGAGTCGGTGGCATTTTGTTGCTGTCGTCGCAGGAAGGTAGCGGTGGCAGGTCAGTGTCCTCAGGGATCCTTTGGATCCGGACCTCACTCTTCCCCTTCACTGGAAACATGGTTGCCCTCTGGTAAACTAACATGACTATGGAAAATCACTATTTTTAATGGGTAAATTCACTATTTCCATGGCCATTTTCAATAGCTTTTTGTATGTTTACCAGAGGGTAATAACGAAAGTTATAGGGAAATCATTCCCAAATGGCCGTTGACTTTTCAAGGTGAAACATGATCATTTACCCAGATACTTGGTGGATTTAGCCATGAACAATTGGGATTTAATTATGAAATAATAAGGAACATGCTGATTAACAATGATGAACGAGTTGGGGGTTGTTACGTATACTTGCTGGTTCACCCCACTAAGTGCCTTTAAACCCCAATTACTCGTATGACTTGACTGACCCACTTACCCCAATTGTAACTGGGGTGAACCACTAAGTACTCGTAGTACGTAAAGCCTATTGAAATTTTAATCGTCAAAACATTGCATTTGGGCATGGGTTAAGTCATTGAGGTACCAAGGGGCCTATATAATTGATTAATTGTAATACTGACGGGGTGGTGATACTTTTGAAATATCCCCGCCTAGACCCTCAATTCTCCCATGAAGTGTTGCCAACGTATACCATCATCTCGTTGTAACACCCCATTTGCATGGTGTTATTGAGGGTCTAGGTAGATGTTCCGTAAATTTTTGGAGGGGTTACAAAATGGCTTAACGCAAACCCTATAATCATATGGGAGATTCTACCTGCTTATAATGGTTCCAGCCAGTCGCAGGCTACAATAACTCCAACTTACCCTTTACATAGCAGTTTAAAACCAACGTTTTTTTCCATGGTTATTTAGACCTGCATTTTTCATGGCAGCCAAATCCACTTAACTTAAGTTGGTTTATGACTAGATGAGTTTAAGTTGGTTTATAACTAGGTGAGATACCACCAAAGTATTCCAAACAAGAGATATATTGAAATTGGGCTATGGGTTAAAACCTGCAAAAATATGACGGCGACCCTATCTAACGAAGGCAAACCTGTCAACTAAAGTTTGTTGATAGATTTCATGTGAGCAGCGAACGTCAAGAATGGTGCATCATGGATTTATTGTTCGGTCTTCACTGTTTTTCCGAGACTTCCTTTTTTCCTTTCTTGCTTTTATACCTTTCCTGTGACGGTTTCTGTTAGCTTCCTTTCCGCCTTCGTTTCTTTCTGTTGATCTCGGCTTTTCGTTTCCCCTTTTTTTCCTGCTGCGTTGCGTGTACATTTCAGTATGCCCCCAGTAGGACAGACGCCTGCAGCACATAGGCCCAGCAGTGGCAATGGCAGTTGTCGCAGTACCACTTGGTTAAGCTATGGCCAAGGCCCTTGCCGCGGGAGAAGACGGCGGCGGATCACCTGGGGCCAGGACGGTACCAGCTGCCGCTTGGGTTGGCAAAATCCAAATGAAGAAAACCAGTTGGCAAACAGTGGGAAAACAGGGGTCTTTTGAGGCCGTTGGATGATTTTGGAATGTCAGAAGATGATTTTGGAGATTTGGGATGATGTTGGACAATTTGGTGATTTTGGATGAATTGGATGATTTCGAAGACGATTTTCCTGATATGTCCTATCTTTCCAAAATCCGCTGCAATTTTGAGGAAGTCCATTTCTTACCCAAAACGACAGGCACAAAAAAGACAGGGGCCGCCACAGACGTTTCGGACACAATTGCTTCCGAGGCCGAATCGCTTCACGGAGATTAGCTTTCGGAAGATCAGAACCTTGGAGAAGGCTGCGAGGCGACCATGGTGACCATGATGCTGGGATTGCTGGGATGAACATGTCCTTTGGACATTGTTTCAAATCATCTTTGCTGAATGCTGATGATATAAAACATCTTCATATACTGGTAATTATCAAATCATGTCATCATTTCACTGGGATTCGGATGGATTTTGACATATGGCTATTTGAGTCACCTAAGCCATGGCTGGGATCTATGGATGTTTATTCCCCTAGAAATGGTAATAATAGGTCTTGACCCATTCCCATATATTGCTTCTTTTTGTTGAAGGCGTTGAATGGAGCGGTGGAGATATTACCAAGTATCAAGTTATAATTGAGCTGTTTGTGTTTTTTAATCCCGCCTGCCAGGTGAGGGTCTCTAGATTTTAACAAAGGTGCAACTCCTTCTCCTTCTCCTCCTCCGCCTCTTTGTTGTCTTGATCTCCTGTGCCAGCTTCGGATGCTGTGGGCCACGCATGGACCCGAATACATGCCAAAGAGAATGCCAGACATAGTTGCAGATCGAATGAATGCTAGAAAGAATGTCAGATCAGATGCCAGATAGAATGTCAAGAATATATGCCAGAAAGAATGTCACAATATATGCCAGAAAGTATGTCAGAATAAATGTCAGATAGAATGTCAGAAAGAATTTGAGATAGAATGTCAAAGTATATGCCAAAAAGAATGTCAGAGTATATGTATATATATATATGCAAGACATATTTCCAGATGATATGTCAGAAAATATTTTGTCAGGATGGGGATCACTCGAAGTAAAATAATTGGCTTATAACAACGTTGTGATGGACGTTGATTGCACCCAGTATTTCTGATCGCAACATTGCCCTCTAGGTTTGTTAGTTGCACGTGCTTATTTTCCACACGGATTTGGTTGTGATGATCCGAGTTGAAGAGCAGTTTATGATATTTTTGGATCAGGATAAGCCAAGATGCCGATTTTCACACAGCAAGGTTGGACTCAAAGCAGTGCCGAGCCCGTTTTAGCTTGGTGGTTTCAAACATGTATGAATTATCCATCCTGACCTTAGAGGACACGCCCCAATCCGCGTTTTCTGTTGACCGGTGCTGCAACCTCTTTTACCACCAAAGTTGGGATTTTTACTATACCTGTGTTGCTGTGTAATTGCCAAGTGCGTCCTTCTTTTGTCTTGTTTGAGTATCCCTGTGCTACCAAGTCCATCAATGTGATAGAACCGACAATCCGTACCTCATTTCAGGGTTCACAGGTTCATCATCCTTCAAAACAACGGGTTGGTTGTCATGTATGAACCAATTGTCACCTTCACTGCTTGTATTTGTTTGATTATCCTGTTACAAGAATCCACCATAATACTCCATACTCGACGAAAACGGTATATGCATGTTTACGCCAATCAAATATATAATTAACATTTGAAACGTTGTATATATATATATATATTCTTTTTTATATATCAAAAATTGAAGCATTATATATATATATATTTACTATATATATATATATTACTATTATACATACGTATATATATATATGTATTCTTTTTTAGATATCAAAATTTGAAGCATTATATATCTATATATATATATATTTACTCTATATTTATATTACTATTATACATACGTACATATATATATATACACATTTGATATCATTATGTTTGTTTGTCATGATTTGTTGCTCTCGATGGTGTAATATCTTTGTCAACCCGAAAATCGCGTCGCCAGGAACAGCCGTGACACCTGGGCGGGACCACAGTGCGCAGGGACCAGTTTTCCGCAGAACCCAATAAATGTTAAGTCACAGATGAAGGGACAGTTTTCATGGATCATAAATATGGACCATGATAAGTATATAAATAGGGAAAATGATTGTTACTTAATTGTTTGTTTTGATGGTTCATTGATGGTTAATCATCATGAGGGGTTCATGGTTAATGGTTTAGTTATATAGATGTTTGTTATGATGGGGATAATTGAGAGTCAATCAATGGTGAATCATGCAGGTATAACCAAGAATAGTGGATGATTAATGGATAGTTGATGGATCATTAGAAAAAATGGGCAAACCAATAACAATAAGACACCTATAGGGGGGATCCCATCCATAAGAATAGTCATTTGTGGGGATGGTTGGTGGTTTTGGGTTTACCACATTGTGCTACTAGCGAAGTAGTAAACCATTTTATCACAATTTCAGCAAACACCAACAAATTGCCAATGAGTAGATGTTGACCCCTGTGCATATGTTGGTCGCTATGCCTGAGACTGTGGAGTGTTCAGTACTAAGCCTGGTATTATTTCTGCGATTCAGTGAGCACTTCACCAGCTGCTGTGGAATTTTAAAGCAAAGAAGTTGAGATGTTGTGGCATGCACCAACCATAGCATGTCCACTGCGCAAGGATGACACAACGCCATTGCATAAATGGCTCAAGGGCGAGATGAAAAAGTCTTGCCTAGCAGCAGCTGCGCTTTGCAGTTGTTGATCCTCGGGTTATGAGTCCAACGGATCTGAACTGACATGGAGAGCTTGCTGGCCGATGTGAGTGCTCTTTGCAGAGTCGTGCAGCTGCTGCGGTGAGCGCTGAGAACGCTGCTGGCTGCGCTGACGATCTGATGGAGCGAATGCTGGAAGATGCAATTCGGTCTGAAAATGGTGGGTCTGTGGAGGTTTTAACTAGTGAGCCTAATACCACTGGAATGTGACTAGTGGGGGCATGTTGGATGCTCTTGGACCTCTAGGACCTCCGTTGTCGTTTTCCCCTCATGATCCCCTCATGTTGGTTGAGAATAACCTTAAGGGTAATGAAAACCTCGAGGTGAAACAAAGGGTTGAAAAAAATCCTGGTGTCAAAAAGGTTGTGGTGCCTGAACCGCAGCAGTCTGGGAACCCACAAAGGGATGAAAAGGGCTGTGAATGAACATGGTTCTATGGGAGCTACTGGTGAGGGAAGGGGTCAGGGTCTGAGTCTCGTAGGATAGAACCTAGACAAAAAAGTTGCGATTGAGGGTCGTGGCTTTGCCAGGGTTGAAAATGTGTCACAGGGCTCCAACGTGAAGGGTTCTGGTGTTGGTGAAAGTGTGCCTCAGGGCTCCAATGGGAAGGGTTCTGATGCTTGTGATGTGCCCCAGGGCTCCACTGTGAAGGGTTCTGAGGTTTGTGAAAGGTTCTACATAGGTAACGTGTTGTTGTGGTTCCAGAACAAATGAGAAATGTTGTGAATCCCTTCTGGAGCAAAACTCAGCAGCGTGAAGCTGTCCAAGAAGCTTTCGGGCCTGGGTACGACGTGAGTGCCTTGGGTTTGCAGCCGGGTTCAAATTCCTCAACACCCCAAAAAAGTTCATGTGGGACAAAGGGGAAACGTTGATGTTGAAATGGATCCAGTCGAGTTGTTCCGATTGCGTTGTCTGAGGGAAAATGATGAAAAGTTTCGCCAAGGTTTGTTGAATATGTGGGCGAGTGTCAAAGAGCCAAGGGTTGAAAAAACATGGGACTGAGAAAGGGTCTTATGGTTCACAGAGTTCATATGCTTCTGAGATGGACTTCCAAGAGCCTGGATTGCCCAAATTTCATGACGTGGTTGAATCCTGAACGGTTCCTGAGCCAAATGTGTACCGAACCAATTGTGCCAACTGTTTTTGAACCGTTTGTGCCGAAGCCACCACCTGGGCCACCACCACCTTCTCCTCCAAGACTGTTGGTGGGGTCGGTGACACCTCCCGTTCCACTCTGCCGCTCCAAGGGAAAACGAACCTGGAGGAAAAACCCTTCAAATGTCGACCACCAACTATGTGACATCTCCAAGGGAAAATGAACCTGGAGAAAACAGCTTTGGGACGGTTTGGGATGAAAACCCAGAAAAAGATGAATGGGATCACCGGACCTGTGAAAGTCAAATAATTTTTTTGGGACAGTAACCCTGAATTTGGTCCTCCGTTTGGGTATGTCGTGGCAGAAAACAGTTGTGGCATGGCGCACAACCGTTTTGAGCCCGTCAGTGGTGAACCTTTTGAAAATGCTGAGATGTTGCAGCCACTGTTGGTTGCTGACACCTACTGCCCCACGGGCTGCCTTCCAGTCCGGGCGTTCGCCTTGCTGCCATGGCCCCTATTAGATGTTGAAGCCAGTGCCACCGCTGCCGCCGCAGCCGCTGGATGCTCTGCTTGCTGCGCCTGCCGCTAAGGCTGCTGCCGTGCGCCGAAAGCACCTCCGATGATGCTGCTGTACGTGTGCCGCTGCAATGCAAGGGAATACCGCTTCTTCTGGCTCTGATGGGTCACAAGCGCAACACGACCCATACATCGGCACTCTGCCGAAGTTTCCGCTAGCTCGCAAAGAATCTGAGAAAGCCCAGAAGAAAGCTGGTGGAACTATGTTGGGTGAAACGCCCCGACATGGACCATGGTTGGATGACCGCTATGGAGGTCCCAGCACCACTGGAAAAAAGGATGGATGTTCGGTCACCAAGTGTGGCCAAAATGTCTATCTGGTGCGAATCCACCGCTCTGCAAGGAAGCAGAGATTCCACCCTTTGCAAAGAAGTGCACCAGTGGATGCCAAGTTCCTCACAGGTGAACGTATCAGCAAAGCGTTTTACCTGGAGGGACGCGATGTGGACCAGGCTTTTTAGTGGCCGATCGATGGCAATGGCGTTGTGTCATCCTTGCGCAGTGGCCATGCTATGGTTGGTGCATGCCACAACATCTCAACTTCTTTGCTTTAAAATTCCACAGCAGCTGGTGAAGTGCTCATTGAATCGCACTGCCCCCTGCAGCTTGCTGCGGAAAAAACACATGCATAAATGGCTCAAGGGCGAGAGGAAAAGTCTTGCCTAGCAGCTGCGCTTTGCAGTTGTTGATGTTGATCAGCGATTTCCAAACGTCAATGGATTGGCTGAAAGGAACATTTACACGAAACCATTGGTTGGCCGCAACATATACGGTGTTGCTGTAAACTTTCCTTTCAACCAATTCTGAGATAGTGTTTATCAGATTTTAACAGAAATTCTTCCTTTGTTGAATCTCAGATATATCTCAGATTAGCTACGATATGGGTTCCTGTACTGCAGCTTGTCCAACAATAGAGGATGGGTCCCCAATGTTGCCATTCAAAAAAATAAACATCTGAGTCGACACTGATGTTAAAACAAACCCATGTGAAAAATCAACCAATGTCGATGTTTCTTGCTACTAGTATGGGGGAGTCCATGTCACCTGTCAACATGTTTCATTGGACAAATCCAACGTGTGACGGTGAAAGCAACCAAACACAATCCAAAGACATCCAAAGACAAAGGGTAGTTGAAATTTTGCATCATCATCTATTTCACCTATCCTAATCTATTCTGATCATTTTGATTCATTTTGGACATTTTCATTGAACATCACAGCCGCCCTGTTTCCTAAGTGTTTGTGTTTTGCCGGATCTCCTAGCTCAACATGGTGGTGAGAAAGGAATTTATCATGCTGTAGGGGGCAGTGCATCTCTGGAATTCCACGACCCATATTTTCTGCTCAAAGACTTGCACAGGGGAACATTTTTTTTTGGATCATCAAATCCGTAAATTCACAAATTTCCATGAAACCAATTTCCCACCTAAAATCAAACATCAATCCAGTGACAAGTTCGTCTATCCTCAATGTTCCCCAAAATTCCTATGCGTCCAGGTACAGTCAAGTCTTCAAGCGGATCAAACCCCTCGCGCCTGGAGAGAAGTTGCTGAAGGTGAAGACGACCTGTGGATGGACCATGATGTACCAATGGGGAGTTAACTATAGGAAACCATGGGAAAAGGGAGATTTAACTCTAGGAAAATGACATTTATGGGGATTTAGACAAGGAACAATTGAGACTTGACCAGCAAAAAAGGGAAATTGATGGGATTTATAGCTGATTTTTGAGAGCTCAGGCAGGTAAGGTGAACATGTTTTTTTTTTACTAGAGTTTTTAGGGGAGATAACGAACTTGTTCATGGGGGCGATAAATCAGTTTATAACTACGGGGTTGCACCTTGTCCCCTCATGGAAATCCATGGGTATTTCCTGAAAGTTATCTAGACGTGATTTTCGAAATTGAAATGTTAGTTTACTGGAGGGTAGATATCATGATATTTGATTAGTAAGGGTAATGATCCCAAAATGACAATATTCCAGGTTGGTGAATTTCTGAATATATGGTATGGAAAAAATAGACTGGAAAAATGAATAGGATCATAATTATAAATTAAAGATCCATACTATTTACTATCCATTTATTTCCACTGTCCATTCTAAATTATAAAGATCTGCTATCCACTTGATTTCATTTATACTATAGTTCATTCAGAGAGTATGGAACATTCACCCCTTTTCTTTGATCGTTTCCTGGGAAAAGCAACAGGTTTTCAAGTGATTTTTGATCCTTTGGGTATAGCCTTTTGATTTGCTTCAAACTGACGTTTCCAAGGACATTCTTGGGATTTCTTGGGATTTAATTGATTAAATCGCACTGAGTTCACTTGACTTTTTGTGCGTCATGATGAATTAATTGCTCAACAAAGCAAGCCTCAGTGAAAAAAAAAAATGCCAAGAAGCAACTGGGAGTTACACATCTGACATTTGCCATTTACCCTTTTACATGAATAGATGGTTTTAGCAGGATTCACATGGTTTTGTTGAACCTTGCTTAAACCCAAATATGATGCCTTTAGTCTAGAGATTTGTTTATTGTGAACTCATGGCTGGCTCTTGGCCCCGATCACTTGTCTAGAATACATATGAAACAACATAGCTGTCATCTGGTTTTGAAGTTGGTAAAATATGTCTTCAGTATAATCATGTGTTTTCATACTGCGTAGTACCTACCGTAGTGGTTGTCATCATAGACATCCCAACAAAATTCAATTACCCCAAACTAACACCTATCTGCCAGTTCTGAATTTTATGATGTTTGATGCCAACGATTTCCCAACAATGATTCACCTATCCATTATTGATAGTTATTATGATTATTGTTAATTATTATCACCATTAAGAGTTGTTATGATCATACAATATCATACATATTTCAATCTGCCAGTGAAACCTCACCATGTTTAAGGTAATTTATATGTTATTTTCCCACTGGGCAATCCACTAGTTGGGGAATGAAAAAAGGGAAGGTCCTTAAGCAAAACCAAGTATTACCATAGGAGAACAACCATGACTGGTTTGGGGTTTCAAACATCTATGGTTTTTCAACCATCCAACATGGATGATTAACGGAGATTGATAATTACTGTATAATCACTATTCACTCTGATAATTTGAAACCATTCTAGAAAAAAAAACATGTTTGTGTTTGATTATTATTATTACTATTATTATTGTTGGGTTGATATGATGATTATTGATTGACCTAGACCCTCTGCTTGTAGCTACAAAAAATTGTGTGTTATCCCCATAATCTTAGTACTTGTCTTATTTGTTGCTGGTATTTGGAGGTTCTAGGGATTCCCATGATCATTACCTCCCCATTAATTATTGATAGTTATTATCACTGTTATGATGGTATTATACAATGGCTGGTATGAAAATGGACATGTACTGAGGATTATTCCCTGATAGGTCACACAATTCCCACTGATAATGGCTGGTATTAACATTGATCTGGGTAAATTATAACGACCTCACTGCTCTCCCTTACTGGAAATCATGGTTAATAAGAGGAATCATCCTCAGATGGCCTTAATTCAGGTTAGTGAAATATTATAATTTACCCAGATATCATGATATTTGATTAGTAATGATCCCAAAATGACTATTATGATTAGTGAAATATTATAATTTACCCAGATTGATAGTTATTATCGCACTTGTTAAATATGATCATCCAATCTGCCATGATTATTGATTGATCCTGCCGCGACCTGCCCTTCAATCAGGCCGCCACATTCTCCACTCTGCCCACATAATGTGCGTCGTGTTGACACGCGAAAGCCGCGTCTTTAGGTCATTTAGCATCGAAAAAACACGTTCATCAGGAAAATATATGGAATTGAAGAGGTCTTGATTTCGATCGCAGATGGAACATTTCAATCATTTCATTCAAACTGACATTTGAAATCATTCCACAATATTCATCAATATTCCACATCATCTTTCATATCTATGGATGTTTCAATTTATTTTTATCACAGCTGGCCACAACTTGAGGTCAGGTTCGTCCTCAGAATTTCCTGGGTCATCCTCAAAGGATGTGCCAAACACAAAGGACCCAGAGTACGACCCGCTGAAAAGCGGTGCACAGATGGGAAGTGCATGGGTTTCGGGGAACAGTGGTGAAATGCATTGGTAAAGATGTTCCGAAAAAACATGGTTGTAAAGCTGTTGGTGATATGAATCTATTGAGAAATTGGAAGTGAATGGTTATAAATGTTATAAGCATTTTAGGATAGCTCTGACGCTTTTTGGATCGACGTCAAGTTGCATCTTGATTGGATCGCCCTTCTTTGGATCTCACGTGGCGTATCATCCTGCGACACACAACTTTGGCATTGGACAACACAATACCCTTTGTCCATAACATACGAGAACCAATTCGCAGGTGCCGCCAATAAAATTGTAGAGACCCGTGGATGCTCAAACAGCTCTGCACACGTTTTCACTATAGGTGATGACACATTGCCACATCGTAGAATATCAGCTGTTCTTGCTGCGAAAATGACGACAGCACAAGCGCCCTGCGGTATGCCATACATGACAACGTCGACTTCTAAGATACTCGTAGCTCTTCAATGCTGCGCTGGTAATTTAACGTATAGCTATGGAAGCCATGACACAGCACATTTAGATCGATGATCTACAGCCTGATATAGCCATTGCCAACGGTGGAAAACTCCATGGCTATGTAAGAAATTGCCAGAGGTTCATGCGTGACTTGAGAAGACAGCGCACCAATCCAGTCTATTTAATATCCTTGGGATGTGCCCAAGGGACATGGAAGATCAACAAACCTTTTTGCCCCCTACCAGCCTACCAACATAGCTATTAAAAATCTAGGTAAATCATCTATGAATGAGCCATTTTTCCATAGCTATGATACCGAAGAGTAATTCTAGTTAGCTTTAGATCATAATCAAATCCTGCACTCCACTTAAAGGGTGGTCACTTCGCCAATCTGCGATCAACATAACAGCACCGTGTCAATCATGGCATGGCGGTGTGCCATCCTTACCCATGACGGATCCATGGTGCTGCTATATATGGTGTGCCATGGATCCCATCAATATACCCCCAATGTTAGTATATACCAGCACCATGGATCCTATGGGTTGTATGTTTTATTTCAATCGATTATTCAGAACGTCCCTGTTGATCATGTCTGGCCGTTGAATGATCCGTTCAAACGGAGTCAGCTCACATGCGTCGAGACATCTCCAGCCTTAGATCCGCTGGTGCACGAAACCTGCAAGAAGCGACAACAAATTTATGCGCCCACCCAGCCACTCGTCAAACGTGAAGAACTGAGAAACCAGATCAAGCGGGAAACTAGCAAGCTGGTAAACAAATGGTTGCATGTGAAGGTGATGTAGTTAGTGTAACTAAAAGAAATAGGTCATAGGAACCACTCATACTGCGGCTATGTGCCTCCAATTGAATTCTTGCATACGAACATGTTTTAGCTGAGTCACTCTGGTTTACACTACGACCGACCTCCCCATTGTTGATTGCCTTATCATTTCTGTTCAAGGGCATACCTTCAGAGAATGTCAAAGAAGTTTCTAAATTTCGAGATCCCAAATAATTTACGTGATCATATCCCCCCAAGAAATCTAGACTTCATGGCATTGATCCACAAATGCAGAGTCATACTGGAGGAATTAAGGGAACTCTGCAAAGTTGGAACTAGTTTCATTTGGATTCGTTTTGCCAAACCTCTTGTTAGTATACGTTTACTTCTTTTACTTTTCCGTATCCGTCTTCTTCGTCTTCTTCTTTACAACTCCGCCATTCTCGGTGACGACGTGGAAAGCTGCATCAACCGCTCAGCCGCTCAACCGGAGCTTGAGTACACACTGGGTCCGCATCTTTGAAACAACACAATGGTGCGAAAGACATCGACGTCCGGAAGCGCATTGAGACCGGGGTAGATCAAATAATGTGTGGAGTGGGGTGATGTGGCCTCCCCAAAGAGTCGAAAACCAACAAACGTGCGGCGTTCCCAAACCACGACCCCGCGCTACTTCCATCACGATGTTCTGTCCTTTGAAGCATATTTCGAGACTATAAGCTGGCTCCAAACACAGAACAACGTTGATGACAATGTTGCAACCCGTCGTTCAAACACAGAACAACGTTGATGACAATGTTGCAACCCGTCGTTCAAACACAGAACAACGTTGATGACAATGTTGTAACATGGCGTCCAAACACAGAACAACGTTGATGACAATGTTGTAACATGGCGTCCAAACACAGAACAACGTTGATGACAATGTTGTAACATGGCGTCCAAACACAGAACAACATTGGTGACAATGTTGTAACCTGGCGTCCAAACACAGAACAACGTTGATGACAATGTTGTAACATGGCGTCCAAACACAGAACAACGTTGATGACAATGTTGTAACCTGGCGTCCAAACACAGAACAACGTTGATGACAATGTTGTAACATGGCGTCCAAACACAGAACAACGTTGATGACAATGTTGTAACCTGGCGTCCAAACACAGAACAACGTTGATGACAATGTTGTAACATGGCGTCCAAACACAGAACAACGTTGATGACAATGTTGTAACATGGCGTCCAAACACAGAACAACGTTGATGACAATGTTGTAACATGGCGTCCAAACACAGAACAACGTTGATGACAATGTTGTAACCTGGCGTCCAAACACAGAACAACGTTGATGACAATGTTGTAACATGGCGTCCAAACACAGAACAACGTTGATGACAATGTTGTAACATGGCGTCCAAACACAGAACAACGTTGATGACAATGTTGTAACATGTAACATGGCGTCCAAACACAGAACAACGTTGATGACAATGTTGTAACATGGCGTCCAAACACAGAACAACGTTGATGACAATGTTGTAACCTGGCGTCCAAACACAGAACAACGTTGATGACAATGTTGTAACATGGCGTCCAAACACAGAACAACGTTGATGACAATGTTGTAACCTGGCGTCCAAACACAGAACTGGTTTTTGGATTTCTTTGTGAGTGGCCGCGGAACCTGCCTTGCAGTGAGACACGCTGCAGAAAAAGGTCTGTTTTTTTTAAAAAAAAACTTAAAGACACCCTAGATGACACCGTAAATGAAACGCTAAAGGAAACCTAAAGGAACCCACTTGAACGTTTAGAAATCGTGAAAAAACAATCTGATAGGAAACCCTGGAATAAAACCCTGAAGAAAACTTAAATGAACTCCTGAATGAAACCCTCAATTGAAACCCTAAATTGAAACTCTAAAGTAACCTTAAATGAGACCCTAAATGTAATGAAACTCAAACTGAAACCCTAAATGAAACCCTAAATGAGACCCTAAGCGAAACCCTAAATGAAACCTTAAAGAGCCCCTAAAGAAACCTATTTGAATGTTTGGAACTCCTGAAACCCTGATCAGAGACCCTCCATGAAACCGGAAAAAACGATAAATGGAATTCTAAGGAAACCCGAGCCTTAAAGACACCTTAATGAAACCTTAAAGAGAAATCCGAAATGAAACCCGAAATGAAACCCCAAATGAAGCCTTAAATAAAACCTTAAATGAAACCCTTCAATGAAAGCCTAAAGAACCCTCAAGAGACCCACATGAACGTTTGAAGCACTAAAATGTAATAAATACCATGCAAATGAGAGGTTGAAATTCCAAAATATGACAAATACCATGCAAAATGGAACACAAACGTTGCCAAATGTAACAAATACCACGCAAAATGCAAAGTGCCCATGCCAAAATGTAGCAAATACCATGCAAAATGACAGGTTCTAGTTCCAAACTGTTGCAAATACAACGCAAATGGTACCGGGAAAGGAAACCCAAAAAAAAACCAAAACCTGATGCCAGAAAAAATCAAAAAACTACCCTACACCCAAACAATATCCATGTTTTAAAGCCTTGAAAACACAAGGTTTTCCAAATAACAAGATGTCTTATTAAACATTTGTAAACGAAAAAACAAGAGGGTACGCCATGAGTGACCCAGATCTTGAATAATGGTAAAACTGGTTTGTTTAGCTGCAGGAAACCATATGCATTGTAAATCCCTAAAACGTAAGGTTTCCAAAATAATTCGATGCCTTAGTAACCCCTTATGTCCAAACAATTGCCAAACAAAAAAAAACAGGGGGGTATTGCATGGGTGACCCAAGTCAAACAATGTCATTGTTTGGATGGCACCCTTTTATGCACAGAAATTATTGGGTGTGGAAAAGGCGAAACATATTATCTATTTTTGTATTAGTAAAACTGGCCTTTTTACGTTTGAAAACTATATGCGTTGCAAATCCTGAAAATGCAAGGTTTCTCAAATAATCCGATGCCTTTTCAATTTTGTTTTTTTCAGAACGGTGGCCTTTTTTTTTCAGGGGGTTCCCCTTCACATTCTCAACAGGGTCAACCCGTTCTTTGGGTAATAAAAACCTGGAATCAGCAAACAAAATATTTTTGACGACGAAAAGTATCAGAGCAGATAGGGTTCGTCAGCTGCCCATGGCCCCCTCCCCAAAAAAAACATGAGACAGCAAACGCGAGATGTGCAACCAAGAAATTTTGTAGCGCATCAGCGGGTTGAGTCATCATGAGAAAAATGCACCAGAATGAAAACCAAAGAAGTGATAACATAATGAGAAGGTTCAGTCAATAGCCTTGAAAGATGCAACCTCGATTTTAAAGTAAAAAAGGACAATCACAAAAAAAAAAAACACCGCCCAAAATGTAGTGGTCGGAAGGAGTCGGAGAATTAGTTGGGCGTTGCACCATGTAGGGGGGGAAACACTTTTGTTTCACTTTCATGTAATTTTATTATTACTCCAAATTCATTGGTTACCTTTGATTTTTGGGCGGGACGAGGGGGTTACTAATCCTAACTTGGCGTTATGATACTGTATATGTAACGGTGTTTGCATATGGTGCCCTGTTCCGTTTGTTGCCGCATCTCCACCTCAAATATATTTTAGTGTGGCACGCCGCGCCCCAGCTTTAATTACTATCGCAAGAGATTTATATAATCAAAAAACAACAAAGATGTAGAATGATGTAGACACGTCCGGCAATTTATTTTGACTAAAGAATCCTAATTTGGACACGTGTTTTCCATGCAACGCATTGTTTTCATAGCAGGCAACATCTGCTCTCTTTGCGCTTGCAGAAAATGCCTTCAATGCATGGATAAAAATTTTCGTGACGTGGTTCCACTATGCCGCCATGTTTCCTGAAACATGTTGCTTCAACAACGGCTTTCAGGCAGGCGGCGGTTTTACGATCACAAGGACACACAGTTTTTTTCCGCTGATGGCTGCATGCCCGTTGGTAACTGGTTAATGACAATGAAAAACCCACATGTGTATCCCCAGGTCAGCATGGTCCATATAATTGAAGTGGTAAGTCCGAAACACACCGAAGTACAAACTATGTTGGTTGTTTTGGGTGCAATATCCAAGCGGCTGTGTTCACGCCGCAACCCTTTCCAATCCGTAAGGGCCCAGTGCGGAAAATTTCCGCGTTTCCTGGCAGCTGCGCCGGGAAATTTGCCGCCCGTTGGTTGGCAGGCGCGACCAGTTTTGAAGTTCAGAACCCAGCGTGATTGGCACTTCCCACTTCCATTCGGTGTGTAACAACTGTGATGGTCGCAAATATGTTCCTTGTGCGGCGAATGGTTTCGGATGGCGGGAACACTGCTGATGCACAGCGCCAAAAAAAAATATCCCGCATGTTTGTTGTGACACTGGCGCAGGTATGCCGCAGCGAACGGTACCTGCTCAGCAATGATGACAGATCGAGATGCAAGATGTATGCGCGGTGTAGCCAAAAAAACATCGATAGATATAGCTAGATAGACGATAGATAGATTGATTGATTGATTGATAGATCGATAGATCGATAGATCGATAGAATGATAGAGTAGATAGATTAGATATAAAAACAGTCAGCCGACCCAAAAACACAGTAAGGGGGACTCATTGGACCTCACGCCGAAAAAGTGTGTGTAGATTAGATAGATAGATAGATAGATAGACTAGTTAGATAGATAGATAGAGATAGAGATGGAGATCGAGATGGAGATCGAGATAGAGACGGAGATGGAAATAGAGATGGAGATGGAGATGGAAATGGATAGAGATAGATAGATAGATAGATGGATAGATAGATAGATAGAGATAGAGATAGAGATAGAGATAGAAATAGGGATAGAGATCGAGACCGAGATCGAGATCGAGATAGAGATCGAGATAGAGATAGAGATCGAGATAGAGATAGAGATAGAGAGAGAGAGATATATATATATATAACCACCATCTGGTGATGCAGATTATTTTCCTGGGAGTCCAGTACCCAAAAATAATGTTGAAATCACCGATTTGATCCGATTTGCACATACAAAACCCTGCGTCCCTTCGAACCCAGGAAAACAATTTTGGTTCAAAATATGTCAAAAATATTTCAAGATTATTTTGCAAACGTCCAGCCACAGGAAAGTAATGTTCATGGGGGGGAGTTCACTGGAACATATATGTACGTCAAACCCCAGGAAAAAAATGCCCCATGATTATTTGAGGGGGTATGGTTCTTTACATGGCTCTAAAAGGTTGGGAACCAGGATTTAAATCTGTGGAAATGGTGCTATAATGATTATAATGCTGAATGTGCGTAGGTTAGACATCAGGAACAAATTCCAAAGATACATTTGTCCTTGCAAAGGGGTACATTTGTCCTGAACGCGCGCCCAAATTTGCAAAACATATTTTTTGCTGAAAATACATTTGTCCTAGCAAAAGGCTGCAACCACATATGTTCAGCTTCACCAACCAAAAAAGGTGACTTGAAGAGGCCGAGGCGCAGGTGTCAAAAATAAATTCCAAAGGGGCTAGACCTTTTTTGGCTGAACACATGGCCCCACAGGAAAAATGTCGCATCACCAGGTCAACCATCCATAGATAATAAAGGATAGGACAAATTCAAGAATTTTGTGTCAATGCGCGCTCAAAATGCAAAACGCATGTTTTTTTTGCTGAAAATAAATTTGTCCATGCGAAAGGGTGCAAACACATATGACATATGTTCAGCTTCGCCAACACATAAAATGAACTGGAAACGTTCGGATCCACGATTTAATATGTTCCAGGCGCGGGTTATTTGCTAAAGTTGTGGTCCGTGCAGCCCAGGAAATTGTTAACACGTGATTTAATTTGGGTGGTTGTGAAATTGCGGTAAGCCCCAAAGCATCTGATTCTTAATTTTACATACTCCCAAGTAATTGGGAATGTGGTAATTCATTCGATAAACAATTGAGTTTTGGGTTCGTCTTCAGATAGCCCCCATTCGAATCTGTCATGGGCTTCGAAACATTCATATGTAAACCTTGGGTCCCAGGAAATAAGTCGGTTAACAGCATGTGTTGAGGAGTTGTTTGTTGAGCATTATATAAGGGTTGGCACTCAGGAATTTAATTGATATTCGAGGGGGAGAAATGCCTTTCTGGAAACCTTAAGCATCAGGAAATTATTGCCTGCAAGTTTTATTCGTCTGAGACTATAAATTCCGGCAATTAAGGTCAAGCACCAGGATTTTAATCTTAAAAATGTCAGGACCCCAAAAATTAATCACGATATTTTCCTAGGACAGGACTCTCCGGAGTGCACCAGATGGGGATTATATATATAGATATGATTTAAACAAAATATGTTTTAAATAATATGTAGTGTCAGTAAGCCGTGAAAAAATGCAAAGCAGTGAACTGTCCCAATCATTAATTGTCATTGAAGCAAATGATTACTTTTTTCCCCACCTGCCAGGTGAGGGTTGTTAGATTTTATCAGAGCTGTTGTCCTCCACCTCCTCCTCCTCCTTCTCCTCCTCCTCCGCCTCCTCCTCCAGTTTCTCCTCGACCATGTCTGCATCAACTTCCCCCTCCACTTCCGCCTTGCCAACTCTTCGCCAAGCTCTTCGCCAACTTCCGAGCTCAGTGCGCACTGCTGGACCTCAACCTGGGGCCTTCCCAGCTCAGTGCGCACCGCTGGACCTCAACCTGGGACCTGCCGAACTCAGTGCGCACCGCTGGACCTCAACCTGGGGCCTTCCCAGCTCAGTGCGCACCGCTGGACCTCTAAAGCCAGATAGATTGCCAGAAGATATGCCAGATAGAAGGTCAGAAAATATGCCAGATAAATGCCATAAGATTTGGCAGATGATATGCAAGAAGATATGCCAGAAGATATCCTAGATAGAATGCCAAATAGAATGCCAAAAAATATACCAGATAGAATGCCAGAAAATATGCTAGATAGAATGCCAGAAGATATGCCAGATCGAATGCCGGATAAAATGTCAGAAAATACGCGAGAAAATATTTCAGATAGAATGCCAGATAGGACGTCAACTAGAATGCCAGAAGGTATCGCAGATAAAATGCCAGAAGATATGCCAGATAGAAGATAGAATGCTAAAAGATATGCCAGATAGAATGCAAGAAGATATGCCAGATAGAGTGGCAGATAAAGTGCCAGAATGTTTGCCAGATAGAACGCCAGAAGATTTGCCAGATAGAATGCCAGAAGATATGCCAGATAGAATGCCAGATAGGATGCCAGCTAGAATGCCAGAAGATATGCCGGATAGAAGATAGAATGCAAAAAAATATGCCAGATAGAATGCCAGAAGATATGCCAGAAAATTTGCCAGATAGAATGCCAGATAGGATGACAGAAGATATGCCAGAAGATATCCTAGATAGAATGCCAAATAGAATGCCAGAAAATATGCCAGATCGAATGCCAGAAAATATGCCAGAAGATATGCCATATAGAATGTCAGAAGATATGCCAGATAGAAGATAGAATGCCAAAAGATATGGCAGATAGAATGCCAGAAAATATGCCAGAAGATTTGCCAGATAGAATGCCAGAAGATATGCCAGAAGATATCCTAGATAGAATGCGAAATAGAATGCCAGAAGATATGCCAGATAGAATGTCAGAAGATTTGCCCGTAACAAAACGTGTAAATGTCATGGTGGGGATCACACGAAGTAAAGTATTTTTTTCCCATGTGTTTAGTTACACAATGTACCAGGATATGTTAGGCAGTAACGTGCGCGACATTACCGCATTGACAACGATTTTGCACGGAATGTTCCGCCCACATTGTGTGCCAACCGCCTTTGCATGATACCTCAGAGGACAAGAAAACACGTTGGACAGACAGTATGTGATAAAACATATCATATGAAAGTGTTTGCGCACGTCATTACGAAAAACAAACACGATTTATTTGCACGAACAATTTTTAGCAACCACGCGTGTCCAGCAGAACATGTGATGGCGTTTTTGATCGAATCCAGGTACGGGAAAACTTACTTCTGGAATCCTCACACTGGAGAATCGCGATGGGAATGTCCAGATGCGAATGTTCCTCGGCCTAATTTTTTCAAATGTGAATTGATAATCCCGAATTATAAGTTGGTTTATGCCCCCTTCAACTAGTTCGATATATCCACAAGTACCTTAATTAATTAGAATTATAAACTACCTTACTGTAGTTTTCGAACGTGGGCGCCACCTTGTATTTTGCAGTGTTCAGGGCGTCATTGCAACACGGTCGAACTCCGGGGCTCCCCCAGGCGGAAACCGTCCTCTCTTCAGATTGGCAAGCAGTGTTTTCGGAGGTCCAGCATCTGGTGCTGGCTGTTGCAAGCAGTGATTGTGTGCACATCGTTCGCGTTTTTAGATAGCTAAATTATGCTAAATTGGTTCTTAATTTGATTAACTGGGGTTTAAAGGTTCAAGAGGATATAACTGTAGTGAATAGGGTTATTATATAAACTTGCTTATTATTAGGGGGCCCATCTTGGCTTACCATGAACAATTCTGCTGGGATGAATCCGGTTCCCTTGCAACAATTTGAACCCATTTTTTCAGGAGATGATGTAGGCGGATGTGAGTACAGCGGCATGGCATTTCAAGGAGTGTAGACATGTATAGACACGTATAGACCTTCCAAGTACTGATAAAAACTGTTCAAACATGTTGAAATTGTTCGACATGTATTGAAATCTACACATTATTTTGGGGCACTTGGAGGATCCAGGTGTACCGGCACCACTGCCAGGCCCACGGCAAGCACTACTTCTGGCATCATCCCAGCGGCAAAACGCAATGGGAAATGCCGGTGTTGCGCGGAGCAGTTGCTTCGGAGGCAGATAGTGTCAGTATGTGTGTGTCACAGTGAGCGCGTGGTTTTTTCATTCCAGGATGGCTGAATTTTTGACATTCCGACTTGCCCCACTGGGCTGACAAAATGTGATTGGGTGGAACTGCCTGCCAGCACCAGTTGACATCCAGGCAATCGCGCATGAAGAGACGGTCAAGTACCACCGGTCTGGAGCTGAGTTGGGTCAAAGCATGCATGCTCTGTGCTAGAAACGTTTTTTTTGGTTCCAGGAATTAAGACTGAATTATATTAGTTCCCAGTCGGGTCTTGGCTGACTCGTTGATGACATTTCGACAGTTGAAAGAGTTTTCTTTCCCCAAAGGGCCACTTCCAGGGATCCCCACTCGCAAAGAATTATTTTAAACAAATTAAATATTGAAACTTGCATGTCCAGTGACAATAGACATCGGCATGCCGACAGCAGGTAGGTGTAGTGAAATGAAATATATAGATTGACTAAGCGTTTGCCATTGAAAGAGTGTACTGCGCGTTGACACGTGCAGTGCGCGTATGCGTTTGCAAATGTATGACCTATTGACCAACATACACAGTAATCCCTTCCTCCTAATACTAACCCCCCCCCCTAATACAAAACACGGCAGGTAGTTTTTAGTATTAGGGGGTTATTTATTATTAGGGAACCAAATCGAAGTCATGTTAATTAATTAATTAAATTTCCTTATATAACGCAATTAAAATATTGCCAAAAATGGCAGTTCGAAGCTTACCCCTAATACTAAATTAAAACCCTTAATACTAAAAACTATTTTTTCCGATCTCAAAATCAATTAAATTTCGCCTTATATAGCGCAATTAAAATATTGCCGAAAATAGCAGTTCGAAGCCTAATACTAAATTAAAACCCTTAATACTAAAAACTATTTTTTCCGATCTCAAAATCAATTAAATTTCCTTATATAACGCAATTGAAATATTGCCAAAAATGGCAGTTCGAAGCCTAATACTAAATTAAAACCCTTAATACTAAAAACTATTTTTTCCGATCTCAAAATCAATTAAATTTCCTTATATAACGCAATTAAAATATTGCCAAAAATGGCAGTTCGAAGCTTACCCCTAATTGCTAGAGTAGCCAGGCAGCTTGGAGTGAGGGATTGGGACTAGGCCCCCCTAATACTAAAGACCCCGGGGTGAACTAGTTTTTAGTATTAGGGGGGAGAACCCACAAATGGTAGGTTGATTTTTAAATTGTTTTTTAAAGGGGATCAATTAAAAGTCAAATTGGCCAAACTGAAATTTTCGGAAATTGGAGATGGATGCCTGTTTTTAGTATTAGGGGGACGTTTAGTATTAGGAGGAAGGGATTACAGCTATTCCTAGCATATGTTTGTTTTGACATTTGTTTGACACGGAAACTGACCCATGTGTTGGCGTGTTTGTTTGGCATACAAAGCGTCATTGATTTTTGTATTGGCATGTGTTTCATATTTCGGTTAAAGTACTTAGCATGGAAAAAAATAAAACAAACTGTTATAACCGGCCAGTGGGGAGAATCTTGAAAAATATGCCCCATGTCACTGTCAGTTCGTTACATCATTCGTGGCGTGGAATTTGCAACTAATCAGGCAAACTTTCACTGGAGCACCTGGTGGCAAAGGCAGGGCACCTAGATGGAAGCAGGGAGAAGTTAAAGAACTCGCATGCAATGGCGTCCCATTTAAATCTGCCATCCCACGTTGGTTTTCGACCATGCCAGAGGAATGTCTATTTAACAACATGATTTGTTTATTTTCGGGGGGAGGCATTGCCAGTAGGTCAACCGTAAAACACCCTATAGTGATCTTAGTCCACGAACATCGCGTTTCGCAGAAGTATCTATTCGCCACCTGGAACGAACTGATGCATCCCGAAAGGTGTCGTTGATTCTCCAAGAGCTGAACTTTTGAACCAATGGCGTGACGTGCTGCACTCTGCCACCCACTCAGCAAACCGCAACTGCTTTGAATAGCGCGTAGAATTCGCAGAAATTGGTTCCATGAAACCCATGGGTTGTGGTGAGTTGCGGAGCGGGTCCTCACAGCCCTGCTCTTTCACTGAAGGCCCCACTTGGAGAGGCGTCCTTTGGCTTGGTGATGGGTGAATGTTCGGACAGTAAGGCTCACACACGTAATTTGATGGGTTCGAATGCAGCATAGCAGTGGTTGTTTTTTTGAAATGAGTAATTATCCCAGTGTGGAAATATAATGAAATATAGCTCAAAATTTTGGCAATTTTTGGTGGCCACAAGTCACGTTTCCACTCTTCGTGACATGAACAAATGAAATAAGAACTGTAGATTTGGCGGGGTGGGAAAAATGGTGAACGGCATGCCTTTTGCACACAGAATGCCAGTATGATCGTATGCATCCAGTACTCCTAAAATGTGTTTTTTTTTTGACGCACGGGCGCAGGCGCAGGTCATGATTTGTTTGCGCCTCCAGGTGCTTCCATGTGACTACCTGGGTGTTCCCCTACTTTGATTGATGCGTCATCCCATCCACATTTCCATCATGATTCTCATGAATATTACTTTTTGACTTATAAACATTGAATTAAGGATGAGCGCCGTCGTTTCAAGCCAAGGTGCGTGATGGTTTCACACACGCACACAGACAGACAGACACACACACACACACACACCGTAAATCATGAAACGGTGTCGCTGCCTTAAAGATTTTTAGAGGTTTAAATTCGTTGGGCCAAGCCCAACGAGTTCAACATACCAGCCAGGAGCTTCAAGGGGACAACCTCGAAGTGATTAAGGCGACGGCCGGCTAAAGTCGCCAGTGATTCGAAAACCCATTGCCCAAACTACAAGCAAACATGCAAGGAAGGCCAACATGGAATCCCCTCCAAATTCCCGTGGTTTCAAGTCAAACCCTTTTTCAACAAAAATCAAACATGTGTCAGTCAGTTGTTGTTCGTGGGTCTATGGTACTTTTCCAGGGTGTATATACGTGGTTCCACTGTGGCAGTGAAGATTCCCTTAAGTGCTTGCTTGGCGACACCACTGACACTATAGATTTCTGGTTATAGTTGTGGTTGTCGCTGTGGCTGCGCTTGCGGTTTTGCCATTATTTTTACTGTGTGCGATTGCATTGTCATGATATGTCGCTGAAAACTTGTAATGTCATGCAATGTCATGCAATGTCAGAATGCTGCAATGCTGTAACGTTGTGATGCTCTGATGCTGTGGTGATTTGTGGTGATTGCGCAAATGTTGACAGTTGAAATTGCAATTTTGGGATACCCTCTGGTAAACTAACATAGCTATGGAAAATCACCATTTTTAATGGGAAAATCCACTATTTCTATGGCCATTTTCAATAGCTATTTTGACATAACCAGAGGGTAGACTGATGCCACATGATGCCACCTTCCGCTGTCCCTGATCCAGCCTTCTCTGTCAGGAGCTCTTGCAGTATCACCCTGCAGCGAAGGAAAAAATTGGTCCTGGGCTTCAAGGCATCAAGGTGCCCCACACCCATCAACTTGACATGACTCCGCATGACTCTACGTGTTTTTGCGGCCTTGGGTTTACCGCGTGTTACTGTATTTTTATTGTTGAATGATGGTACAGTAAATGTTTCATGCTTAGATTGTAGACTGTGTACGTAGTGCACCACGTTTTGTAAGATGTTGTACGTACGTTTGTGTATACTGTAGATAAACGTGTGTGTTTTTCATGTTTTCAGTGTGCAGATTTGTTCGTGCTTATAGATGCTTATAGTACATAACAACTTATAACACACACATATAGATATATCTATATATATATATACAGTATATTTTGCTTCCATGAGATGGTATTTTAATGTATTATATTTATATATTAATAATATATATATATATACATATCTATCTATATATATATATAAGAAGCTAAATGTATATTATTGACAATTATCCTTGTGGAGAAAGATATGAGTTCATCTGCGGTTTACTGTATGCACATGCCATGGGAAGTGACACGCGGAGTTTGCGCACTACATGGCTGCCTTCGATTTTTCATACAGATTTGCAGTAAACTCCTGGGAAGCACAGTGCCCCAAAACAATGCATATTTTGCCAGCAGTTCCAAGTGTCACATTCAAAGGCGTGTGTTCCTTTTTTTGGCATCCTTGTTAGTTTGCTGTTGAATTTATCACCAATTAAAATGTAGTCAGACATGGAAGACCTATATCTGTTTGATAGGACATGAGGTTGTTCCATGTTGTTCCCCACTGACCCACTGGGATGCACCTCGGAGTGACTGTGGATGTGGATGGCATGCGGTGCCAGGTTGACTGGGCCCCGCCCAACCATCACAAACCCAGTCGTTGCTTCTGGGTTTTGCGGACAGATGGCTCTCAGGACGGCGTCTTGGACGGTTTGGGATCCATGGTGGTCCCCTCCAACTGTCTTGAAGGGTGACCCGGAGTTTCACTTCGGGATGGTTTTTCAGGGGTGTTCTTTGGGTTTCTATGCATGATATGACCACCATTGACCACCGTTCCGTTCGTTCCTGTTTGGCCTGTTGCATCAAATTTGCCCAATGTGTTGTATAATTTGGCAAAAGGCCCCATTGTCAAGTGTATAGGCGTTGTTTTTCTTCAGGAGTTTGCAATTGTGCAACTCATTTTTTTTGACATGCCGTTAATTTATGACAAATCTGGGTTAAGTCATAGTCGACTTCACTGTGACCTCACTGGAATCATGGTTAGAAGGGGGAATTATCCCCATGTGAGGCCTTATTTCCAGTGAGGGATTGTTATAATTCCAGTTAGAAGGGGGAATTATCATGAATTATCCCAATCCAGCCTTATCCCAAATTATCCCAATACCTTATTTCAGGTTGGTGAATTGTCGTTATACTTTGCCCAGACACATGCCATATTTTCCCATCATCAGGAGGATTTCTCTGCCAGAAAGTGTGCCAGGATGCTGGGGTTGAGGCCGAGATGAAAATATGCGGTGCGACATCGGTGCACATGTTTCTTAACTGGTTGGTGGTTTGGAACCATGGAACCTTATGACTTTCCATATATTGGGAATGTCATAATCCCAACTGACGAGCTCATATTTTTCAAATGGGTAGGTATACCACCAACCAGTTAAAAAACATGTATTTGATGTGAATACAACACAATACGACTGTGAAGACCCCCTTCATCACTTTTGATTCAAGACATTTGGGGAGAACATGGAACTCAAAACTTGGCTATTTCGAGCTTGTTTGTGCATCAGTCCACAAATTGGTGACATTGATTATATAATGATTAAGCCTATTTTGATTCACTCACATTGAGATTATGCCGAGGATCCCCCACCTGCTTGGATCATTGCCCTGCAAGGTTCACCGTGGATGCCATTTGATCTGTCAAGTGCCCGCCTAGTGCGCAGCATTCAACGACCATGCACATCTACCTTGACCCTGAAAGTACACATACAACTCATACAAAAATGAATCGTGGTAAGAAGGATCACACCATTGAGGCCAATATATGTTTTGGTCAACTAAAGATCTAGACATGAACAATTTCTGCTAGCAGCCAACACATACGTTGCATCGTCCATGAGATGGCAACTTGTCATCGTTTCTTTCAAATAAAGACGTCTACCCGACAGTGATATAAGATGACATCAGATCGGCTTCATATCAAAATATCATAACATGTCTAGATGCTACATCTCTATGATATCATATCAATCTATACTGCATATCTCTTTTTAGACTTGTATAGATTAAACTTTTCAGATGTGTGTCTACTCATTGGCTAATGGGATCATAGAGTCTCAGCTGGTGACACTTAGCTTTTCACCAGTTCAATGGCTTCGGAAGGCCATCTGGCCATATCCGGCCATCGGTGGTGAGAAAATCACCGGAAGGTGATCCCATGGGGATGAGAAAAATTGGGTTTATCCCGAAGTTAACTATCGAAACCATGGTGGCTATATCATTGATATGATATATCAGATATTAATCTCTACTTCATAGCTATATCATTGATATTAATCTCTACTTCATAGCTGCTATAGCTATATTGTTGATCTATTTCTACTTCATAGCTATATCATTGATATATCTCTACGACCAATGGATGTCATACACCAACAAACAGCAAACATCACTGGAGGAACAGCGCGGTGCGTGGCCATCGGATGGCCCACACGTGGGACACGGCCCATCCCACTGAGTAAATGCAGCCATAGTCCCTGTATCCCCCCAAGTATATGGAATATGCCCACTTATTTTTGGGATTATATGGGTTATATCAGGGTTATTACATGGTTATTATATGGGTTACATATGGTTAATATATTGTTAATATGTGGATTTGATCAACCACTTGCTAAATAGGCCGCACATCCAAGTAGAGTTTTTTTTCCAGCTTTTGCCAAAGGAAAACAGGAGAAACCATGCCCTTCCCCACGGTATGCAGGATGATGCAGGATGTAAGTCTAGTTGTTGCTGACTCTTCCTGCAAAAACTATTGCCAGATTTGCCAGGTTCCTCCAAACCCTTTGGAAAATTGAAGTTTCCAAGACGTGGAGAAAAACTGGCCCCACCCTTACAGTTCCTATTGATTTATCCAACTGCGGTCTACTCTCTTCCGGGTCTCCTAGTCCGCCAGACGCTCAATGGACTTCAACTCCAGATTGGTGGGGACAGGCGGCGGGGTGCAACTGCTTTTGATTCTCTTTTATCCCCATAATATGGGTTTGTCTGACAATGGGGCATTTGGCCTAGAAGTATCGCTATTTGATGAGAAAGATGATGATAAAGCATGATTAAGCATCAAATGTGGGGGGCACCCCATTTCAGAGACACCCATATCACCGGTTTGTTCAACTTGATGCGAGGCCTATTGGAAAGGCTCGGCTTGCTGTTTTTCCAACTGCATCTTGATGGTTCTTTTTGAACACAAGATCTGATGCCAGCAGACCGGCAGGCCAATGGACCCGGCCACAAGAGGAAGCCTGGGAAAGCCCACCAGAGGAGGACATCCCAAGCAATGTTCGAAGCCCGAGCCACAAGGATGATGCCTCCAATGCAGATGCCGAGACCAGAGACTGGGGGAACCAAGGATGGTCCCGGCCAAGTTGGGGTTGGAGCTGGGATGGTTGGGATCGTTGGAGACCTTGGAGCTGGAAAAGCGCTTGGGGCTGGGGTGGATGGGGCGGCTGGGACCGTGGCTGGGGGTGGGGTAACTGGGGCTGGGGGGGCTGGTCTGGTGACTCCTGGCGGCGTAATGATGGCTGGAGCTGGGACCGTGACCGTGGCTGGAAGGAACCGGAACCGGGGCGATGGAACTGGTGGCAAGAGAGGGATGCACAAGGGCAATGGTGGAACCAACGAGAGGGGCAGGGCTGGTGGTCACACAACTCTGAAGTTCCGGAAGCGGGGCGCGAAGAACGAGAAAGATGGGAGCCGGAGGCCCCGGCTGTGGAAGACGAGCTGGAAAGTACCACGGAGCAGAACCAGGCTTTTCACACAGTTCTTTCGGGTTTTGACACCAGATTGCCAAAGTTTTGAATCAACCTGCCTACTGGTAAGAGGCAAAACTGTTGGTCCCACAAATCTGAGTGATCAATTGGGGAGTAAGACCAGTTGATCCAAATCACCTCCAGGGCGTCCGCGCATTTGCTGCTGAAATGACTGCAGAGCAGCGGGAGCACGAGGCAAGCCCTTGTTGCCATGATCTTCCCAACGTAAGTGGCCAGTCTCATCCATCCATAATACGCAATCCCTCCATATCCATCCATAATATGTCCCAATATTCTTGATCATGATGATTGAAGGGACACTTCGCAGGAACCCCCCATAGATGCCAGCAGACACGTGGTATAACAGCAGCATTTTCGGTTGATTTTGCCTTGCAGGAGCCGCTTCCGGGGCCGCCTGAGCCCTTCTTAGGCGAGTCAGGTGGCAACATCCGACTGCCAAGTATTCCTGAGCAACCCACCCTGGAGGTGGGAAAGTCTGGTTTTTTTTGGATGGGTTTTGGTGGGGATGGGTCCAGTTGCCTATGACATGACCATAATGACTGGGAAAATAACCCACCCGCCCCGCTCTGGGAAGACGGGCTTCAACAGGCACATTGGGAGTTAGGAAGCTGAGATTTCCATGATGGTGATGAAAAATCCCAGAAAAATCCCATTAGGTCCCATGGAATTGACGCATATTCCGAATCTATCCCATGGAAAATCTACACAGTTTTTCACCGATGTGTTTCTTCTTAGGGTTGGATGGTTTGGATGAATTTACCATGATTTACCTATGATTTACCTATGGTTTACCTATGATTTATCTATGATTTATCTATGATTTACCTATATGATTTATCTATGATTTATCTATGATTTACCTATATGATTTATCTATGATTTATCTATGATTTACCTATATGATTTATCTATGATTTATCGATGGCATCCCAGTGAAACTATTGCAAGTGAGGCCTTTCTGAGAGGGTCACCAGACCCCAGACCCAAGCTGCAGGAGGCGAGCCCCAGCGCAGCTCCAGTTGAGGCGTCAGCGCCACCCTGGACAGTTACAGTTGGTTTAGTTCCCTACAGGTGGTAAGACTTATATAGCTACTTGACTAAAAGACTCTAAACAGATCTGAGTCATACCTGGTTGGCATATCTCGTTGGTGGTTTGGAACATTTAACATGGCCATGGTATAGATGGCCCATAGAAATAGATGATGTTCCCAGCAAACTAAACCTCCATTTATGGTTGGGATTTTCCAGTTCGCTATGTTAAATAACCAGATGGTAGTTCCCTACCGGTGGTAAGACTTAGCTACTTGACTAAAAGATGCTTGTACAAGGTGGTGCCCCATGGTTACACTATGTTCCACTGTGTTCCTGTTGATGGTAATTGGGGGGCGCCACGTGGTATATTATGTAAAGGCGCCCCCCAAAAAGATGCAGACAAGTACAAAATCCATGTCTAAAATAGTGGTTGAATAGTGGTAAATGTATTCCTGGACCTTTTTATGGTCTTCACTTCGCAAGAACAAATCTTTGGTGGTACTGATGTTCGATCTGCACGGGCCAGATCTTTCTCAATTGCGATCTGAAATAAAATATCCTCCAAGATCTTCAAAACGACAGAGATGATGATTTTGATGGTATGTGTGCACCAAATATGCAGTGGATACAGGAACACCAGTCCGTCACAGCTTCTTTTTGAGATATTCCCGCTGTCAGGATCAACCATTGCACGCCCATGAGAATGAAGAGTGGTACCAGAAGTGGCTGCGGCGACAGCGCAATCAGCCCAGCCATACAGTGGAGATAGGCGCTGGAAAATGTTGACATGATCCACGGATAGCCTCGCAGGTCTTTCAGTTACTGTTAGTTGGGGTCGGCCCCATGAAGCTTGTGCTGGGTCTTGCTCAAGGTCCTAAGACGCCGATGACAGTTACAGTTTTTGTGCATAGACGTGCATAGACACCGTGATTTTTGCTTGGTTGGATATGTTTACACCAATTGATGTTAGGCTGTTTGAATTTGAACAATCCCAGAAATGAAACCATGTGCAGTGGGCAGTTCCACCTCAAGTCATCCGGAATTCCATCGTGGTTGGCATATCCATTGCATAACTGATGACTTGTGCAAACAATAAAACAGCACCCTATCTATAGATAGATATAGATAGATAGATAGATAGATAGCCCAAGAAACAATAAGAAACAACCCCTTTAGGGTTTCTTTCAACACAATAGCATTCTAAGTTAATCTACCTATATAGACCCTCTAAGTACCTCTAAAATAATGATAATGTTCCTCAGCCATTTTGGTGTACCACCTGTACATCGGAAACACCCGTTGTCGTTGTTGTTGTTGTTGTTGTTGTTGTTGTCGTTGTCGTTGGCAGCTATAGGGGTAACACCTAGCATTACGCAGCCTGAGTGTCTCTCAAACACACAGTAAAATAATGCTGTTTTACCCTATTGGTACTTTTCCCATTTCTTCCGTGTATTTCGAGGGTTAGTTGGTACTTCCCATCATTTTTTCCCACACAAAATGGCCACAGGTGCCCCGCCGGCAGCCGCTTCTTCCGCTCCACCGTCTGCGGCGCCTTTGCGGCCCGACGCGGCGTCGGCGTCCTCAGCGTCGGCGGCAGAGGCCGGGCTGCGCTGCGGTTCGACGGACCGTGGGGGCTATTAATTTGTCAACCCATGGGTATCTGAAGACGGGCATTGCGCAGTTTTTCCACGGAAAGGATGATGAACCATTGGATTCATGGGGCACCCGATGATGTTGGATGAATTGCTCAACTCGGTTTTAGAACGGAGGTTATAACCCACTGACTAACTGGGGTGAAGCACCAACTAGCCATCTAAACATCACGGTTTCTCGAAAAAATCACGAACTGTTTGTTGTCAGCTTTGCTATGCTAGAGTCTACCATGGTAAATTGCCGGATGAATAGCTACCCGGCTTGGCTGCGTTGGCAGGCGGCCGAGACCATTGATCCATCCGAGGCTTGGACATTTTATGCTGGTGGGGAGGTGCCCTTTGATAAGAATTAACTTAACTATGGAAAGATAGGCAAAGCATCTACAAATCCGGATTAATTATGATTAGGTTTCTTTTTTGAAAAAAATATGCCGGGAATGTCATCCAAGATTAGCCATTGGGGGAGGTGCCAATTGTCCTCTTTGAATTTCATATGTTTGTTGGGGTGTCCCATGTGTTGAGGAGCAGAGGGTGTGTCCGGATGATGGCAAGACGTATACCTTTTCGGAACTCCAAGAGGCGTACAAAGGAGCCTTGGCTATTGTGACTGCTTGGTGTCAAAAATTGGCAGGTTGCCAAGCATAAATGATATAGACGGGAGATTGTTTAACGAATTCAGTAGATGACTTTAACTTTGAATTTGTTTTTTGGTTGGGTCGCGTGCGCAGGGGGCCTCCATTTTATACCAAAAAATGGCGAGCAAACTCAACCCAAAAAAAGATTGTTTTGTTTACCAACTTTTTGTAAGTTAACGAAATGCTGGCGATAGAACTGCAGATTCGCCAGCAGTTCCTGGTGTGATGATCCGGATGGTTTTTCATATGCACCCAAGGTTTTGAAATCACCAAACATGTGAGGTGACATTGCAGAAACAATTAAGGGAGGGTTCCAAAGTATATGCGAAAATGATGCCAAAACTCAAGCACTACAGCGTAGTTTCCTAAGGCGAGTACTCGGAGGAGGATTTGAAAGGCTACTGGAGAGACGCCATGATCCTTCCGGGCGGCGAGAAGGTGGCTGAAACTTCGAAGGAAGCCAGAAGCTCACAGTTTTCTTGTACGCAATGCAGAATATGCAGCCAGCAAGCTGAGGTTTCCTAATATGGGGAGTACACGGGGGTACCCCAAAATGAATGGTTTATCATGGAAGATCCTAATATGCATATTTTGGGGGGTATCCCTCCTTTAGGAAACTTCCATATGAGTTGGACTTGCTGTATGCAAACTTACAGGTCCTGATTGTGAAACCTCCTAAGGACTACAAACAAGAGGAATGGTACCAGATGCTTGGCCTCAGCAGACTATGCTATGCTGTTGGACTTGGCGAGCAAATTGGTGATGTTTTTTGTGTTTTTTGTGTTTTAAGATCCTTTGGTGAACTATATTTCATATGGTTTATTGTTATAGGATGTCGTATGATGTTGTATGTTACGTTGTCTTTCTAGTGCATGATATAGCCAGATTTTGATCGTTCATGCCTTGTCACGCGCGATCTTGACCAAAAAATCACAACCGGCATCGGCCGTTGCACCAAATGTGGGCCTAGGAAGTGGCTCCGCAGGCAGCAGAACAAAAATCGACAGATCATCGAAATTGGTTAAGTGGCTGGGCCCAAGGTGGCCCGTGGCGCAGAATTTTAGGGCGGAGCGCGGACCCGAAGCCCAATCCCTTCCCGTTCCCCCTGCTTTGGTGATAAACACCTCCAAGAAAGCTTGTTCTTTTTTTTTTACGGAAGTTGTTTTGTTGGGGTGCCCTCATCGGTTTTGGGCCGGTTTTAGGGGGATGACTTTCTCTAGGCTGGCAGACTTTGAAGCAACAGCAGCCAAAAGGATACGCAGAAGTCAGCCATTTTGTATTGATTGCAGCTGGCTTCCCAAGCAGCATTTCTATTATTTCTGCATCTTTGTGCAGCTTCGACGTTTGCTTTGCATGTGTGGCTTATTTTCAGCTCAAGTTGTTTGAAGTTGTTGTCGTCCTCACATTCATTAGAAGCCATGTAATAGCCATGTTTCTTGGACATGGCTCCCGCATCCGAGCTTACATGGTGCCCCTATCCAAAAGATTGCATATATACTATTATACATTATATATAAATAATAAATATATTATATTGCATGTTAGGGAGGTGTGTTATATATTCGTAATATGTCAATATATCATAATATATCACGCAATATCTTTGGGTAATCTGGTTATGCAGTTTAACGATCAAAGTGATTGGCAAAAAATGAATGGGACATATCGACATATATTCACGCAATATGCAAATATGTATGTACAGACGCTGCTAGCCAGCTAAAAATGAAACCTATTCTGTGCTTCCTATCCAAGTTTCGCCATGATTTGCCGACGGCTTGTGCGCCAAGACTGAGCCGTGCCGATGCGGAGATGGCTGTTGGCTACTTGGCTCGGGGCCGGATGTGAAACACAGGCCTAAGGGACCCGAGGCACTATAAAATCAAAAAAAACAAAGGAAAACATCAACAGCTCATCTTTTTGTTCATTATCCTTTTTTCATTTTTCATTGGTAGTTCTTCATGGATCATGAGTAGCATTGTCTGTTGTCGACATTGTGACCCATGTGGGGCCCCCAATCACCCCATTGGCAGACCTTGTGTGGGTAGTTGGACTGATTGTTCCATAGGCACTGCACTGCAGTTAAATTTTCCAACAAAAAGACAAGACACCGACTTTTTCCCAGCACCTTTTGTAAAAAAAAAGTTCCAATATGCTGTTTCCTGAACAAACTCACTTCTTAGATTTCTTGGGGGTTGCGGGTTGCCCAAGACCAACCTCAATGGTAACAACGACCATCCCCCACTTTCGACCAGAGGTTCTTCCACTGCTGTTCGGGTCACCTTGCGCCGGAGATGAAGCGCAGGCGGAAGAGAGTGGGTACATAAAGGGATCAAATGGGGATTGAACATGATATAATGGGACTATAATTCATGTATATATATAATTATATATATATGTACAAATTGAATATCCTGAATATAATGATGGAATGGGGATATCATGAGGATACAATGGGATTATAATGGAAGTATTTCATGGGATATTAGTCAGCAACAATGATGATTTTTGGGTGTGTCTGAAGACGGGGATAGCCACAATGGGCAGCGGCTTAGTATATAGGGAAAATTATGATGAACCATCTGCTTTTACATCATTGCAAGCCCCAGATAGGTAGAAAAAATGGAAGTCCGGAAACTAGGAGTGACTAACCTATATTACATCCTGAAAATAGCCAAAAAAGGAAATATATGTAATTAATTACATATGTAGCATAATTTAATTATAGAGAGAGAGAGAGATAGATAAATAGATAGATAGACAGACAGAAAGATAGATAGAGGGGGAGAGAGAGAGAGAGATATATATATATTAAAACATAATATGTATATTAATTTATATATATATATGCATATATGTACAAATGCCTTTTAGCACCCCTGTAACTCTGACCCAAAACTTGGGTAACGTTCCAACGCCCATTCCGATGGCTCTTTCAGAACCCCAAGCTATTGAATTCGACCTCTTTTTGAGGCACAATTCCCAGCGCATCACCGGAGTTCTGGAAATGTTGCATCTTTATTTAACCAGATTGGTTTCACCGGTGCATCCCAGTTAGTAAATGGTTAGCCACATCTAGCCCATGTAACTTTAGATTTGTTTTTTTCAAAAAAGTTGGTGATTGCCCACTTTCTTTTTAGGATGATCTCAACAATTGACCACCACAAGTTTGCCCCGCAGTTATAAACTGGTAATAAGTTATGCATCGCTAGTAACGGTATAGTTTTAGAACATATGCCTCTCATACACCATAGAATTCGCCGCAGGAAAAACAACTGATTCTATGGTGATCAAAGATAGCCGAGGGAACATCCTCCATGGAAAAGTTCGACGAAGTTCTCGTGAAAAAAAAATCAATTTATAGTGGATTTTCCCAGCTATAAACCTCCATTCAGACTCCACTTCTCAATGGTTTTCCCATGGAAATCCTGAGTTGCTATGAACTTCGCTACGTTCGCCTAAGGCCTGCATGACTGCCAGGGTCATCAGCGTTGGCACGGCGGATCCATGGGCGCCTTGGTTAAGACTTCACGAAATCAACCCTAGTGGAATCATCGTTTTAATACCCTTTGGTAAACATACAAAAAACTATTGAAAATGGCCATTTCTAGTGGATTTTCCCATTAGAAATGGTGATTTTCCATAGCTATGTTAAATTACCAGAGGGTAAACGTACAAAAAACTGTGGAAAGATCCACCATTTTTTAATGCCGGTAAATTAAATCAACTATAATGAGCCATGTTCAATAGCAAACTGTTAAATTACCAGAGGGTAAGGGGAATCATCGCAGAAGTTAAAAAAGGCCTGATTTCAGATAAGTGAATTATGACGGTTTGCCCAGGTACTTTTCTGATCCTTGTCTGGAGGGTACCAATTATTATCAATCTCAGATATTTTCCCAGGGAATTAAGTGTAATGAAGAGTTATAAATTGGGATATTGGGGATATTCATGGATTTGGATTGGGATACCTAACCCCGAACGGCCGAACTTTTGAGTTTGGCACATTAAGTTGATCAGACAAATGGACAGCTTTAACCTGGATGTTTTTGGTGGATTTGGCAATCAAACAATTGATAGACTTGGGGGGGTTCAGCCAAAGAATGCCGATGGAGAGGGAGACCAACTTTTGGCTGGTTGGTGGTGTCAACTATCCGTAGCTGGTTGGTGTATGGGATGAAAGCTCTAGTTATTTAGTGACACACTGGAAAGGCGACCCTCCTGGCGGTCATATGGCCCTTCCAGTTCGAACGGCGGATCTTCACCGGAAACCATGGGTTTTTCTTGGTTTTTCCTATATGAAATCTAGGGGTTTCATGGGGGTTTCCCTAGTTTCCTTGGAACATTTTCCTGAGACCAAACCATTGGACCCTTATCGCCACCGAGGATGCAGGGCAAGTTCGAATCCTCACCGACAACTTGCCCATTTTTCGCACCTCGGGGAGCAGTTAAAATGGGTGATGAACTTGGGATTTATGGCGCTTACCAATGCTTACCGGATCAGATTGAAGGATGGAGCATGATGAAACTAGGTGTGTTGGAAAGATTGGGGGCCCACAAATGTCAACCATGGTCACTTCATAGACCATCTGTTTGAATGTTTTGTTTGTTTCAATTTGGAAAACTCGTTGTTTTTGGGAGTCCCATATTGCACTGGCATGGGCCATGGGCCAATGTTTGCTCCATTGTGAATCATTGTGCCTTCAGGCCGCTGACCTTTGCGGTTTATCGTCACGCTTTGCCCGGTCATATAATTAATTAATTAGTGTAGTTGGAACCTCTCCGTACCTTGTTTGGTTGGTGGTTTGGATTTTTTTTTCCCCACATATTGGGAACTCTCATCCCAACTGACTTTCATATTTTTCAGAGGGGCTGAAACTACCAACCAGTTGTATATACCATCTGGTTATTTAACATAGCCATGAAAAATCACCATTTTTCATAGGTAAACCATCTATAAATGGGCCATTTTCGATGGCTATGTTAAATAACCAGAGGGTAATTCATTCAAAAACATTCCATCGATCACATGGTGCTGGATTTCATCGATCAATCGATCAGCCAGATTTTGTTGTTCGAATGACTTGCTAGCAGATAGAATGCTATCTAAAATAACATGAGTGCAAATTTATTATGAGCATTATGCTGAATGAATCTTTAGTAGAAAAAACAAGCAGGTAGCATATTGACCCTTATAGATTTTTTCCGGACCTGTGTGAACCACGCCAGAGCACATCGGAATCTGCTCTTTCAATCTCGATTTCTATCCACGTGTTGCAGGGATGACGTGTTTTGCAGAAGCCCAGTTTCCACACTGAATTCCTCCATCACTTTGGGAGACTTTGGGTATGCAATGCTTCCTCAAATGCACCCAGATGTCTCTAGTCAAGTGACTCTAAGAAGATGTAAGAAGGCCATTTTTTGATTCTCCCATGAGGCTTCGTGCCGCGCCGGGGAGTTTGGGAGCCCAGACCAGCGGGAAGAGAGCTGGCGTTTTAGTCGGATTTACCTGACATCTACCCCGAATTCGTGACACTTGTCATGGAGAATGATGCTTTTTAGTGCAATTTAGAAATTTCTTGGAATTGGGAGCCGCCCCATTTTCAGACCAATTTAGGTAATACCTTCTCTCCGTACGCCCTCAGTGGCCGACATCATCATAGATGATGTTTTTCGTCGGTAGAATGAGGCAGATGGATCCCGGAAAGGCCAGTAATAGGCCAGTTTCTTCTCATCCCACTTCTGGTTGTGCTTGTAAAAGAAATGTTTCTACTGTAAATGGTCCGCTTCAACTAACCGATCAGAACCACACCAAGACTTTGTAGAATTCATAAGACACAGTGTAAGACACACAGATTTTAAGGTTCATTTAGGTTCAGAGTAGGTGCCTAGGATTATTTTGATGCCTGTGGAGCTAGCTGTTTGACACTGAACTGGATGTGAATATCTAATTCACTCTTTGTTACTAATTTCCTATATGTCCACATTAACTGGTTGGCGGTTTGGAACATGTTTTTTTCTCCATAGATTGGGAAGAATAATCCCAACTGACTTTCACATTTTTCAGAGGGGTAGGTAGACCACAAGCTGTGAAAATCTATGGGTCCAAAGAATAAAGAAACCAACATTGTTACCCAGTTACCCTCTGGTAAACTAACATAACTATGGAAAGTCACCATTTTTATTGGAAAAACTCACTAGAAATGGCCATTTTCCATAGTTTTTTGTACGTTTACCAGAGGGTAACATGTTTGTTTCTTCCTTCGTGGGTCGGCCAGATCCGCAGGGTACCTTTTTGGGGTGCCGTGGCATCAGGTGAATGTCGTGGCGTTGGGCCCCAAAGATGGCACTGAGGTGCGACGGCCATGACAGAGTTTGAACGTGAAATAAAGCTATGCCATGCACACATGTTTAATTAAGGTTTACTCTTATATATATATATATATTATATATACATTTACAAATCCCATAGGATCCATGTATGGTATATTTACCTGCATTTGGGTCATTTATGGGGTAAATGTTGGTAAATATTCCATACATGGATCCTATGGGAATGTGATGCAATTAATATGTAACATGCATGTACATATACATAATATACATACATATATATATACAACGCATCAGGCATTTGTGTATGTTTGTGGTCTGGGTATAAGCTAAACATTTAAAGAACATATGCGAACTTCAGAAGGCCCAGGGATAGTTCCTTCGAGATGGGGCACCTAATCCGCGCCGCAGGTTTTGCTGAATCGAACTTATGGCCCACAAGAGGCTTCAGCAAAAGACCTCGAGAAGGACCCTGGGGAAAGCCATGTTGGTGTTGGAGCGTGGTCCAAGGGCCGTGTTTCTAGTTTAATACACATGTACATCATATGTATTGATATTTGTATATAGCTCTTTGTTCAGGTTGCGAAAACACCCTTAAGGTGCTATATTTATATATATATATACATAACACATATATTCACATATGCATACATTTCATATCATAAATATGTATATAAATAAACACACACACACACATATATATATATATCATATGTTGCCACAAGTAGGGATATGTATTGCCATCCGGCCAGACAGCTCCAGGCCATCTAAGATGGGCCATTTGTTGAACGTAAATTTTGCTGTAGTTTTCCATATCCCAAAGAAAGGGGAGTGGCCAAGAAAAATCCAACGTCTCCAAGAATTCGTTATTTCTTGGCAGGTTTTAAGGGCTTGAAAAGGGAATTGAGGAGTGCTCCCAAGTCATTCGCGACAGATCCAGCCCAAGTTTTTGCACGATTTTTTTCCCTCAGAGATAGCTGGAAAGAACCTCAGCAGAATTACCTTCCAGCAATCCATTGGAGAAACAACGCACCGACTTTCCCCAAAAAAAGTACTGTAGGACCTGGATGATTTGCCCCCGCACACCGTGCCCAGCTCAATGTTTGTATCTGCACCCCCCGGTGCCAAAGAACGCGCCAAAGCGACGCGCAGCACCGAGGTGATTCTGGTGGCTTTGCTGGGGATGTCACACCAGGACCGGCCCTGCGCAACGCGGGTGAGGATGTTGTGATCGGGGCCCTTCAAAGATCCCATAGGATCCATGGTGCTGGTATATGTGCTAACATACAAGGGGTATATTGATGGGATCCATGGCACAACATATAAGCAGCACCATGGATCCTATGGGGATGACACCCCCCCAAAACCTTCACTATCCACGGCGTTGATGGGCCTAGTGGGCCTACCAGGCTTACCTGGAACCCTTGAGCAAGATCCAAGCGACTCTCTTCCCGGCGATCTCTCCCGAACAAGGCGCGCGACGACTTAAGAACATGTTTCATGGAAACCCAATAAATTGCTGAAAAGAAACATGATAAGGTGGATAGGCTAAAGAACATCATCTTGATTTCATTTTAAAGAATTGGCCTTGTTTGTTTGAAGGGGCACCTTTAGGGGGAGCTTATAAAGGTTTCTGTGAATGGTGGCATGTTTTTTTCAACAGCCAGGGGTAGGACCTTTTGCGACTTCTTGAGGGGTTAGTGTCAGCTCTTATAAGGCGAATTGAGATCATAAACCAATCAGGGACCCGCGCTTAAATCAAAAGTCATCAGCCTGTTCACTGGAAATCTGGCTGCATGGGACTCAACCACCCCTCAAAAGGTGACCCCCAATGAAGGGCGGAGCAGCTATCATTGGGGGTCACCTCTCTGATCCCTGAGGTTATGCCTTGATTGGCAGCAAGGGCCGTGTGCCTCTGGAGCATGTTGGAGCCTGGGTAGATGTCTTGATCCTCAGGTTTTCTTTGACGACGGGGTACATGACTTATGGGGTTTGTGCTGGGAGCTTGCTGAACAAACTTTTGTAGTCAACTATAGGCTGTACTGTAGGTGTCTATTTTCTGGAGTCTGAAATGGCTTCAAGCCAATGATTTTAAGCATTATTCTTAGGCAATGTTTAGCCCTTTTTAAAAACTGTTTCATTTTTAGTTGAGGAATACGAACATGATGTTTATTTCCATTATCATTGAGGACAACTGGCGGCTTTGGTAAAGTAGTAGGCCCAGATTTGGCGTGGTCAACCGACGCTTGCCGCGGCCCTTCCATATCATACCGCAATATCTGGTTCAAGCTGAAAAAAGCATTGTACGCCGTGCCACGCAGAGTAAAAAGACACCCAAGAAAATTGTCCAATGGTGGCCGTTCTTTATACAGCACTCATTAATCAATGTTGGGCTGCATATCTATAGGTAGTCAAGCCCGGGAAGGTGTTGACATCGTGAAGTGCCTAAACATGGTGAGGTGCCTAAGCAACCATGGTTTGGCTGTTCGAATGCCTGGCTGAAAGTAAGCCTTCTTGAGGGTATTTTGCGTTTGTCGGAAAATCCATTGGATCAAAAGCATCAAATCCAAAGGAAATCTCACCAAAAAGAACAAATTTCCACATTCAAACAGCCATAAATTGGGGTATTCATGGGTAAAAAACTCACAAAAAGACCGAGAATGGCTGCAACGCTGCGTCTCATGCTGCGTCATGATGTCCCCCACCAACTCTGATGGTGGGAGTGAGGTGCCTACGGACCGCGAGAGCTGGGTTATTGATTTCTTGGGACCCTGGGCCGCGGCCCTGGTCACGGAATAAATTGAACCATGATTTTATTTGTTGTTGTTATTGTTCCTAGAATGTTTTATATCGTTTTTGTTGTTGCATAGTTGTTATTATTGTTTCCCTACTTAGTACGATTATCATTAAGATACTTGATTAATACGTGATGATACCCGTTTTTGATTTGGTTCTGGATTTGCGGCCAATGGCCAGCTGGAAAATTTCATGATTCTTTTCGCAGAACTGGCCAGGTTTGGCTGTTGCTGGTGGGTGCTGGTTGGCTGCTTGGCGGCAGTGAACTATTGCCATGGATCTGCGAGTATCGAACATCAGACCCTGTCAGATATTTAGTTTATGAATGTGTATGATATAGAACTACCTACACACTCTACCAACAAAAACATGTGCTTTACCCCACAACCTTATAACTTTGCCCATACTTTTCCATACTTTTCCAATTTTGGGGTTGTATTTGGGGTGTATTATAGACCTATAGTTATTGCCTTGGAAGCTTTTCCGCAGATCTAACTTGTTTTAAGGTGCTGGGCTCAGAAAGGAACAAATTGATCATGGTGAAAATGTGGTGAAACATGGTGCAACCAAAGGTTTAAAAAAATTGAGGGCCCAGGGCATCCCTTAAAGTTTTGAAACACAAATATACCATCTGAAGCCAACAAAACCCACCACAAAAAAAACATCATTAACGTGTTATCTAAATATTCTCAGATATGCTCTGATCCACATGTCATGACCCTATCGCCTCAACCGCAGAGCGTTTTCAGGTGCTGTGATCAGTTTGGACGCGGCGCCGGTGCCGGACCTCCCACTGGACGATTTTGAGGATGACGACTGCATTGAGTCGCAGGAATCGGACCTCCTCTTGTGGCCTGGCCTACCCGCGATGTGGATCGTGATCCCTATATATTCTTCAGGCCTCAGGCCGGGATTGAAACATCAATATAGCCCATTGAAACTCAAGCTGTTTGGGTGGTAGCCCGTTTAAGGCATGTGGACTGTTGAGTTTCGAAACCCCAGAAAGTTAGGAAGAAGAACCACCATGAGCTCAGGTCACTGCAGTTGAACTGGGAAAAGATTTGGGATTTGCAGTGCCTTTTTGGGGCGTAGATCAGTTCATGCCATGCAAAACTTCGCAGAGAGCCTCCTAAGTCAAGTTTTGGGAGAAGGGTTCATGGTGTTTTTTTTGTTCCAGTTGTACTTGTGGGAGATGATGACTTGCCAACTTGGAGGATTAAACATCAGCGTTCACACTATTTGCCTTACTATTTCTCAGATTTTATCAATCCATCAGGCACTTTCAATGTTCCTGGATTTGTGTAAGGTGATTGTTTGTTTTCATTTCTTTTCATGGGGTCCCATCTACCATCTATAGGGAATCTTTTTGGGGAATATGTCTGGTATTTTTTTATACAGGGCCCCCGGGCCCGCAAATCATCCAAGCCTTGGAGACAAGCCCAGGGGATACCGATGGATGACGACCAATGACCGAGGCATTTGATGCACGAGCTGGGCGGAGTTTTGGAACAAGTTCTCTTGCAGATCGAAGCTGGCGTGAACAAGGAGCCCGACAGCCCGGCCACACATTACGTATATCATAATCGTATGTATATATATATATATTAATATATGTGCAAATATGTTATTTATTTCTGTTTATGAGATTTGTGATGATTCATGTCTTTTTGTGTCAATTTGAAGTGCATGAAGCATCATGAAACCGTGTTTCACAAACAGAACATGGAGATTCTTCGTTGGCTGCGGCCTTTCGGCTCTACCAGTGGGGTTACTGAAGACCAACAGGTGTCATCACAACCATGCGAGCTTAACGTATCTTTCATGGACAGCTTTTTTTTTGAAAATTGGGGTTCTTTTTCAGGCTATGCTATGCTATGCTCAGATGCTATAGCTGTGCTTAGCTATTCTGCTCAGAATTTCAATAGTGCAGAAGAACCGTATGCACCGCAGACGGTTTGGCTCCGTTGATCGCCATGGATTTTGATGCCTTGGAAGAGGCGGAGGAGCAACTGGAGGACGTTCCTGGCTAGCGTTGGACTCCAGCTGGACCAAGCAAGACCTGAAATGTCAATGCAATGTACAGATTGTGGCAACAGCTCCATTCACCTATATATGGATGGTTGACTTAAAGACAGGGATATCATGTACCAACTGGTTAGGGCTGACATGGCGATCTAGGTATGTGGCCATGGCATCTATGGCATCTATGGGTCAATTTATTGATGGCTTGGGATCATTTTTCTGGCGACGACCCCTTGCTCCTGAGGAACTTTCATGATTCAAACAGCTCTTTGGAACAATGAACTTGATCAACTAGCGAGAACCAAGTAGTCCAAGTAGTTCATTGATGTTAGGTGCAGCAGAATGCAAATCTGAACTTGCTCTCTTAGGTTGACATCGGTTGACATCAACATGGGAACCTGCTCTGTCGTTACAAAACCGGCCATTCCGGGGCTCCCAGGCTGACTCTGAACTGGAAACGGCCTTTCTGCAGGCTGTTGGGGTAAAAGATGTGAAGGACCTGCTGCGCTCCGATGTCGTATGGTGAGGAAAACACAGTGGGAAGGTCGGACATAATTAGGAACATGAAGGGATTCTACATGATTCTACCACCGAATCATAACTCACAAGATCTCACAACTATATCTTCAAGCAAAGGTGTCTCTAGATTTTACATCTGAAGTTTTTGGACTTTCTACCTTAGATTTATCAACAAAGACATGAGGCCCAGAGGAATTGAGACTCCGCATGGGGCAGGACCTTCATGATCGTGAAACCATTGAGTGCCTCGCAGACAGACAGGGCGGACATCACAGGGAACGCATGTTGACACGGAACAACAAAATGCCATATCCAAATCACCTTTCAAACCTAATTTTTGTCGTTTCGATTTTAGATTTTGGGGAGCGCAACCATCCATGTTTTCTTTGGCGGAGCATTTTTTCCAATGTGGCACTTCAAGTCGTCGCATCGCAGGCTGTGCGGAGCCAAGCTCACCGGACTTCCCTGCCTGAAACTCCAAAAACTTCGGAGGCTTCAGGTGAAACGCTGTGATTTGCAGCAGCTTCCATCCTCCTTGGGTGCCTAGGCATCGTTCATTATTTTGTTGGTACTTGTTTGGGCATTTTCACCTCTCCAAGGGATGTCTTTTGTGATCTCATCCCGAAGCTCATCCAGAGACGTGGCCAATTCACAGGGTTGGTAACCCCAAACAACAACTGGATACAAGAACTCCATTGGTCATCCGCATTTTTTTTGAGCCAAGGTCGGATGTGCAATTTGAGGCACTTGAACCTGGCGGACACTTGGGCTGGTTAGGGTTCGAGTTGATGCTGGACTTGGTCTTAATTCCTATAGCGCCAAACAGTGATATGCAAGAATTGCCATCTGGTAAAGTAACATAGCTATTCAAATCACATTGATTTGTAGATATGTTGAAGAGGTAAATCATCAAAAAATGGGCTAGTTTTCTTAGCTGTGTTACGAACCACTGGAGGCTCCTGAAATGTGCCACATCCAAGAGGAGCAAAATCCTATTGTAAACGCAGTCTTTCATTGGCCTCTCATGCTAAAACAACAAGTCCCATGCCAAACTTTGGGACTATCCACCCCAAAAAAAGAAATGCTGAAAACGTCATGCCCACAGTCTGCCCCAAAATCAGAGGTCAAAATCCAAACTGTTTGAACACAGAAAATCACCGGCCGAGGAGAATCGCTTGGAAGGTTTGCCAGAGCAGCTGGTGATGCTGGAGTCCCTTGAAGAACTGGACCTAGCAGACAACAGGCAGGGCCGGGGCCTGCTGTGGCGGGACGTGGCTTATGAGATTTTCTGAGCCACAGAGGATGTGCGAGCAATTGCTATTGTTTCGTGTTTTTTTTGGTGTTTCGATTTTGCATGTTTTTTTGCGTGTGTCCTGTTGTTTTGGTTGTCTTGTTTTTTTTGGTATTTTGCTCCTTGGTTGTTGCCTTCTGTTTCATTGCGCCATCCTCCTTGTTTTTTTCCCCCCTCTTGCTATTTCAGCTTGCCTTCGCGCTTGCCGCTGGCCATTGTTTTTCCCGTTCTGGTGGTCTTGCCCACGGTTCTTGGTCATTGTGGCACTTTGCCTATGGTGCCCGTCCTTGTGGCACTTTGCGTGTGTTTTCATTCGCTGCTCCTGGTTTCATCTCCCTTGTTTTCAATTGTTCTGCTGCTGTCTCATTGCAAGTTTTGGTGTTCTTCCTTAACTTGGCCCTTTGCCTCACATCACGTGGCTGGAAAGTAGACTAGGTATGGCAGTTTTTTTTTTGGGGGGGGGCTTGGCAATCAAACAGGGCAACGGAAAATCAATCATTGATATGTCCGTGACACCGTGAACAATTATTCACCTGTTTTTTTGGAGCAAACGTATATTATATATATATAAAGGTGGTATATTTTGGCATGTTTGATTATCATATATGATGTGTCTTGGGTTATCGGACCCCTATGACATCTAATGTTTGTCCATATTTTTGTTTGCCAACAATGTTCTAACCCAGAGGATCCATGTATGGAATATTTACCTACATTGACCCCTAAAGTAATTTAAAATAATCCCAATGTAGGTAAATATTCCATACATGGATCCTTAGGGTAATAATATCTAATAATATTTGTCCATAGAGTATGGCTATCTTCTGTGTGTTGCCTGAAGCCTTCTTGGACGCCATCGGGGGTCAACCCCCAGGTTGCTGCAACTCCCGGACGACATGAAGCGACTCGAGAATTTGCAACAGTTGCTTGGGAGGGGTGGAGGCTTGATATAAATCCTCTGGTAAACTTTTACATAAGTATAGAAAATCACCAGTTTTAACAGGTAAGTCAACTAAATGGCCATTTTCAATACTTATGTTAGTTTACCAGAGGATACATCCCAGCTTAAGAGATCTTAGGGATTCAAAGTCTTTTCCGGTGTGGGCAGAATTTGGGTGGTCCGTCGGAAAATCGTGGGACATTTAAGGGACCCTCTCCCTCTCGTGTGAGTTGAAGAGCCTAACCATACAGTCTCGCATGCTATAGGTACGCTGGGTGCTTAGCTATGCAATGTTACTTAACGACAGTTCTGCCCTAATGCAATGCACAAAAAATGCTTTTGATCAGACTCATTTGTCCCAACCACTACTTACTGCAGCCAAAGCAAACCAGAGCAACCAGGTTGTCAAGTGGGGTTGGATGAAAATGACTGGCATTCAGCCACAGTTCCCAAGTTTGCTTCCAGCCTGTCTTTGCGTAGGCTGAACGTGAGAAAGAACCTGCTAAGCCGCCTGCCCAGCTTGGGTCGTTTGGATGGCATTTCAGCCGTTCTTTCATGGATTCCTGGAAGTGACAGGCAGCCATCTAATTGATGCAGAGGTGGTGATTGATGATCATCATTTCACATATTAGCAGCTGGGAGTGTTTTGTTTTTTCGCTGGAATCCTAACAATTTTGGGGAGCCGGGGATACATCTCAGTTATATAATTATATAATAGTAATTATATATATATATACACCGCATATGTGTGTATATATGTATATGATATGCATATGTATTAGCAACTCACGTAGAATTGCAACAACAAGGTATTTAATTAAGACGACCCATGAATCTAAGCAACCCCTCACTTGGCCACTGGGTATATGTGAGCTACCCAGGTGATAGCCTTCTGGAAGTCGATGCCTCTCAGAATCGCTTGGACACCTTTCCTGATCTGGGCCCCCGTAGCCAGCTCCGCACCCTGTGGCTGGGAGGGAACCAGGCGCGCAAAGGGAGATGAGCTTGAACCCATGCCACCAAAAACATGTTGTAGTCGTAGAACTGATTTCAACATGTTTCAAGAAACAAGTGATGGTGGCAAAGCAAACCATCCTACAAGTGACATTAGACCCTTGGTTTAAATATGGCCAATCCATGCCCCAAAATCCCAAAATGAAAAAAAGGCACCATTTTTCCCCAAGGGCCCCATGGCATCCCTGCAGATTCCAGAGCTCCCTGAGACGGTCAATTGTCGCTCCCTGGTGGGTCTGCAGTTGGCACAGAACATGCTGCAGGTGGCAGATTCGGCTGTAGACATGTGGGAAACATGGATGGGCACAGCACACTTGTATACAATTGGTAATTTTGATTTGTATTAGCATGTTGGAACTTGGATACTTACATCTGGAGTTGGCATGTTAGAACAATGTTGAACTTGGGGAGTTACATCTGGAGGGTGTCTTATGACATGGGGAACCCCCAGCTATCCTCCAAGTTTTTTTAACATGGGGGAACCCATGGTGAACGTCATTTTAGATGATGGTGGTCTAATGGTGCTTGACCTCCAACATGAGACCCTTCAGGAGGTATTTGATCCATGAAGCATCCCGAAAAGCACTTGAATCACTTGTAGAATCTTGTAGATATTGTCGTTCTATCTTGCAGCCATTTGATTTTTTTGGCACCTGCTTAGACCTTCCCCCCCAAAGATCTTCATGGCAGCCGCTGATAGACAGGTTTGTTCGAAACTAGTTTTATAATTGATACCATATATGCATCCATTAAATTCTACATGATATATTTTTATAAGCCAACTTGCTCGTAGCTCTTTTTTTCGGGGTCCCACCTTGTAACTATCTATTTGGGGGGTTGCAAAAAAGGACGAAGCCAGAGGTGCTGCCGAAGAGTTTGGGCACTCTGCGCCAGCTGCAGCATCTGGATCTGTCGGAGAATTGCCTCATGACGCTTCCCAAGGAGATCTTTGAGCAATTGAAGCTGGGGCTGAAGGGTGGCCATCGGGCCATGGTGGGCTGGACATGTTTGTTGTTTCAGCATGTATAGTGATGTATAGTATAGTGTGTATATATATAGGTATATATTGTAGACAACAAGATACACATAGATCCAAATCCATTCAATACCTGTACTTTAATTAAAGATGAACACATAAGGGAAAAATACAAAGATAGAGGCATATCCTAGTGGCCAAAGCATGTCTCTTTTTTTAATCAATCTGAGGGCATCCATGTACCCAGACATGGAGACATAAGATGGCCGGAGGTGAGAAGAGGCCAGGCGCCCACGACACTACTGTTGGTCTTCACTAGGGTTTATAGATGTTTATTATGTTTGTAGATTGTTCTGTAGGGGATGTATCTACAGTTCATGGGCGTTATAAAGTGACTAATAACTGGGGCTGGGCCGCCTGGCAATTTTTGTTGGGATTCCCTTTCTGGAGATCATCCTTCACCCAGCCACAGGAAGCAGCTGTGCTCGCTGGATTTGACAAGCAACCGCATTTGTGGCCTGGAACCTTTGGGCGTTCTCCCGGACTTACGGAAGTTGGCAGCATCTGACAATGCGCTCCTTGGAGACGATGGGATGGTGGATGGCTGGTGGATTGACATAGTTTAGTTTTTTCCATCCTGCTTAGTTGACAACTATGTTTATCAGGGGGTGAAATATGTTGGAACTGTCAACTTTTAAGAGCACATGATGGAGCTGGGCATTGAGGGTTCTTGTCGTTGATATCATCTTATTTGTGTCAGGTGTATGGCTTGCCAACATTAATTGAACTTGAACTGCGCCGCGGTCACAATGTTTCCTAAAGGATCTGCGCACCACAGGTCTTGCAGCCTGAAATCCCATTGGCTTGGACATCATTTCCTATCCCTATGGACCCCCCATTTATAGATGATTTTCCCAGCCATAAACCTGGTGTTTCCAGCCACATTTGATGACACCGGAGGGATCCGGAGGGTATCCCTCATTTTGGGACAGGCTCTGAGGGGCAATGTGTTCCTTCCCGAGGATCGAGCGTTTGCCCGATGACTTTGATGAATTCCTGGCCCTGCGGACTCTGGAGCTTGTGGGCAACCCAGTCGTCGCGAAGATGTTGCTCGGTTTGCGGTTTGCGCTGAGGTCAGACATAAGACGCCATGGTAATGGATCAGTGCAGTTTTGGATACCCTCTGGTAATTTAACATAGCTATTGAAACGTATTGAAAATGGCCATTTATAGTGGATTTTCCCATTAAAAATGGTGATTTTCCATAGTTATGTTAGTTTACCAGAGGGTAACCATTGCAGATCTTCATGATTTTCCACATTTGCGCGGAGACTGCCTTGACGCATTGGATCACTAGGCAGCTCAGCAAGCAGCACCCAGCATGGCTGGGCCTGTACCTCCTGCAGTCCGTGGGCTCCTTGCGAGAATGTCATTTGGTCGATGATGAATCTCTCAAGGAGAATGGGGCGCCACTGGCAATGGGCATGTTTGAAGGGTGGGCTATGGTGAGCTTCCTTCAGTGGAGGCTACCTTTGACAAATTTGACATGTTCAAAGCATTTCACAGATATAGAATTATATATATATATATTCATATTATGTATATATATGTGTGTGTGTAGAGTTAAACTTAACTTTATATATATATTATCATCTCTCCCGCCAAAGTAACCTCGTCCCCATCAGACTTGAGTCGAGCCTCAGAGGAGCTGCCAGCCATGGTAGATGGTGGACGCTTGTGCCTTCAAGGACAAGGATTGCGTCAGGATCCCAGCAGCACTGATGAAGCTGGCAGGGTCCAGAACATGACTAAGAACGTGGATCCACGTGGATCCATGCGTGCCATTTACCTTGTCAAAGATAGGACAAACTTAGGAATTCACATAGCTGGAAGAATACAGAAATAAAAAACGTCAAAATGTGAGGCAATATACAACTAAGCCACATATGAACTGGATGTAACTTATATCTCATATTTATCTATAGTGTCTCAAAATCCCATCATAGTGGCTGAACATCTGATTCCTGACCCTACCATACCCTACCCCTAGTGCAGCTCGCACGATGCCCACCCGGAGGTTCGTTGCCACGGTCCATCTGCTTGGTCAATTTAGTGCAGCAACTGGACGTCAGCAGCAACCGTCTGACCGAACTCCCTGCAGCCTTGGGAAAGCTGCCGTTGCGAGAGCTTTGCGTGGCGAACAATCAGCCCCTCGGGCTGGACATTTGGAGGAAAAGCCCAGTGAATTTGAAGGCCAAATTTTGGTGTGCAGGTAAAATTTCGAGGAAAACCATGGAAAACCCGACTTTGAATTGAACACTTACATGGACATTTTGGTTGAACAAGTTTAGTTTTTGGGGGACAATTTGGATGAAAACTCCAACTTTGAATGGACAGTTGGTGGGCAAGGTACTGTGGTTCCTGGACGTGTTTCCTACAGTCACACATATTTTTGCACTCAGAAGTTGGACTGGAGCTTGTCATATGGTGATTGTCGGCATGCAAATAGTGGGTCGATTTGCAGTTGGAAGAAGGGATCGTCATTTTTTCTGCAGTCTGGTTGGTTCTCACATGAATGTTTGCTGACAAATTTCAGATGATGAAATGATGTGGCCATACTTTGACGTCTCAAGATCTGTAGTTCACCCATTACAGGTTTATTCTGCCGGTTGACCATATGTCATTGGTTGGGGCTTTTTTTCGCTGGCCGCACCATTTCCAACCGAAACTGGCCTGGAGAACCTGCCCAGGCTGAGAGAGTTGCCAAGCAGCTTCAGTGACCTAACGCAGCTCCAACAGAAGCATGGCTGCATCGGTGCTGCGGATGTTCCATCCGAGATCGAAGCAGGCAGTTGATTGGACTGATCCCTACCCCAAAGTAATTGGTTTCAATTTCAGTGATTGCTTAAGACGGCTGCATGGCAAGGTCGAGGGCAAGTTCTGCATGGCTTAGTGGGTCCCCCTTGTGCTTGTGCCGGCACTTGGGATGCTGTAAGGATTGATGCTTCGAACAATCAACTGCAACAGCTTCCTGAAGATCTGACACCTTTGGGTGAGAACCTGGTGAACATACAGCTGGCTCAGAATCGTTTGCTGAAGCTGCCAGATGCTGAAGCTGAATTTGCCATTGCATTCAGTCAATAATTGGCATTAATTGGGGTTGATTAATGAGGGGCTTATCAACCACAGCCACCATTTTGCGGGCGAATCTTAACCATCTATTACTGGGCAGGATGCCATTTTCCACCTGTGTTGAACCTAGGCCCTCCAAATAACCTGGCAAAAAAATGCAAAAAGGTATATACTAGGATTTTGGGGTGAAACATGTTTTTTAAAAGATATTTGGAGGGTCTAGGACCCAGCTTCCCTCCGTTTCTGGGCGCTCTAAGGACAGTTTCTGCTCCTTGGCTCGGCTTCGACGAGCAGATTTGACCCAGAATCGGTTGGTGACACTTCCACGGAACATTGGCGACTCGTCGGAAGCGAAATCTCCTGTTCTTTTTCTTGTTGCAGGTCGGTGAATGACCAGTTTCCAAATAGGAGATATGACATGATGGAGCATTTTGGTTGTTCACTTGTTCACCGGAAAAGAGACAGAGCTAGGCAGCTAGGCGAAGATTTGTTCAATATCCTGACACCAAGGAAAGCTCTTGCAACTTGAATGGCTGGGTATCTCAATTGCAAGTTATCAGGAAAGTGGCTGAGCAATGTTCAACTTGAACTGACTGACTTCTTGGTAGTTTTGCAGTCGGTGTTTCTTTTCGTTGTGGTACGATAAAAAAGAATCATTGCTGTATATCCTCTTCATAAGAAACATATAGAAACATGACCAATACATGAAAAGTTGTTTCTCTGAGGTCTCCTTCTATAGTTCCAATCAGTATTCATTAAATGGTATCAGTTACAGATGTCAAACAGTTCCATATATCGTATATAGTTCCAATTCGTGTTCCAATTCGTGTTCAATGCCATGATATCAGTGTTGTATGATAGTTCCAACCGCAATAAAACAGAGTTATAGATGTTATAGTGATATTGGTATTGGTTTCTATGATAATATGGTACCAAATGCAATTACTATACGTAATTCCAACCGCATAGTTTCATATAGTTCCATACAGTTCCATATAATTTCCATATTTCCAATGTATTCCAATGATAAGTGGTGTATCATACTTCCAAATGCCATAAAACATCATAAAACGAAGTGTGCATAAATGGTTATCAGTGATGTTTTAGTAAAATTATGTAAACTTAATGGTATTCCAATTGTCAACTATTCAAAATGCAATAAAAAAAGATTATAATTTAATATAATGTATTCCAACGAGCTATAATATATTAGCACTGGTTTGGAAATAATGTTTTTATTTTTCCATATATTGGGAATAGTAGCCCCAACTTTTTCAGAGGGGTAGGTATATATACCACCAACCAGTAATGTATTGATTTCTAGATGGTTTACCGTTCTTAAAAATGGTGGATCTTTCCATGGCAAACTGTTAAATAACCAGGTAACGTATTGGAGTTTCATGAAGTTTCGTAATGCCCGCAGCACAGGCCTCGGCCGTAGCGATCTGGTGGAGCTGCCCCGGAGCTTCCGGAGATTACAGCGCCTGACGCAGCTGCACCTTGCAGGCGCGGTGGGGCGTTGGGGCGTTCAGGAAGGCTCCGTCTTTAGACGTGGCCTCAAAAATAGGCCTTATATATGGTAGGTACCTCCAATCTAGGATCCTGAAATGGCCATTGAAATCTTAGGACTTGCACATAGTTTTGATTTTTTGATCATGTTTTTTGAGGTGTAACATGGTATAACTGGGGGGGTCTGGGCTAATAGGTTTATACAGAATCACCAGATTTAGAAGGGAAAAGAAAGATCCATAATCCCACGTTCAGACAATAAATGATATATAATAACAAACCTATGCTACGTCAAAACCAGTAATACGAAGTACTGATGATCAAACCAGGGAGAAGGGGTGTTTGTTGACAAGGGAGGGGAATATTCAGCAGATTCTGTCAGAGATAGCACTGCGGATGTTGTTGGGAGGTGTGTAGCTGTGGAAAGAATCTCAAGATGTGCGAATTCAGCATCACTACGTAGATGTAGATGTACATTCAGCACGTTTGTACGAGTTCATGAGCCTGCGGAAATTGCACAAGCAGAGTCCTTGATTGATGCTTGAAATCATGTAGATCCTAGGGCTAGGTCGAGTGAGGGACGTGATTTGGTATAGAGATTCTGGCCAACAGCTTGTTCCGGCCTGATCCTTAGGCAGGCTTTCCTTATGTTTTGCTGGCAGATCTGGCAGTGAAATCTATGTTCTCTGGCGTAGCCGCTACACGAAGCCAAGGAACTCCATTGGCGTCCACCCTTTTGCAAGTTGAAGATCTGCCCGAGCAGCGGATCCTTTGGGAAATGAATCAGTGGGGAAAATTGGCCCCTTGGCCGCCGGCGATTGTCCTTTACGCCAGGTGGTTGGATCATGTTGGATCCAGCGATTGCCCATGTTGTTTGGATAGCTGCAGTAACTGTCCCAGCGCCCCATTGCTGTAAAATGCTGTAAAGCAAGAACTTTGGGCGGACAACCTTGTTATACCATGTCATCCCTATGCGTTTCGATTCGCGGATTTGGGTTTGTCCGAAAATAGGGTACAACCCAAGAATTTGTCATCAGGTTCCTTTCCTAACATTGCAATTTTTGGGGGATGCCACATTTTCAGACAGACCCATTTGATGATTCGTTGTTGCGCTTGATCTTAGAGGTGTGTATGGGTGTGTGCAAGATCTATCCGGTGCTTTTTTTTTGCCTGAAAAGGCAGTCATCAATATCCACGCACAGCAGCAAGGCGTTGGGGTAATGGCTTGGGGTCGTTTAACCTGCACCATCCAGACAGTTGGGTGTGTTGGGGTCCCCCCATTTTTAAGCGGTGATTTGATGTGATTTGGCAAGCAATAAATGGAACACAAGGGAACATCATGGAACATATTGGAACATAATGAGGTTGGTGAGGACAAGAAGCTTTCTGATCATTTTTTGGGGGTGAGGAGGTTACAGCAACGCTGTCAACGGACCAGTCGATTCAATTGATTCTGGATCATTTCTGAGCGGTGTGGCGGGCCGTGGGGTTTCCCAGCAACCCAAATGTCGAAAACCAGGTGACATGTCTTCAAACACCCATGAGTATCATATATTGAACATCCTCATGAGGCTGTCGATCGTTTTATTGATTTGTTAGCATTTCTTTTCCTTTGCAATTCTTACTGGTGCTTAGCAGGGAATGAGGGAATGATCCATAATCACTAGTAATAATCATCCCATTCCCCCATTCCCATCCATTCCCTACTGAGCACCAGTAAGCAATGATAGCTCCCAAACCGTGTCCTTTCAACTCTGCAGGGAAAATACCGGAAACTCTGGTGAAATGGCGATGGGCGACGTTGCCGCCAGCACGCGATGGGAACGCTGATGTGCACCAGTCGCAGTCAGGCCTGGAAAGAGATGGCACAAAGAATCCAACATTTTTTCCATCCGCGTAGCACTCGAGAGAATATACATGCATATATAATCATACATATATATATATATATGTGTGTGTGTGTGTGTGTCATTGGCTTAAGGGAAAATCTACTAGTACAGGAAACCATCGATTTTCCCATTGAAATATGGGGCTTTCCTGTAATTCATCCCTTAAACCAACCCATTGAAAGTTGAAACCTACGCTTTCCAGGCTATGAGACAAAGAAGCCAAAGGCACGAGAGAAAGTACAAGCTTCTGAAGGCTAGGGAAGATGCCTTGTACCGGAGGATGGCACCAACAAATAGGTTTTGACATGCTCATCCTCAGATCCTTCAGCATTCTCAGTGACCCGAGCATGCCTGGGGCCTCCAAGTGTTCAATCTTCTTTGCCACTGCGCACCCAGCATATCCTTTCTAGGGCCCCTTTGCAAGTGGACTTGCACTACTGCCAACTGTTTTGATGCTGTTTGGGTTGAACACACAGGTTTGCCGCCCTGCCCAAACGGTGATTTTTTCTCACGATTTGAAAGGAAATGACTTGTTTACCACATAAACAGGGGCCATATCAGGAAATACTGTTTTGTTGCTTGGGGGCCGGATGTTCTTGTAATAAATAAAGGTAGTTGCCGGATTTAGCAACAAGAAGATTGTAGTGACCAAACACCAACACAAAGGTTCAGAAAGGCAGTCTCTTGGCCATGAAAAGGTCCCCCATCTATAGAAAGTTTACCTGTGATTTGGCGCTTTCAAATATTCCCCGTCATTGGTGATACCAATGGACTTTCAAGTTGTGTTTCGGTGTTTTACACCTGCAACCAGTTACCTCTTTATCCCTGATGTTTCACCGCATCTTTTGTGCCCCGGCCTGTGTATATTTGCATCTTTAACAGGGTTGCTACCTGCGACAGGGGAGAATTGTGACGATTTTACGAGATGATCAATGGTCATTTCAGGAACCAATTGATGGAGGTACGTTAGTACCATATTTCTGGCCATATTTTGTGGGGATATTCCCTGAAAATAGGCCTTATATATATGGTAGGTACGTCCAATGAATCGGATCCTGAGTCATTCCCAAAAAGAGATGATGTTTGCCGATGTTAGCGATGTTAACCCAACATTTTTCCACCGTGGCCAGGCCTGGTAGCAGATGTAGCAGAAGTGGCGTCGTGGCTGGCGGGAGGAAAGGGGGAAAATCGTGGGAAACTGGTGATGTTTTGACTGTGGGTTAACTGGCGAATTCCTGCTGCTCTCGTTGGTATGAAAGGTAGCTATGAAGCACTGAAAATAACCGGATTATAATGGGATAAGCCATCAACTGGTGCAGGATTTCGCAACCATCCACATCCACGGTGGGTAACAACGCCTGCTAGATAGAATGTCAGTGTTGGGTATCTACGGATGGGCAATTTCGAGTCATTTGCGTCGATTTGCGTATGCAGAAATCAACATGGAAACTCAACAGAAACAACAGCAGTAATGTAGCACTATCCAAAAGCTAGACAAAAAAAAACAAGAACAACTCGCATTCCCCCAGGTCCAGGCACTTCGCCATCGCCTGGATGAGACGGAGCGTGGCCAAATGCAGCAGCTCATGCGGCACCTGTCACTGGAAAAAAGCTGGCGGCCGGGTGACCTGGGTTTTGTTAAGCTACCCGGCCTGGTAAACGTACAAAAAACTATGGAAAGATCCACTATATCCAGCATTTTCAATGGGTAAATCAACTAATTATTTCTATGACCATGTTCAATAGCTTTTTGTATGTTTACCAGAGGGTAATGGTTATGGGATGTGAACATGAATGGATTATGAAGGTTGATACTACTCACATTGGATGTTGAATGTTGATATTCCAGTACCCCAACTTTGATTATCGTTAAAATGAATGAATTATGAATGGATGTTGAATGGAATGCTGATATTACTAATGGAATGTGCATTCCATGTGGGTAAAACAATGTCATAAACCACCCAAACTTGGGAAGGTGTTATACCACCTGTTGCGAATGGATTATGAATGGAATGTGAATAGTGTGAATAATGTCAAGTTGTGATTAATAACCTCCCCCTGGAAGGATCCGGTACCTAGGGAGAAGCTTAAGAACCACGGTTCTTCCGCCGACGCCCTCCCAAGTTGAAGTCCTAAGAGATCAACTTCGAATCCATCTCAACCTACGTCCGATTTATTTTCCTTTTACAACAAAGGGAAATCTCAAGATTAGGAAGGATCTCAACTGATATCAACCTATGTTCAATTGATTTTCCATTTAAAACTAGAAGAAAACTTAGAACAAAAAAAATAATTTTCTCGGTGGGGGTTGATTAATCGCCGGATTCCCCCCGGTTGATTAATCAAGGGGGACCAACACATTTTAGTATTGCCAACGCATGTTTCCTGTGTGGAGGTTGATTATATAATCCCCGGGGGGTCCATAATCACAACTACACATTAGTGTGGATGTTCATATTGAGGTTGTTAGTGTGAATCGTGTGTGTTGATGATTCTGATGTTGTTTTTTAAATGAGGTGATGTCTATAAACCTGGGGTCGAATAACCTGGGGTCATTATCACAAAAAATGATGCAAAAAGGATGTTTCCTTATAACGGGTTTAATCCTCCAAGAAGGCCAATTGGCAATTTATAAGACTTCCACTTTTTCATACTTTTTCCATCATGGATTTTTTGACATTTCATAAGAGCTTGAAAAATGACTAATGAGATACATATTGCAAATCATGTTCTTGCTTGTTCTTTTGAGGTGGAAGTCAGATCTTTATCGATTTACATTTCCATGGGATGCCATTTGATAACAATATAGATGCAGGTCTTTCTGAATCACATGTAAAATTGGTTTGATTAATTTGTTAGTTTGTTACTTTTATTTGGCTGCATAAGAGTATTTAAGATAATATGAGGCTACCAAGAAAACGAACATGAAAATTGGGTCAATGTGCCCAGATCCTTGCCCCCAAAAAATGAGATGGCGTACAGTAATAGGGCGTACTTATCCCCATTTTGCACATGTATACGGCAATTCCATTTATAAATAGTAGAGAGATGTGGAATGATACTCTAAAGAGTTGAAACTTGCATGTATCACCCCTTCTTTCCTTCTTTCCATCATATGACCTGACTTGACTCGCACAGTTTCTCGGTTTCAAGGTTTCGAGAGTGGCACCCTGACAAACGTCATGATGCGACTCGTCCTGCATCGTTGCCATTTGGCACTGGAATTGAGCAGGTCCTGGCATGTTTTGGTTACAGGTGTTGCATACGGTTAATAAGTGTGTAATCAACATTTTGTACCCCAGTTGTGTATGGTTGTATGTAACAATGTATGTTCTAGGTCAGTTTCTATTTGGGATGCATTCCCAATTATATAGATGTGCATAAAAGCTCCTCATGCTTCGTCTTCCTACCAAGTGTAGTGGTTGGGCATGCTGGCATCCAGTGACATCCGCATGCATTGGGTGCATGCAACCAGGATGAGAAGGTGCTGGCAACCCGTGTCTTCCAATGGTTGCAAGAGGTAAAAGTCCACTACCTCCACTGATGTTGACAGCTACTCCAAGGGCAGAAGGACAACGGCCCAAGATGTGCGATCATCAAGCACGAGTGCCTACTGGCTGTTCCGGAACCATAACACGAGCATTGGTCAAATGGAACTGCAGGAAACCCACATATTGAGGCCATTGAGATGCGATGAGACGCGCAATCCTCAAAGAAAGGTTGCGTGTGACCCAAAGCTGGTCCAGAAGTAGGCTTGGAAAAGGTACGCGCAGCCGACACTGTAGGGTCTGCATCAGCATTCCATCATGCAATCCCACCTATTAAATTTCCTGGTTATTCCATCTGAAACCTGCGACTTCGCACAATGCCAATCTCAAACCCCACACAATCTCAAATATCAAATATTTAAGAGTTAGCGCCGACCAATGACAACATATGATAAGGCCAATTCAAAACACACCGGTCCCGTGTGAACTTTCCATATTCCTCAGCACCAAATCAGAAGCGTTGATTGCATTTGTCTTACCATTACCAGGTTTGATCGCCAGAATTCATTACCAGTCATTCTTCCAGTTGTTTCCATGTGTTTGGTGCTGACGTACCCCCAAGTTCCCTCGTTTAATTCCACATGTTCTGAGCGGTAAAGAAGTCACTCTCGTTGTCACTGAGATATCCCCACAATTCCCCACATGTATCCACATTTTTCAAAAGGTCAACAATCCGCGTTATCCAACCGTCTATCCCCGTCGATCATTTGGGTTGGACATCTGCAAATCCTGGACTGATTTTGGTATATGTTGGTATATTTTCCACCCCATCCACCCCGAGAAATCCTGGTCAAATTAATATTGGCTTTATAGTCTAAGTTTTGTCAACATTATTACCCATAGGATCCATGTATGGTATATATGGTAACATTTACCATCAATATACCCCCAATGTTAGCATATATACCATACATGGATCCTATGGGTTATGGTGGTGTTTCAGATTATTGGTCATGGCTCTATCATTCAGGATGGTGCAAAAGCGTGGTAGACCCTGCCTGCTGGTGAAACCCACTTAATTTCCCCTCCGGAGCATTGAACGCACCATCTGAAAAACAACTTGCCAGCTATCCAATGCTTAAAAAAAATAGCCTTTATCGCTGAATTATCACCTAATGCCTCATATCTTCGTTTTTGTTGGCTTAAATTCTCCTTTATCCAACAAATCACCAACATGATCTCCATGTTGGTTTAGGATTAAGGTGGGATAGTGCAACCAACATTAATATCCAAGTTGGAGATTAACCTTTATCCGTTGCTTTAAAGTGTGTTTAAAGAAGCCCCGTTGATGGCGGATCTCCTGGGCGTTCAGCTTCCGCAGGACACGGCCTGGGAGCTCTTTGACCATTGGTCCGCGGCAGGGCGCGTGGATGCCATGCACGGATTGGCGCCGGCCGTCTTGGCGAGGCTGTTCCAATGGGATCTGGTGGGTTTTCTAAGTCATGGTACCCTCTGGTGATGTCAAAATAGCTATTGAAAATGACCATAGGAATAGTGGATTTTCCCATTGAAAATGGTGATATTCCATAGTTATGTCAGTTTACCAGAGGATACCCCAAGTCAGCTGGTTGGTTTATGGATGTTTATTTATGTTTATTTCATGGAAAATCCGATGAGATGGATGATGCTATGGGGTACTGTCAGTTTACGGAGCCTCCAAATATCAGGGGGAACTCAGCAAAACGTATAGTTAGATGATGTTAGAGGTTTTGATTCTATTACCTCGTCGCAAGCAAGCCCCACAGATGACGGTTTGCAGATGAGGCATTATCCAAAACTTCACATGTTCGTGACTGGGAGTTGTTACAACTTGCAGAATCAACGTGGAATTAGGAGTGAGATTGACAAGAATCAGAAAACTATGATATGATTTTGAAACATGCCATGGATAGTGCAGTTGTATCTAGTTGTAGCTGGAGTATGGTGAAGACACTAAAATCAATGCGTAGGGATTTGGTGAAGCACTTCCAAAGCCAAGCGCAGCGCTGAGCCAATGGTCGTTACGCCATGGAAGCCGTCGAGCCCGCCACTGCATACCATGGATTTTTTTTATGGTGTGAAATCCACCGCAGAAGTGGGATGGGTTCAATGGTTTTGGCTATGTTTTACCATCTCATTATAACTAACATAGCCATTGAAAATCACCATTTTTAATAGGTAAACCATCTATTTCTATGGGCCTGGCGAACTGTTAGTCATAACCAGGTTGGTTCCCATCATCCCCGAGGTTTATTAAAGTTGGGTAAACACCTCATGAAAAACCCACATAAGCGCAGCCAGTATACCCATGACGGATCCATGGTGCTGGTATATGCTAACATTGATTGGGGATATATTGATGGGATCCATGGAGCACCACTAATATAGCAGCACCATGGATTCTATGGGATATGAATAAGTAAAGGAACATCCAGATTTTAGGGTTTTCACCTTTTACCTAACAATAAATAATAGATTTAATAAATATGTATCAGTTTTCTCCCATGTTTTCTTCTCTTTGGATCTTCCCCGGGCTCCCTTCTGCGCACCGCGCAGGCCATACTGCGAGCCTGGAAAGTTGGCGTGGTTGTCGACCACCTGTTTGCTGTCGCTGAGATGTCATATTTATTTTCGGGTAAGTCATGGTAAGTCATGTTCAACAAGAAAAAATGGAAATGATTGGATGATCAGAATCTATCAAAACCTGCGGTTTTGGTCAGCGAAACAAGTTGAGTTGGGACATTCATACCATGAACACATGGAGGTTGAGCAACCAAATGGAAAACGTATGCGGGATTTGAGCGCAGCAAAGCTGGGTAAATGATGTCGAGACCTCAGGGTCGCTCCAAAGATGATGCTTAGGATTTGCGTGGATAGTCCCCTAATTTTAGGCATTTTTTTAAGTGTGTGACTCTTAGTAACTTGCCCAATTTTTTTTAAAAAAGCATGATGTTTCATGCTACCCTCTGGTAATTTAACATAGCTATTGAAAATCACCATTTATAGTGAATTTTCCCATGAAAAATGGTGATTTTTCATAGTTATGTTAAATTACCAGAGGGTAAAATCCCGACCTTTTTTTTCCCCAGCTGACCCACCGGTTGGCAGTATCCAAGAGCTTTTGCCGCCTTGCCCTGGGCAGATTTTTTTTTGGGGGTAGGGCCTGTACTCATATAATACATCATCCAATAAACTAACATAACTATTCACCTGTTTTAATAGGTAAGTCAATGTAAATCATCTATAAATGGGTCATTTTCCATAATAAACTGTCAGTTGCCAGAGGGTAGATGCTTCTTTTTGATTCTTTTTGCAGATACCAGATCCTTTTTCGTACATCTGAGTATTGATTGGAGTGTTATCGTGTTGCTGGTAGTTCTGGTGCTTTTGACATCCCATCGTCACTTGTCACATGTGCGTTTGTTCAAACATGCAGCGCCCCAAATCGCACAGTTCATCATTATTTTCCCCTTTCATGTCGTCATTGGTATCCCTGGAGAGACCCATTGTGCATGAATCGATCCATTTTGGCTGGTGAAACATCATTGTTGCTGAGCCAAGCTGCTTCTCTGAGGCTGTTCCGGGGCGCAAATGAGGAGCAAGCCTTGGAGTGTGCAGGGTCTCTGGATGAGGATATGCTGAGCCAGATGACCGTTGCTTGGTTCGACTTGTGCACCGCTTCGATTGACTGCCACTCAGATCCACCAAGTATCTTAGGATATCTTAGGATTCAAGGTCAGAACATGGTAAAACTGCAATGACCAGGAGAAAACAGAAGTGCAAGCCCCCAAGAACCTCCTTATCAACTCTATGGCCATTCCCAGGCACATTGCGCATGCTCGCGTTAGCATGGTGTAGATTGTACAGCAACGTTTAACGGGTGATGTTTGTTGATGTATTCCAACTGATTCACACTTTTTGTTTAGAATCTATTCTTGATTGTTAAATCCCACACGTTTTGACGCTTAAATCATGTTAAATCATCTTATTATAACTCCCAATTTTGGCTCATAAAACATCACAATCGTTGTTGCATCCCCATGTTAGAGATAAAATCAATTTGGAGCATTTTTGTGGTGCTCCGTTTGTGCTGTCCAGTTGTGGTCACATTAAACAAAGGGGGGTAAATATAAACCGAACATGTAAATATCAACCAGACTTTTTCATCCATCAACCAGACTTTTTCATCCAGGTTCTGAGCCTGAAACATGAAACCCGACTCCATCTGGTGCTCCGGAGCCCCTGGCCGGCCTTTCGCATGTTGGACCTGCTGGCGCGGCTGATTCCGCAGAGCCCCGGTTGGAGCTACGAATGGAGTTTCCCAACCGCATGATGTATATAGTAACTATATTAGTAATTATAGGATAATATACTAAAAAATGTATATCATATATATATATATTTATAGAGTAATATTTTATATTATTAGTTATTAGTATTCACCGATAACATACTAACACTGCAGAGTTTTTCTTTTTATGATAGGAATTTGACCATCAAACATGGTCAACCATCGAGAATCCATGCATTTAACCAAGATTTAGCCGTTGGGAGAGCTTGGGCTTGCCACCATTTGGATCACTTCTCCAAACAATCTAAGGAACACCAGCACCCGAACCTCAGTTGCATTAGGGTCCTGCGGAAAATGTTTGGGGAACTTCTAGGGTTCTATGTCAGTTTTCCGGGCACATCCGACAAGTAGCATAGGCATACCCCCGCTCCCGCGGGCAAGCATTTCTTTGGATGAAATCTGGTGATACCGGCAATCCGAAATGCTTTTTTGTGTTCCCCTTTTTTTTTAAGGTATAGATTGCCAGAGGAGATGATGGTGCCATTGTTCGGGATTTGCTGAGGCTACACCCAGCCAGGTAGGCTGGATACATGAGTAGTTAGTTCACATACAATGGTCAATGGCAGTGGCCAATACCATTGCTCCAGCAACGAAGCAGTGGGTCCGAAAAACAGGGGTTCATTCAGGTACCGAAATATCCTACATGCAAGGTATATGGACCTTTCTGTTGGGTACCTCAGGGGGGCTCCTGTTCCTGTGGCAAGGTTTGGGCGCCTGCAAGAAGAACACGATGTGGAACAGTTACCCGGAATGCCTTAGGTGAATGGTGGCCGACATTTCCGCATGGGTCACACATCATCCTGAAACCTTCATGGTGAATGGTGAAAGATGCCGCACATTTGCTGATCAAAGAAGTATGTGCCCACTTGATGACAAGCTACGGCATTTCGACTCAAAGATGCTGGCGTCGCCAGAACCCCACTACACCGTGGTGTGTTGCATCCAGGGGTGTGGCAACTCGTGGCAACTCTCAAGTATTAGAGTTCTTGGAACAAGAGGTACATAGATGGACCCTGTGTCAATGGGGCTCGTGTGGTCATGCAGTCACCGGAATTTGTGCTGAAGCCCACTGTCCAATGCGCTAACTTGAGGCGATCCCGATGTCTTTGACTGGCCGCAATTCAAGTCCATGTTGGCAGATGCAGTCTGGAACTCAAGCGCTCTCTCTTTGGTAAGGGAGGTGTCGAGAGGACGCAATGACCATATCAAAAGGAAGGCACATATTCGATCAAAGAGGCATACATAGGTCTCATTTCCTGGTCGGCGGTTTCAAATATACTGTGCTACTCTGTACTTTAATGATCTTCAATGTTTAGCCATAGAAATGAGATGATGATCCCAAATGACTTTCATTCTCACTGATGTCTCTCTGAGCCAAGGCCACTCAGCTGGTGTCAGACGAATCCGTTTTTCAGCTCAGGCCAGGAACCACCCCCAAAAGGTGACTTTTTTTGATCCCCCCAATGATAGCTGGTGCATTTCCCGAGTGGCATGATCATGCAACACAACACGACACCTATATGAAACAGACATACACTTGATGTCAATGTGTCAAGAGAAATCAAGAACCATAATATATATATATATATATATTATGTGTGTGTATTATAAATATACAAATATATGTATATCTCACTCTCTCTACCTCTCTCTCTCCCTCTCTCTTGTATATGTGTACATATAAATAAATGTACTTAATATTATATTTATATATATATATATATATCAACGTGTCTACTTTTCAGAAAACATATCTATGAACAAGTCACCAGAATTCTAGAGAGATGCTATGCATATGTAAAGCGTAGATGCCAAGCCTGGCAGCGCAGGCAGGAGGATGGGCCTCTGTCGCGGCAATACATCGCCAGATGGCAGCGAATCCATTCAATTCCTGACATGAAGGACCCGAGCCGAAGGGTAGCCGTTGATCTTGAAATCGTTAAAGGCTGGTTGAAAAACAGCTCTGAATGGCTTAATGATTTTTAGATATGCAGAATCATGCAGATCTTTGTCATGATCTATGCTTGCTACCAGCTGTCTCACACCTGCTGCCTATATGTCATGCTACTTAGCCTTATACTTGGATGATTTGCGGATATTTCGGCCAGGTCTAAAACGCCAAGGTCCTGCTTGAGAAACTCGGCAATCCTGCTGATGGGGCCACCAAAACCTCGCCTTGCAGGAGTTAGTCTATATCTCCCACGACGTCTTTGATGCCTACCGAAAAAGCCACTACAAAGCCGGTTGCCACTTGGGTGTCTTGGCCGAGATCTGTGAAATGTGTTACACCATGTTACACCATCCACAACTAAACATGGAACCCGACGAGGGCTATTTTAAGGTTCAATGTTGACGTTTGGGATGCGTTTGGGGCCGGGGGCTTTCCATGTTCAGTCCAAAAATCTCATTTTTTTTGTTTGATGAGTTGATACCACCAGGTGTGATCTCGAGCTACATCCTTCAGATTCTCGTGGTTCACTTGCGTGATATTGAAGGACGCTTGCAGAAACTCGTGTCCATTGTGGCCAACCTGGTGAACGTTTATGGCCCCGTCCAGCAGGCTGCGAAGACGGATTGGGCTGTTTTTCGGCTCATGCATTGGGCCAGCTTGCTCCAGCGAACTCATCCCGTAGATGTTTGGGAGAGCGCGCATGATAATGACACCTGGATTTGCTGAGTGGATTTTTCTCAAATCTTTGGGATGGGTCAACACCTATTCTGAATCCACATTCTAGGAGACATAGGTTTTGACTCATAGCCATTTGTTTATTTACCATTTGGGGAATCTATGTCGGGCTGAGTGTTTACTGTTTAATTTTCTTTATCGCCCCCTTCAGCTACTCCAAGGAACTGACGGCATCGAAAGATGCTGCAATGACCTTGGTGGCTGACGTGGGGAAAGCTGTCAAGTCTGCAGCCAAAGGTGCTGCTGGAACTTCCCCCTTGATTTTTGTGACATCCGCTTGGGGTTGGATGTCTGAAGAGTTGCGGGGGGCTACTTTGCTGCGATGCGGTTCTTGTTGTCCTTTTCCGCTGAAGTAATTCGGGACACATCGGAATAACCACTTGAGAAGATGTGTCTACCAATAGTTTAGCATAGTTGACCTATCTTACATTCTCGACGTCTTTTTGATGTCTTTCTGATTTTTGTTGGGGTGTGTCCTTCCCAAAAAAATGCCCAAAACTTCCAATATGTCTCAATCATCAATATCAATCAATATAGTTTAACTATATCGACTATATCTTACATGGCTGTGTAGATCCCTTTTATATATTTTTATATCTTTTTATATTGTTTTCATGTCTTCCTTGTTTTTGTTAAGGGCTCTTCCAGGATTCCATGACCCATAGGATCCATGGTGCTGCTATATATGCTAAGATAAAGGGGATATATTGATGGGATCCATGGAGCACCATATATAGCAGCACCATGGATCCTATGGGTAATGGATACTTGGTGGCTCATCACACGAATCCGAAGGAAGTTATATCCCTGTTTATTAGAAGTGGGAAAAGTAGGGTTGATCCACCTATCACTAGGCTTATAACCTACTTACCAGCCCCAGGTTTTAAGGCGCTGGCGAGTGGTGTCCAAGACACCTCTCTTGGTCCTTTGTCGCGACCGCCTCGCGGCTGACGCCTGCGACGCCACGGCGGATCTCCAGGGCGGACCCTTGCGGTGTCTCAAGGCACCAAGGCGCTTAGGCATCGAAGCAATCGTTGCCAAATACCTGGCACCTGGGCCTCCAAAGGGCCTCCAAAAAGATGGGTTGGTGAAAGGGTACCAGATGGGTGAAATCATGTACCAAGTTTACCCTAAACTGACATAGCTATGGAAAATGACCTATTTACAGTCACAGTTGACTTACCTATGTAAAAACCCGATGATTTTCCATAGCTATGTTAGTTTGCCGGAGGGTATTATTTACATAGCAAGCCTCCGAAAATGATAGATTAGTAAAACTTGCCAATAGCATTTTACTTGTTGATCTTTTTGGGTATGACTAGAACCGATTTCAAAACCATATTGATTATGTAAAGTATTAATGATTGAGAATCAATCACGGTATTGTTACTTGGTGGTTCACACCAGGATAAGTTCAAGTTAGTTAGTTCACCCCAGTGAAATAAGTGGACTAGTTCTAGTTGCCCGACTTAAAACTCACCTAGTAGTGGCTATGTAGTGGCTGTGTGATATTTTTTGGCCAGGAAAAAGCATGCTTATGATTTGTAGAGGGTGGTTGAGGGCAGCAAGCAGAACTATACCTATCACAAGCTGCTCCCTCATGATATTTGTGTTTGGGGGACAATGGGGACAAGCTTGGAAATAGCCAAAATAGCCAAAGGCACTATAATAGAGCACATGACATGGGTGTCATATGAATATGAATATCATGCTAACAGATGTCATATGAATATGAATATCATGTTAACAGAACCTGGCGGGTGTTTCAGATATTTCATGGCATTTCATACTTTCCATCCCTCGCTTGAAACGATGACATGCTTTTGCAAGTTCCACTTATTTTGAAATTAGTTCCGATGAAATCCAGTATTGTTTCGTTGTAGTCCGAGATATCCTTTTTCCTAACGGTCCCAACTTTCATGGGATAAATTAAGGGAAAGTCTTAAGCGGAAACCACAGTGTTTAGCCTCAAATATAGTTTTGAGTTTTCCTCTAAGGGTTCCCTTAAACCCTATATTTGATGGGGTTAAAAAAACGATATGTGTTAAAGTCAACCACACTTTTACCAATAGAAACTCCAGTCAGCAACCCCCCATCTTGGACCAGGTTCTTGCGGCTTTGGTGAAGCTTTCGCTGCACGCCGTCTGGCTGGACCTCGACATCTTGGTGCTGTCGGACCCCGCGCCGCCGCTCACTGCGGAACTGGCGCGGGGCGAGGCGCACCTGATCTTCGTGCGGCATTTGTTGAGTCAATCCGTGAGCCCCGCAGTAACGTGGCGAAACGGGTGAATAGGTGGGGTATAGACTAAAACGGGTTGGTGGTTTGGAACATGAATTTTATTTTCCATTTCATATATGGCATGTCATCCTTCCCATTGACTTTCATATTTTTCAGAGGGGTTCAAACCACCAGCCAGATAACCTTGAAATCGTTGCAAACAACATCACATAGTCACACCATGTCACACCAATTTTGTAAATAAGCAACGGTATCCATCGCAAGCGATTGTATGTATATAAATTGATCATGTTCGCAATGATGGCAATGGGAAAATGGATGAACATGGACCAATTGAATCTATCAGGGATCACTTCAGCAAATCCTAGGTAATTGTGGCCCGTGGCACCGCCATGACAGCATCCATTTTGATGGGATATGCGGGCTGGCTGCGGGAGAATCCCTACCTGTTGGATCACCAGGGCTGGGACCAATATTTGAGCAACAACCATGGGGACTATGCTGGGCTCTTCGACTACAAGGGTCGCAACACCACCAATCAGGATCCAGATGGACCAGGGCACACCTTTCTGGCCTCAAGGGGCCTGGCACCAGAAGGAACCAAGTGGAGCTTCTTCAGCAAGGGCTTTGGGAGTGGAGATGGTTGGCAGGGGGACCCTGAAGGGTCGGATCTGATTTTCTTCCATTTCTGGGGAGCCAGGGAGAGCCAGAAGGAGATGTTTGAGATCTTCTATCCCAAGCGCGGTGCTCGATCAAGCCTCAGTCAGCATGCCATGAGCACCATCCTCAAGTACCGGCGCCAGCCGGTGTCGGCTCCCACCGTGCCAGCATTGCTCACAGGGCGCAATCAGAAGCTGTATGTCATTGCCATCAGCTATGCCCATGGTTGCTGCACCAAGTCCTTGAAACGAAATCGTGATCACGCCTTGCAGGCAGGTGTGGATGAAGCCCGGTCCTATGGCAAGGAGCATTTGGGCCCAGACTGGCAAGCTGCTAACTCCAAAGTGCTTTCGCAGAAGAGAGGGGGAGGCTGCCGGATGCCGGGGAAGGTGGGGCATCCATGGGGATGGGATGAAGTCAGCCCCTGACAGGTTGGTGGTTATGGAAGCCCTATGTGATTCTGCAGACCTTGAAGGACGGTAGATGGTAGTACGCAGTTGGCGCTTGAAAAAAAATCGAGAGATTTCGGAGTTGGGAAGGCTAGGGAAAACACTCCATTGATGCCATTTCCAGGTAAAAATGGTAAAATCATCAACATTCAAGTACGGGCGTATGGGTGCAGTCGGGGGGACAGTACATTTTTCAGTTTCAAGATTCCAGAATCACTGAAGGCAGGCAGGCTGCAATGTCGATCCATTCTGACAGGACCCAACCCTTCCCTGGGACACTGGCGTGGTCTTGTGGGTGGACGCTGGCAACTACTTGCCCGCTGGCAGCACCAAAATTAGATCAAACATGATACAACTTGGCAAGACAGTGAAGGTTTGTCTGAAAATCGCGTGCCATTCCGCACGCATTGCTCCATTTTTTCTAGCCAGGCATGCCGACCCCAGACCTATCTTGCACGAAGCACTGGAGGTGCAACGGGGTCGAGCCCTGTAAATCATGGGTAAGGGGAAATCATCCCGCAAAGGGCAAAACGATTTGGGTTGTGACGTGTGTGAGTGTGAGGCCTAAGAATATCCAAATAGAATCAAATAGATTGTATATAATAGATTATTATATAGATTATATAATTATATGGAGACGCATATACAGGTGTATATCATTAACCCGAAATGGTGCCTCTACTAGCAATTTTCCACCTTTTTTTTTGGGAAGCAGATCATCATCCAGAGCCTTGATGGTTTACCCGACCAAAGGGCAAGATCCCGCAGGTGTCGGACATCATGGCGTTGAGGTTAAAGCAATGCCTTGAGTCGGACTGGACCAGCAAACTCACCGTGCAAAAGATGTGTCTTGGCGGATCTGGGATCTGGGATGCGAGAGACAGTTTCAAGAGGAATTCTTGGTGGTTTGCTTCATGTCATTCCCATCCTCTTTGAAGAATTGGATTTAATTATATAATATGAATCCCTGCAAAATATTTTTTATCATGACTATCATGAGATACACAGGTGTGTGTAATGAGTGACCTGGCCGGGCCATTCGCACTGGCTGTGACACGATGAGTTGGTCCGTTCGGAATCTCGTCCATGTGGACCACTTTTGCTATATGAATCGTCACCTTCTTTCACTGATCCCTGAGGAACATGACCTCAAGGTGCGGGGTATTCTTCTGGTAGTGTGGAACATGACAATGATTTGTACAGGCTCAGGCCCAGACGTCATCAGATATTCATCTTAACCCTGTGACCATCTATAACCGTACATATATCTTAGATCCTGAAAGGAACACACAGCCGACAACCTTGAGACGCAAAAATGCTTCTCATTTTTTGGGGCTTTGCGCAGGTATGCCATCCTAGACCGGCCCCAGTTGGGTGCCTACTTCCTGGCTTTCCGGAAAACAAAGGCACTGGAGAGGGTCAAAGGCATCGAATGATATCCGGAAACCATGAGAAACCTGGGTGAAGCCTAAAAGGGTCTGGATCTATTCTGTAATGTCCGGTATCATTACAGGGGTGATCATCATCAAGGGGGTTGGATGTTGGATTTAGTTATATTTAGTCCAATGTGCGAAAATTGTAGGATTTGTAGGGTCGGCTGGCTGCTCTAAAGCAGTGATGACGATTCAGCGACTGCGGAGGCAGTCCTTGATTTCGTTGAGGAATGGCTGCGGTTCTCGGAGGACTGGGGCGATACGCATGGCGAGTTTCGCAGGGTTTTAGGGGTCCAGCCCAATGGGCCAATGGGAGCATCCCAGCACTGCCTCTTATCACTCAACTGTACTGGTTGGTGGTTTGGAACATTTTTTATTTCCATAATATATGGGATGTCATCCTTCCCATTGACTAATATTTTTCAGAGGCGTTGAAACCACCAACCAGGTACTGGTTGATGCTTTCAAATTGCTGATATTGCTGTTGATTTTGCCGTCTGGTAAGCTAACATAGCTATTGGGAAAACCACCATTGTTAATAGGTGAATCAGCTGAAAAATGGGTCATGTCACATAGCTATGTTAAATTATCAGAGGGTACGTAACTACTTTCCGCATCATCCCTGAGATGAAAAAATCATCCGCAAATGGTAGGACTGGTAGGACATTGTTATTGGGTTTACCACATTGCATGCTTCGCCTCCCAATTTGTTTGTTAGATGGCTTAGTCTGAAAATAGGCTATAGCTATGGCAATAATTTTCCAATGGTTTATCAATATGTTCCATTCCGCAAATGGCGAGAATGCCATAACCTGGGGGGGCCTCCCCTATTGTCAGACCCACATCCTGTGCATGCCATGCTGATCCGCGTAGGATCCTGAGATGCTGCTGGGATTGCAGCCTTCTGCAGGCTGTGCAACAACCGGGCTGACGATGACATGGGGGTGAAATGGTTGTTTTATGTTGTTTTAATGTATGTTTTAACTATGGCAACTATGGGGAATAGGAAAAGAATTCAGAAATCATGGTTGATTGATAACTTTGTTTCGGGTATTGCTGTCCAAGATAGCTGGGGATTATCACAATCCATGAGCTGGGAAATGTACGCACAGTGTTCTAAGACTTTAGGGATTCACCAACTACTTTGGGTTATGAAAATCGTATAAAACAGTTAGGCTTTCAAAACAGCAACCAGATGGCCATCCATGGTAGTAGTTATAGGGATAAGATGGCTGTTCTCTTGCCATCATTTTGGGCCTTCCCACTGAGAAATGCCACAGTTGTTGCAGGATATTGCAGGGTCGAAGGAAGTCACCTTGAATTTGCTCTGCAGGTGGCGAGCCAAATGAGGAAGAAGCGCCTGGGCCACTGTAGGTTGGATTTGTTTTTTTTTGGAACCTAAACACCATTATACACCTGGGCGTGTCTGAAAATGGGTTATGGCCCTTGAAGTCGGGATGATATTGATAATCCCGTGAGATTGGGGGACTCTATTTTCAGACAAACCCAGCGTTTCAGATGGTATTTGGAGCACTAGGCTTGGTGGTTTCATGTGATTTTGCTCTATTATGTGGAACAATGATCCAGGAACCAAAAGGAGTAACATGTTTTTGGGGAGGTTGAAGTCATCGACCTGTGTATAGAAACTAAGGGCATCATGCTTTTCCTTGCAGCCATCTATCAATTGGATGCCTTTCCGATGCAAGGACGTCCCAACCTTCCAGAAGCACCAAGCGGATCAGAGTATCTTCTCAGTGCTCTTCAAGAGTGACTTGAAGATACCCGAGATTTCCAACAGTACCCTCTGGTAAATTAACATAGACCCTGCCAGATAGGGGTTGGAAGATTAGTTTCCATTAAACATTGGTTATTTTCAGGGTCTATGTTTATTTACCAGAGGGTAACTGGTGATTTAATCCACCATTTTTTTGGGGAGATAATATTTTAGATAATAATAATGATAATATGTCACAGGTTGTCACAGTGGGATATACCGATATACAACCAACTGTTTGAAAGGGAGACACCTCATTTCTTGTTGGTGGGTTAAACCACCAATCATGGACATGTGTTGGTGGTATACGTGATTCATGGACATACCTGCACAGTAGGCCGCTGATAGCTGCTGTTTGTGACCTGGTCTTGGATTCTTTTCTTTCTGCCCTCACACGAGCAGATATGTTCAGATATGTTTGAACTTTGTGGTGCCGATTTCACAGGGGAGATTCCCAATTCCAAAGTGTTGGACAGTATCGAATGGTTGAAGGCTGAAAATCATCAGCCATTGGTAGTCTGATTGGTGGCCACACATGGCCCGGAAATCATTTGAGGTCATGGCTATCAAGCCACTCCACTTGATGTGGGACACAGGCCAGGTCAGAATCTGCTTAACACAAGAACAGGTTAACATTGCGGAGGTCATTGATGAAAGATCTTCATAGATTCTCCTTTCACGACTATGCTTTTCGCATTCTTTTCCAGATGTCTTTTCCAAACGTTTACATAACTATGGAAAGTCACCTTTTTTAATGGGTAAATCGGTAAATCCACTATTTCTATGGCCATGGCTTCAATAGCTTTTTGTATGTTTACCAGAGGGTAGCTGGCCACATCGCAACAAGATGATGCGACCCGTGCAACCCTCGGCAGGGTGGTGACCTTGGATCGCTGGCGCGAGTGAGCGGTGCGAAACATCACCGGGCGCGTTGTGCTTTCCGGGACGACGGGACGGTGATGGTCGTCATCTTGCGGTATTTTCACTGATGGTTAATAATGGCCAATGATAGTTAATGATGGTTAATGATGTTAAATTATGGTTAGCCATGGCTAATAAGTGTTAATTATGGTTAATAACAATCTGGTTGGTGGTGACTGGAACAATGTTTTGTCTTTTAATGACTTTCCATATCTTGGGAATAATGGAATGTCATCATCCCAACTGACGAACTCCATTATTTTTTTAAGAGGGGTAGGTATACCACCAACCAGTTGTGTGTTGGTGAAGTGGTAATATTGATCACCACTCATACATATATATATATATCAATTAGACCGGACCCCGGAGCTAGTGATGATATGCTTTTTAAACAACAGCAGGGTGGTCATGATGAGATCAATAATTACTCGTAACGATGATGATGATGGTGATGATGATGAGGAGGAGGAGGATGAGGATGGCAAATGCTGGTTGGTAAGCAGTGTGGGGCCCCGAACTTGATAGTCGAGGGGAATCTGCCGGACATATCCTGGAGAACATAGGAGCCATCAGGATGGAAATGCTATGCAATGCTTACCCTCCGGTAAACTAACATAGCTATTGAAAATGACCATTTATAGTTGATTTTCCCATTAAAAATTGTGATTTTCCATAGCTATATTAAATTACCAGAGGGTACCATTGGCTAGTGACTGCTAGTGAAAGCTAGTGGTGAGCAGCCTGGACACAGAAAATTGAGGTGGAAGCCCAGATAGACTGCGTGCTGCCAGCCAATTGGGAAGCCGAACAACGAGCAAGGCGGGATCTTCACCTTGCTCTTCCCACTTTTGATTGCTTTGCATTCCCATGATGTTCATCATCATTTCCGATTGACACGTAAGAGTGGAACCGTCCAAAAAACCGTTGCTGCGGAGATACTGATATTATATGAATATGGTATTTTAAACTATATATTATATTATAACTATATGGTGTATTTTAACGTCTATATATATATACATATTATTCATATTATATATTTATACATATTATATATTAACATTTATATATTTATATTTACATCCATTCCTGGGAGTTCCACATTGGCTTTCCGAGTAGCTTTCAGGGGAGTGCCCCTTGGCCCCACCTGTGCGGCAAGGAAAGCAGCGGTAGCCGCCATCAAGGCAGCTGGCAACTCCACTGAGGAGGCGCGGGCGATGGCTAGGGCTGCTAGGGCCGATAGGAGATTAATTAGTTTCCACTATTGTCACTATTCTTAACATTGGCTATTTTCGGGGTCTAGGTTAATTTACTCTATGGGGGGATATATGTTTGATATGAAGAAATTGTGGTTTCAGCAGAAATATGAAATACTAGCAAGCTCTTTATACCCTTCGGTAATTTAACCCGGATTGCTGGTAAATCCCAGATCTAAAGATGATTTTCCAATCTCTTTGACATTAAGGTGGTTTCGCAAGATTGCTGAAGGATGAGCAGCAGGGATGAGACAACCTCTAGATTCCAAAGGGGCCAAAGATTAAACAACCGTTCTGAGCAGCAAACCATCTGTAGACACCCAAGATGAGGTGACAGTCTTGAGCTATAAAATGTTGCTGGATGATTGTTTAGCCACTGAAGACGGTTCATGTGATGCGCGAGGGTAAGACTAGGGAGGCACCATGCAAGGTTGAGTCCAAGCGGGTTCATGCCCAGATCGATGACTGGAAGTTTGAAGATTTGAGTGCCTGGTTGGATAAATGAGCAAAGACTTGGAAGTTTACTAAAAGGTTCATGAGGCTCTGCTGCTTTTGTGGTAGCTCTGTCCAACGCCCGGACCAAAGGGTCCTGAGAATACCTGCCAGGCACCCAGGCGTCCACACTTTCACATGGCACTGCTGCAGCATTTTTCCGGGAAAGCATTAGCAAACAGATCGTAGTAAAACATGCCACCTTCACCTTTTTTTCAGCTCATTTCCCCTAATATAGCCCTCAGATGCCCTCACCTTTGACCAGAAAAGTATCCAACTAAAATGATGGTGAACTATATACTTGCTTAAATTGGAAACCTTGTTGGATAAAGTCTATCTTTTTTCCTTGGATAGTGATGCTAAAAGTTGGCAAACAATGATGACCACCTAAACTGACACTTTTCCTTGGGCTTATCGACCTGTTTGCCGCTTCTTTTCAACCCGCCGCAGGTCGGAGCAGCGGTGAAAGGTCAAGGGAGAATCGGCGCTGAAGAAGCCGCGCGCGGGGCCACAGCCATGGGAGCCATGGGGAAGATCATCCATAAATGAAAGTTGCATTGGGAAAAACATGGCAAAATATCTGGCGAAAAACATGGAACAACTGGATATCATCTATAGATGTGGGACATAGAGCTGGGTAAATTATACCCGTCTTCACGTCGTGAGATGGTTCGGTAACATGGGGTAACTAATTATCCCGAAATAGCTGAACTTTTCAGGCCAGTGAATCATCTATCCAGATCGCCTATGGCATCCTCTTGGATGTTTTCACACATCTCATGTGAAAAGAAGTTCGAAAGCCCGTGTTTTTCCAGCCCAAGCTTTAGCGGCTTTAGCGCCTGTGTGAACCATCTGTTTCAGTTGGGCTGGCAGTTGACCCAGCATGTTGGATGGTCCGTTTTGCTTTTTGAAAAGCTGTTGTTTCAAGGATGGAATATCCACAGGGTCTGATCTAGAATGATTCAAGATGACTTAATAGACTTAATGACCTTCAAAGTTAGACATGTTTTTCTTGCTGTCGGTTCATGTATAGATGGATCGCTAGAACATGGTTTCTCGAAGCTTGATGGTTTATGAGTACAGTTCTGTGGGGTCAAATTTTGGTATTAAAAACTGGGATGGTTTACGCACTCAAAATGACCCAATCTACCAAAACACTGATGTTTTGGACGCTACTCCATGCATTCGCTCCCCTATATTATGGATAAGGTTCAATACCGACCTCAAATGTCAACTGACATGCGGAACATAAGCTAAATCTTGGGATTGAGAAAACTGACAGCAGCCCATGGATCAAACGGGCTCCCCAAAGCTTGATAAGATGGGTTGTGCCAAGCGAAGCCCCGAAGTAACAAACTTCTGGGTTGCATAGCCGTGGGCTTATTTCAATAGCCCCAAAGACCATGTATCAAGTTTTTTTTTGGAAGGGGGCGGGGGTGGGAGGCTCCCACAACCGATGATGCTTTTTATGTTTTGTTTTATTTTTTCTCTGGGATTGACATCACCCAATTGTGATCTATACAAGGTGCCCTCCCTGTACAAGTTGGTTTATAAACCCCGCTGCGTTGCAGCTCTAGATATTCGCTGCAGAGGCTTAAACGCCATATAAATACACACGCGGGTACAAACACACATATAAATGTGTATTAATGTATATATATATGTGTGTGTGTATACCAACTCGCCCATTCAACATAGACCCCCAATTGTGCTTGTTTACACCACCATTTCCACTTCTTAACCTCTGGATAACAAAGCAACCTTAATTTCAACACTGGATTAAGAAACCCCCAGGCGGTTTCATTCAGAGGTACCATTTAAATATTAGATTATAATCAATTATAACACACACACATAGATATAGATATATATATATATATTTGGGGAATGCCACCGTCATTAATAAACCATGATGAATCCAGGGTTGACCTTCGCCGATCTTCACCGCCCTCTTCAGGAAGCGCATCGTTGAGCTGGGGCACTTCGCTACGTCTGGCGAGGTGACCGCTGGAGGATGTGCGGATTTTTGACCCAAAAAACGAACGCGGCAACGGAGAATCTCAGCTATAAACCTTCATTTATCTGGGTAAAGTATAAGGACCTCACTGCGACCTACTGGAATCATAGTTAATAAGGGAAATCATCCCCAAGTGGCCTTATTTCAGGTTAGTGAGTTATTATAATTTGCCAGATTGATTTATAGAGAATGTATGGGAATGTTCAATTTCCACGATTAATTACTGGAGGGTAAAATGACCAAATATGGGGATGAAACACGATGAAAGCAGGCCTGTAGATCGAAGTGGATCAAGTTTGAAGGATATTTGCAATCAAACAAAGCGAGGTTGGCCAACTTGAATGGTGATGTTCATGAACAATGGGGGTTACTATGTCTCGAGTGAAGCCTGAAAGTTAAGAAAAAACGATGTTTATAATTAAGAATGAACCATATTTGCCCCTGACATTCGACTTGCAAGTGGCATTCTAGGACATTTTTTGGGGCCTGCTTTATTGTTCAACAAAATCACCGGAGAGGGAGAAATTGGGCCTCAGGATTTGATGGTTGATGATCTATCCTCTTTGTTCACTGCTCATACCCCTCTTTGGGTTGATCATTGTTGATCATATCCACATTGTCCGCACGTTTGGTTCACTTAAGCGCTATTTGTTGAACCAAACATGTTGAAGCCAAAATTTGTTAATCACATCCCCTATTCTTGTTGAACACCCTAATTTATCCAATATATAGTTAAACATGTTAAACTAACTGTAGGCTATTAGTCAAATCACAGTCTTCATTGGTTAAATCACCATTTCTTGTTTACCTTATCTACCCTGAAAAAAATAAAATAGCTATTGAAACACTTGCCACTGAGCCTCTATTTATGGTGGATTCACCTGTGAAAAACGGTTATATCCCATAGGTTCTCCCTGTGTTTTCCCTCAACGCCAGGGTGTCCAACCCCTAGCCTTCAAAGCCTGGCGGGCGGCCAGCGCCGCTGGTGTGTCACCTGCTTCGAACGTGGGAAATGCGAAGGTTTAAGTTTCTCGCAGACCCAAAAGGGATAGAAACGTGTATATATATACATATATATATATATATCAATATTTACATGTGAATGTGTCACCAACGCTCAGCATATCTCAGCATTGAAATTCGCAAAGCCCGTTTTCTGTTTGATTGTGAACCCCTACCCTTCTCCCAACTTTATCCAGTTCAATCTGGTTTCAGGCCTGCTTTCATCATGTTTCATCCCCATATTTGGATCTATTTGGTGGGTTACCCTCCGGCAATCAAACGGTAAGTCCACTGTCAACGGAGCTTTTTTTTGTTTGGCAAATCCTTGAACTGGATGGGGGATGGCCAATTGCTATGTTTGATTACCGGAAGGTAAGTTTCTAGCAGCCCGCAAAAGATATCACAACATATCGACATATAATGTATCACTATTTGGATGGGATTTGACTTTTCCATTTTTTCTGTAAATTATTATGTATTTTGAAGGTAGTGACATGATGTGACATGTCTAAAATTTGGAAAATTCAGTCTATAGCAACCCCCAAAAGATAGGAACACATATCATGCTATGAAGTTCATGTGGCAAACCCAACACAGAGCGCCATCCCCAAGTGGGATCTCAACATATCTCAACCATTCCCAAAGGATGGGTTTCATCCGCTACATGACAGGCCATGGTAGATAGATGGTTTGTGTGTCAGTTCCGAAGTACAAGCCACTTACTTACATGTGGAATTTCAAACGTGGCAATGGACAGGCCACCAGCACTAGATCATTTAGTTCCATGATTTTCCCACCTATAAACTTCCATTTAGCTTGTGGATTTTCAAGCTAGCCATGTTTAACTTCCAGACGATATATTTTTTGGTCACCGACATGGCAGAGTTGTCATCCCAGGTCCAGCAAAGTTGCCTCACAGGCTGCACTTAGGGCAATTCTGCCAAACGCCAGGCTCCTCAGAGGTCAGGATTCCGGGCAAGTCTGAGGCGGATTAGTACTTTTAATCGTTTGCTCTCCTTTAAACAATGGGAATGTCTACCAACTATGGGGGATAAGTCAAGGCAACGGGGGATCAGATTGGACCATGTTGATTCCTATTTTGAGTCAGAATTTGTCTCAAGAACCAATATATAGTTGACTGGGAAGAATGCTTCCACAATTCCGTGCAAATGGTTCCGAAGTGTTGACTTTCCATCGCTATGTCAGATTGCCAGAGAGATATTTGTTGATGGGGAACATGTCTTTGCCACAACAAAACACCCCCCCAAAAAAAGGTCTTTTGGGAAAGTTTTTGAGTACATTACCATGTGACAATCAAACATGGCAATGGACAATTCCCTAATTACTTTGATTTTTTTCCCATGAGCATGTCCATTGAGTGCGGGGCTTTCCAGGCCACCAGGATCCACCAGATCTTTGAACCAAAGAGGACCCCTTGGTTATAAGTTGATTGAACTCTAAACCCCTTCAACTGCAGATGTTTTTCCGTTAAATATATATATATACATATCATATATCATATATCAACCCGAGTGATTTCTCACTTACATATAAATCAATTGACGATCATAAATCCAAAATCAATCCCCATGTTGGTTGGTGACATACCCACTTTTGTGGCTGAAACCCGTTAACCCCAACAAGCTTCAGTCCGATAGGAGCCCACCGGGCCCCTATCGTTCATGAAAATTCAGGTCCTGATGGAAGCTATGAGCACAGGAGAATCGGATCTATGTTTACCCTTTGGTTTTTGCAACATAGCTGTGGAAAACTACATTTTTCAATGGGTGGATCGTCAGAATTCAAATATAAATGTGTCATTTTCCATAGTTCAAGGAAAGAACTGTCTAGATCAACCGCCAACTCAGGGCAAGGTGTATTTGTGGCGATTTAAGTTAGTGTTGGAATTAGAGTCCATGAGTCCATGAATCTCACTATGTGTACATCCATCATATTCCACCCTACTTTGAATGATGATCCCGTTTGACAAAAATATTTTTGGTCAGATCAGTTCAAACATGTTTAAATCACTGGGCGGTATGAGTTCCCCAAGAGTGAAAGAATTCTTGATGCAGGAGACAGCCCAGCTGAACAAGGCGTGGAAAAAATCAGGGTAACACCATAGTGCAGCCACCAGTATTTTTACCCCGGCAGTTTGGATTTTCCTGGCGTTTTTTTGAGTTTTTGCAGTGTGTGTTGCGGTCAGCAATGGCCAGCTTCTGGTGTGAGTTGGTGTCCCAATTGTTGGCCACATATGGGTTTGTCTGAACATAGGGTACCAGTAGATCTGGTTGAACATTGTCTCATCAAGATGCCATGCTTGAGGGGCGTGCTCTATGCCAGATTTTCAGACCCATATTGTTTATGTTCTGAGTTACTTAGTTATGTATCTTAGATTATCTTCAACATACATCGATATATATATATATATATGCATAAGTCAAATGGTTGAAGACCACTGGTATTGCAGGAGTTTTTGTCAGAGATGTGCACAAAACACTGTAAAGCGATATGGCACCCCCCAAAAGCGAAAGTAACACACAACACTGTAAAGCGAGAATGACACAAAACACTGGAAAGCGATATTGCCACCCCCCGGGGAGAAAAAACAGATAGCCGATAATAGGAACTACTGAGATGTATTATAAAGGATTGTGACAGGAGCTCAGACTCACACACACACACATGTATATATATATATATATGTGTGTGTGTACATATATATATATATATGTACACATATATATATATGTATATATGTATATAATTATATATATGTATATACATATATACATATAAACCTATATTATATAAATATATACATATATATATACATATCTGTCTATATAAACAGGTTAGATCCCCTTCTTTTGGGGGTCTTCGGTGGATCCACCTCCGCCAGGTCGCATGCTGATGCGCATCGCCCGAGCGATCCCTGGACTCAGCGAGGAGCAACGAGTGGCTCGGCACCGTGTGGGTCGACGAAAGCGTTTCGGTGACGACCTGGGGATCCCCCCGTGACTTCAGAAAGCTCCAAAAATGGATGGAGATCATGGGTGGATAATGGGATATCAGGAGAATATGGGATGTTTTTTAGCAACTATCTAGACATGGGGATGATTTTTTAGATAACTGGTGTGGTTGGTGGTTTCACCGGTGTTTTTGTAGAAATGATATGATCTCCAATGAGTTTCATAGCGTTCAGATGGGAAACCACTTAAATTAAGACTTAAACCAGTCAGAAGAATGGATACTTAATCAATAAGAGGAACAGCTGAAGATTTGAGTCAAAATTGGGACCAACGAGAAGGATTCAAGCGCCAAGGACTCCCAAGGACCTGCCGTTGTTTTTGAAGCTCAGCTGTGGACTTTTTTAAGCGCCCTACCTGGGCGACCCAAAGATGATGAGGGTGTCAACTGTCAAAAACTTCATGCTACCTCGCAAAGTGGATTCATATTTTTAGAGCATTGAAAAGTGCTAAGTGGAGTATGTTGAGATTCGGGACCGTAGCAACGCCCAGAAATGATGGGCTTTAAGTTTTAAGGAATCCTCCGTTGATCCCAAAGATGGCGGCTACTGAAGATCCAATACACTTTACCAGAGCGATGGGCTTTTCACCATCAAATTGGGGTTTACTATTGGGTTTACCTTACAGATATATTTGTAGTAACCCTCAAAAAATAGACAGGTATAGAATAATAATTCCAGGATGGTCGTTCGATGATGTCATCAATTCCAATTCTCCGAGGTACTTATTTTCTGCATCTTCTGGGGGTTTTATGAACCAATCGAATTGGTTTTATGAACCGACAAACCCCAATTGGACGGCCCAGCACCGCGCCCAGCACCGCAGGTGAACTCTTCGTTGCTCCTGGGAAAAAGAGTGCCTTGACGGCTGCTAAATCCCATGGGAGGATAGGGAGGGTATCTAAGGGTAGTGAAACCATGTGAAACCCACAGGGGTTTGTCGGAAAATGGGCTACGCCAATTCCAATGGTTTACGATCATTTTCCAAATAAAAATGGTTCATGTGGGGGTTAGACCCGGGGTAGAGCCCATTTTCAGACAAAGCCACATGCAGATGTATTTTTTAGACATTAGCATTGAGATTCAACCAGCAAAGAAACATATGTTTACAATAAGTTTTACAGTAAGCATCAAAAGAGAAATCAGCAAAATCGAAGATTGCCATTGACATTGGGATTAAGATTATCAACTATACATGGCGAACCCACTGGTGGATCCATGTCCATAATATGATGATTAGGCCTTCCCAAATGGGCCTAGTCGTTTTCCATCAACATTTTTTGGTTTCAATGGATGGTGTCCCCCCAGAGAAACTGATATGACATGTTTGGACCACCTATCATAGCGGTATATATTTTTTGTATTCTTTTGTGGGTTGTTTATCCTGCCCATTCCTGCCCCAAAAAATGCGTGGCACAGCATGTTTCGAGCTCAGATACACGAGGATCCAAAGTATGCTTCATGGGATGGATTGGATGGATTGCTCCGTTACCAACCATTTGTAGATCATTTTTCAAACAGGAAACCGTTCCATATCAATGTTCCTTTACACAATTGCTTGATGCTAATATTCTTTTCTCAAGAAAGCCTTCCTGGATATTCTTGAGGCGGTTGTGGCAAGTCATACGCGTTCACACGATTTACCACCACTGCAATTTTACATGGAAACCTGGAAACCCACCAATTGGTCACATGTTGCACCTTCTAACCCCCACCAAAAAAGGGAGTTGTCCCAGCAATTTCTAGGGTTCCATCATGTTTCCAAGGGGAAAGCACACATGTCTACCCCATGAAAGGGGTCCAATGGGACTGAAGTTGTGATGGGATTATAGCCGTTTGTTCATCACTTTGTTCATCACTTAACCCCCCTTCGAAGTGCTATATATGCTATATTCTCCAAGCAGATCCGATATTTCTGGCGGTAGGTGACATGACCCCATGCTGCGAAACGCCGATCCTTGTATTGCCGGGCATGATACAACTGAACTCATTTGGTTTCAAGTTGGTTTATAGCTATAGAATTATAAAGACCATTAACTCTATATTCTCTATATTCCCTATAAACCTAACAGTTAGTCAAGATATATTCACCAACTTAGCTACCGTTTGGGGACCCAACTTCTGGAGCAAGGTCATGAACACGATGCTCATCTTCGCCAATGTACGGGAGGACGGTCCGAGCATGTGGGAGCTGAGCCTAGAACTCGGATGTGTTGGGAGCGATGGGTAGGCGTAGAAAGGGAGATGAAATCATCAGTCCTTTTTTGGCAGAACAATCCATGATTAACCAGATAACTATAGATAACTATAGATAACTATAGATAACTATAGATAACTATAGATAACTATAGATAACTATAGATGACTATAGGTAACTATAGATGACTATCTTATTTTACCAGAGGTTATGGTAACTTTAACCATGCTCAACGGCGTTTGTAAACAATTTTAGCTGGGCACCACCTTGCACAGTTGGGTTTGACCATAATATGGAGACATCATGGGATAGGCATGTACATGATGTATGTGTATGTTTGTATACATTGTACTATTTGTATCTATTTGTTGGTTTATCTTATTATATATATATTACTATTTTGTACACATCTAAATTACATTGCGTTGTATATTGTGTTAATGTATGTTGTATTGTACTATTTGACAGTTTGCATTGTTATTATTTTGGAAAATCTCGGGCGAATGATGAACCATGTTTTTTTGGCACCCGATTTCAGGCAAACAGATGGAAAAGATGGTCTTCAATAAACGTAGAGTCATTGAAGCAATTAGTTGTCGTAGATATTCGCAAGAAACGTGGACATAGAGATTCCTTTTTGAGAGTTTTCACAATATGGTGGCCCCAAGAGTCTAGATTTGCCATTTTGCTGTTGATTTGGGTAGGCGAATGCAGAAAGTGCCTGTATTCTTGTGGAGGATTGGCTGCAAAATGCACCCAAAAATCTCACATGCACAGATGATTTGCCCATTTGAGGACAGCAACAACAATGCTGAGAGAGGGAGAGTTTTTAGGGGCTCATCCCCCAAAAAGGTTAAACATTCCAGCCTTTGGCTTGTGAATGTTTATCATTTGCTGGTATCAGCAGAGATTTTGGCATACATTTTACATTATTCCAGTCCCAATGATTTGAAGACATGCTTCTGATCGAATCATCTCTGGGTGGTAGCAACCCTCCAGTGACATCGCGAAACTCAGCAAGTCGTACATGGCAGGCTGGGCAGGCTTGCTATTTTCATCCCACATACCCAAGCACACAAAACTACCCATGTATTTATATCATATATGTGTCAGTGCATGTGATGTAATGCAATGACATGCATTGTCATGCGAAGTGACATGCCGTGAAGTGATGCAATGTATGTATATATGTATGTTTTGTTAACTATACGTATAGTTTCTCCATCATTTTTTTTGATTGTTTCATGTTTTTCGGAAACCTAGGTGGAAAGATGATGACCCCCCAGTGTCGACAAGATCAAAATTTCGCCACAGGAGGCCATTGAAGCAGCATTGAAAGCATTGGCAGCCAGACGCAGGGGTCACCGCCATGGTTGGAGGTGTCCTAAGTCGTGGGGCTACTTCCGGGACTTCCAAATCATCCATGTTAACTCACTTTAATAGGAATTTATTAGGATTTTCCATAAGAAAAAAACACTTTGGGGTACCCACCCATTGATGGAAACCGTATATGGGAAATAGGTCACAACCTATGAAATACATTGAAGTACTAAAGTTGTCTGTGGACGGCTACAGTTAGTAAGGGGCAGCAGTGCAAGGGTTTTGACCCACACCCCCACATAAAATTTTGTATGCATTTATACATATATACATATATATATATATGATATAATCTGCATATATATATATATATATATATACCTGGACAAACCGTAACGACAAAAAATTTTGATGCTTATCAAATAAATGTCTTTTCAGGGGACCCAGATCCAAACGGCATAAAAAATCTGAAACGGCAAAAATGCCAATTTCATGGTGGTTGCAGCCACCTGGCTCATTCATCCCTGGCTTTGGCCACCTTGTTCCTCCAGTGCGCCCAAGATTTGTTTCACAATATTCAGGTAATGTGAAGTGTTCAATAGATACCCCAACTTATGGGTCCTTCATTGCAGAGGTACCGATGTTTCTCATGCTGCCTCTCTTCCATGATCACTTGGATGAGGCAGGGCCTTCAATATCCTTCAATCTTCTTCATTTATTCGGCTATAATTATCAGCATTTTTGTTGTTAGAGCCAAATTCCTTAACATCAATTTACATCTCTCATCAGTCAAGCTTGTCGCCAGCCACTTTTTCAGCTCCAACCCGCATCAGTGTCAACCTCCATCAGCCTCAGAGGGCGATGGCAGAGATAGGTGAGGTGGGCTCGCTGGGCCAATTGTTGGAGAATGATGTTGCCATTAGAGATATTGCCCGGAGAGAGAAGCAATTGACACAATGGCCATGCCCCAAGACTGATGGTGTCCCCTCGTGTCCAGCTCTTGGGTGTAACCTACGCCTACTGATTCTGGTGTTGGATTGGTGGGCTATCAATCAGACCAGTCCTAAACCAGTTCCAGTGGAGGTCCTGAGGAACGAGGTGAGGGGTCTACATTTAGTTATGCTGTTTAAACCCCAGGTAATTATACAGTTATCAACATGGGTTGGATTGTGTTCCTAAATTACCAACTATCAACTATGTACTTCCGTAATTTGTATCCCTGCAGGCGAAAGCTTTCTGGTCGAGAATGTGTATCAAGATTCCTGGTCGCGAACTGCACCAAGATTGCTGGGGCTTGAAAAAATTGATATCGCATGCCTTTAGAAGATGGTCCTCAGCCAATACTCCGCGTGTAGCTAGGGGGTTGCTTCAAATTGTTTTATATATTTCCAAATTAGTCTATTTTTTTTATTCCTCGTTTTTTTGGTTCCATCTCCCATCCACTACCAACACATCAACCATGAATCTCTCAGGACCCGGACCTGCAGCCTCTCTGGGATGTCCTTGACCAGCACTGGGGCGGTCAAGCCTTGGAGGATGATGATGACCCATTGCCCCTTCAAAATGGTGACATCCCACCGGATGGTTCGGATCCAGCCAGCCAGGTCCTGGCTCTCCAAGATGGCCAGGTGAATGATCAAGGAAGTGAAGTTCTGGCTATCGAAAATGGTCAGGTGGCTATCGAAGATGGTCAGGTGAATGATGAAGGAAGGGAGGTTCTGGCTATCAAAGATGTTCAGGTGAAGGATCAGGCGAGTGAGAGTCAGGCGCTTGCCACTGAAGGCGAGTCCAAAGATCCAGCAAAAGAGGTTAAAAAAACTTGGCAGAGTCTGAGGGAACTCAGCATCTCAGGCCCCAACGAAGACGTGCGTCAGCGAGCACACCAAATCCGTGCCGAGCTCATCAGGCCTGGCCAGGGTGAAACTCAGGTCTTTTCATTTTTTTCTGGAACCAAGGTTTGTCCAAGTTAGTTCAAGGATCCTGTTCCAGCCAACCTTTTTCTTAAGCCCCTTGAAGGCGAGAGATTGCTCGCCGCCGTGGTGAAAAGTGTGAGCCAGCCAAAACCACCCCATCAGGAGCAGCAGGGTACCATCAATTGAAGGGGCTGGTAACCACCACCCCATGTTCAAAAACAACAGTATGCGACCTTTGTCATGTATCACTGTAATAAATGTAGTATCATCATTGTAGTTTATCTTGATCTTAAATTATATGGCAGTCGCCCGCTGTATTTTTCCGGCACCATCATTTTCCAGCCCAAATACTTCCAATCGACAGGACTTTCAAACCCTGATGCGGTTGACACTTTGCCCTACGACCTGGAGTCTGCCATGGACAACATGTCATTGAAGGAGCCGGAGCCAACATCACCAGGGACCCCAAAACGTTTTGCTGATATGGTACTTCTGTCTGCATCAACCTTGGAGCTTCCTGGGAAGACCCCTGATGATGAGGCCAGTGGTAGTCAAATGTTATCAAACAATTTCAACATATTTCAACTATTATCATGATGAAATACCACGGGTCACCAAGACATGTTTTTATTCTTACTGAGGTGTCTTTAGCATACGTAGGTACCTCTGTTCTCAGCCCCAGGTGGTTGGGAAGGCCACATCTGTGGATGACCAAGTCCTACCTGGAGAAAAGAAAGTTTTGAAAGAGAAGACCAAAGAAAAGCAGGATGCAGAGATGAAAGGTCAGGTGAAGAAGGCAGAACCGGAGATGAAAGCAGAGACAAAGAAGGTTCAGGACGAAGGTCATGGTGACGAGAAAAATCAGCAAGCAAAGGAACAAAGAAAGCATGTTCAGGGTGAATGCCCGGAAGACAAAAATGAGAAAGAACCGGAGGTGGTGGCAAAGGAGGACGAGAAAAAGGTTGAGGCTGAAGAGAAGGTCTTGGAGAAAGGCCAAGAAGTAAAGAAAGAACCGGAGGTAGAGGCAAAGGAGGAGAAAAAGGAAGATGCTGCAGAGAAGGTCTTGGAGATGCCGGATTTGCTAAATGGAAAGCCTCAGCTTGTTCGTCGCCGCGAACAGTTTGGCAACATGAACGAAGAGCCTAGCAGCACAGGAGAGAAGAAGGAGCCAAAGACCAGAGGAAAGAAGGCCAAGAAGACAGACGAGAAGGATGAGCCAAAGGAAGAGGAGAAGGACGAGAAGGAAGATCAGGAGCCAAAGACCAGAGGAAAGAGGGCCAAGAAGACAGACAAGAAGGATGAACCAAAGGAAGAGGAGGCTGAGAAAGATGAGGAGAAGAAGAAGAAAGAGGGCCAAGGCAGCCACAAAGGATGAGCCAAAGGCCGAGAAAGATGAGGAGGAAGCCAAGGAAGACAAGAAGCCAAAGACCAGAGGAAAGAGGGCCAAGAAGACAGACAACAAGGATGAGCCAAAGGACGAGGAGAAGGGCGAGAAGAATGAGGATGAAGAGAAGGAAGATGAGAAGCCAAAGACCAGAGGAAAGAAGGCCAAGAAGACAGACAAGAAGGATGAGCCAAAGGAAGAGGAGAAGGTCGAGAAGAATGAGGATGAAGGGAAGGAAGATGAGAAGCCAAAGACCAGAGGAAAGAGGGCCAAGAAGACAGACAACAAGGATGAGCCAAAGGAAGAGGAGAAGGGCGAGGAGGAAGATCAGGAGCCAAAGGCCAGAGGAAAGAGGGCCAAGAAGACAGACAAGAAGGATGAGCCACAGGAAGAGGAGAAGGGCGAGAAGAATGAGGATGAATCGAAGGAATATGAGAAGCCAAAGACCAGAGGAAAGAGGGCCAAGAAGACAGACAAGAAGGATGAGCCAAAGGAAGAGGAGAAGGGCGAGGAGGCAGATCAGGAGCCAAAGACCAGAGGAAAGAGGGCCAAGAAGACAGACAAGAAGGATGAGCCAAAGGAAGAGGAGAAGGGCGAGAAGAATGAGGATGAAGGGAAGGAGAATGAGAAGCCAAAGACCGGAGGAAAGAGGGCCAAGAAGAAAGACAACAAGGATGAGCCAAAGGAAGAGGAGAAGGGCGAGAAGAACGAGGAGGAAGAGACGGAGGGAAAGACAGGAGAGTTGACGCCAAGCCCAAAGGAGGTGAAGAATGGAGAGAAGGAGGAGCCGCAGACAGACAAGGAGGTTGAGAAAGATGAGAAGAAGGCCGACAAGAAAGTTGGAGAAGGGAAGACCAAGGAGGACTCGAAGAAAGTGCCGCCAAAGTCTTTTGCTAGGCGCTATCAGCCCTCGACCGAGCCTGGAAAGGCCCGATGGGCTGCCATCAAAGCGGTTTTCGAACAGGAGATCAAGCCACATGTGAGCCACCATTCCAAAGTCCAGGTACGGTTTGGGAAAACACTAAAGATATGCATAAATTCCATCACAAGTAGAATTATTCCCAGCCTATTTTTCAAAGTACGAGACCTGCATCCGCCATCATTATCACCATCATACATCATTACAGGTTTTTACCCCCACAAAAAAATCATGTAGTAAGAGTTCGAAGGTCACCCACCACAAATGGAGTAATTCTTTCCCTTAGGTTCACTTCTGGAATGCCTGCATGGCTTCCCCAATCCTGATGAGCAGCGACGGCTTTGACGCCTTCGTCGAAGCTGCGAAGCGTGTGGCAGCCACTCTCTCCTTGGACTGAGCAGTGAGCGGATGTGAGCAGGGGGTGACCTTGGGATGGAATGCACCACTGTGTGTGGGGTACTCATTCGGTGGGACTGTTTTCCTTAGACCTAAGGTCTTTCGATTCTGAGTTCCCGTAAACTATTTGGGTGGCAGCTGGGCCATGCCTGATTTGAGGGATAGCAAAACAACCTTCATTTCCAATGGCCATGCCAGCAAAAAATCAACTGCTATGGCTTTGATCGCACAGATCAAAAAGACATTGGCTCCCAATGCGATTTGAATTGCGGCAAGATGTTGAATCCTTAACCCTTGTCTTGTCAATCAGTTTCATCCCAAATCCATATGACAACCTGCTCCCCATAGATTCGGTCCTCTTCCGTTCCTTCGGACAGGCTTTGATATCTCCGATGGTGCAAAGAAGAACCTATGCCAAGGCGTGGCAATGCCAAGAATTTCCATTTAGCTATACCCTTAGCCCAGCTATCAAATCCGGAGGCGGAAAGTTGAACGCCAAGCGGGCGGCACACCCGACCTGTTTCCCTGGTAGTTAACCAATTTCTTTGAGTTGGCATTGAGCATTATCAGTTTTTACTTACTGTCTCTGGCTTGGCTTTTAATAGCATGTCAAATGCTGCAGTACTTCGAAGCCGTCTTTTTGCTCCTTGAATGCTTTGGGGCCTTTGGGATTTGGAGCCATGACACCTGCTTCTTTGCTAGTGGTAGTCCAACGGCTTATGTTGCTGAGTGTGCCTAAGGAGAGTTTTGAGCCTGTTCGAAAATTGTGTGATTTTTGAAGTATTCTAAAATTAATTCACACAACTTTTCTTGTTCCAGAATCCTTTTTTGTACGTCAGGAGTTCATCACCATTGTACTTCTCAGTGCTTGGATCGACCTACCACAGCTTGAGAGCTTTGAGGTGTTAGAATTTTACGCAGGACAAGCCCGGGTTAGCCGCTACTGTGCTCGTCAGGGATTCAAGACTGGGAGTTTTGACATCAAATACGATCATCCTAAAGGCCTGTCAAACTTCAATGGTTTGCCGAGACGCTCACATATGGACATGAACTCTCCAGCAGGATTTATGTCTCTTGTCTTGTCATTCAAATGTACGGGTTTAAATATTTTGAAACACATAAATGTTCTGCCATGCGCCCTTTTATGTACATTCCGCATGATGGCCCAGGTTGGCAGTCAGGATGATCCTGGAAGGTGCTTGGGGTGACCTGTCAGGGGTACTGGCCCCTGTCTGCAGCAGCTTCTATGCCACTAACAGAGGGACAGCAATGAGAGATCTTCTCAATGCCTGGGGGAATTTTTTTCACCCATCAGTGGCATGTGGGAACAAAATGATGTCCAGGACTAGGGTATAGCCAAAACTGCCGCTTGTTTCTAACTTTGATGGCGTAGTGCTCTAATAGTGGGTTCTGCGGGGTTGTTTGGGAGGACCATTTTGCTGGTGGTTCTCATCATTGTGATGGATGGCATGTACTTGTTGGAACAGCCATTTGGGTCGTCAATTGAAGATTACCCTCGGTTCCGATGGTTGGTCAAAGTCTTCCGGCAGCTTCGTATTCCAGTTTCATGGCAATCTATGCTGTTGAGGATTTGTTTCACCATTGAACCATAGTGAACCATTATAATGTAATGCAAATGATGGAGGATTCATCGAAAAATTGGTGCTACTTTGATTTGGTTTCTGAAACAAGTGTCATAGGGTTGTATCCCTGGCTCCTGTTACTTAGGTGTTCCGTCAACACTTTTGGATGAAGCACCATGGAGCTGCTACATCAAAACGCACTATGATTTTAAGTAGCACCCCCCGCATCGGAGCATTGGATGGTGGGAAGCTGGCTACAAAGGGGCGCAGTTCAAAGGTCAAACTAGCTCTCGGTTATGTAGATCGCTCTGGGAAGAAACGGTGGCATGGAACTTCTGCTTTGAAGGGTTCTCAGCTCCTAGCCAAAATATTATGGATGTATTCAGCATGTTCAGGGGTATTCAAGCTGGTCCGCCAAGAGAGACCCCAATAAAAGGTTTCTTGATGGTTACTGGGGGAATTCTAGGTGGTTCTGTCACAAAATGTTTGCAGATCAGGCTTTCATAGGAATTCCGATGATATCATCCTGTTTGTTTGGCACCCGCACAAAGGACTTACCCTGCTCCCTTCGCCCGGGCCGTGTATGACCTGATTTGTGGGTGGAAGCACTCTCCCAAACCAAAGTACTTTGCCAAAGTGGCTTGGATTAGCTTAGTGAAATATAAATAGTTCCATGTCAGTGCATTTCCTTGGTTTTATGTCTGTTGAAAGAATTAATTGAACAGTCTCCCCAATCCCCAGGTCAAGATGGAGCCTGATGTCGTGGGTTCCTTCCAGGCCTTCCAGGCAGAGGCCTGGTCGGAGGCTGACTTGGGACCCGTGGTCCAGTATGGCAGAGGAAGCACTAGATTAACCATTCCAAAGGAGTGGCAGATCTATTTCACCTAGATGTAAAATCAACATCACCCAATGGAGCTCTTGCAAACTGAAAACCCTCAAAAAAAAATGTCTATCTGAGACGGCGTAATTATGCAATCAAACGGCGTAAATTCGCAATCAAACGGCGTAAATTTTTCAGGATGGTTTTTGAGGGTTTTCAAACCAATTAGTCTTAGACCTTCTGAAAGCCAAACGGCGTGTCTTGACCACGCTTGGGAGCAAACAGGTTGTGTTGACCCATTACAAACCTCGAATAGGGCTCAAATCTCTCAAGTCACTTTCTGAAGACCATTCAAAAGCATTTTGAATTGCAGCCATCGCTTCAGATTCAAGATTCTTTAGGTTTGTAGGTCAGGATCACTGATGTCGGGTGCTTTGAGTAGACAATGGAGCTCATCGACCCTTGTTTATGGGGCAAAAGCAGTGGCCGAACAGCCCAAAGGGTTCCTGGCATCAAAGTCTGATGCTGAACTTGAGGCAGAGCTGGCTGCACCTCGCTTGAGCACAAGAACCACCAAGAAATTTACCGCACAAGAACCACCAAGAAATTTACCATCACATACCATGATACGGGGTAGTTTGCCAATTTTTTGCATGGACTTCCAGAAAATAAAGGGACCTTGTTCTTTTAACTGGTGTTTTTCCCAAACGAGGCCTTGCAATTCTAGGATTCTCTCAGACAGGGGGTGTTGGATAGTTTGGGAATCTATAACTCCAGTGGTTATCAAAACAAAACAACATGAAACTGAAAACCATGGATTGTTCGTAGGACCTGCAGTCATGTACATCAGTCCCAGCCGATAATGTGAGGTGGCCCCTTATTGGATGTGCAGTTGTGAATACGGATGAGGTATGATCTGGTGATAACCCCATCTTCGAGGAAAAACAATAATGGGCTGGATACCATTTACTGTTTGAGGGTGCGCATTGAACTTGGCAATTTGTTCTAAACTTAAATGGAAACCAAGCCCCCGTTGGACAAAGAAATTATCCATCTTCTACAACTTTCAACGGGGCCCTTGTAAAATGATTCGGGATCCGATATGATGACTGTGAGCCCATAGTGCCCCTAAGATAAGTTTGCCTTTGAATTTGCACAACCACTAACAAGACCCTAACCAGCTTGCAGAAATTGGGACTCTAGCGTTTTTAGGGGTTCATGCAGCCAACCGTATTCTTCTCAGGCGTATGAGGGCATGATGGCAGCCCCACCAGGGATGCCTGCTTCTTTGGCTCCCCCAACTGGCCCGACCAAGCCTCCTCAAGCTGCACAGACAGAATCTCTGTCTGCGCGGACAGAGGCGGTGTCCACTCCTAGCAGCAATAGCGGTAGGTCCCCATCGGTTGAGATTGTGGAGAACAGGGGGGGCAAAGGTTTGTGGGGATCATTGAATCCAGAGGATTGGCCTGACAACCAGGAAGGCCTTGAAACTAGTCCATATGCTCCAACTACTGTGGGCACTCCAGCCAAGACCTTGACTGCTGGACGGGCGCCTTCTGTAGCCTCACTAGCCTCTATTGATGATACTCGACACCCCCGGCCACAAGCAGGTGCCTTGCACTTGTCCGAAGCGGCGATCGACCAGAGGCTCCGCCGCCTCATGAAACCAAAGGCCAATGGTGAGATCAAGGTATCCCAAGATATCACTGAAATGTATAAGAAGGGTGGCAATTCCAAAAAGAATGTGTTCCACATGTTTCAAGATGCCGGCTACGACATCGAAGCTGGTTTTGAATTGATAATTGCCTGGCATATTTCAACAATGTGGGGCCCCCTAGATAGCTAAGTTGGTTCTTAACTCCAATGACTATGGTTTCAGATGCTTATAACTATATTTACTGGGGTTTATAAACAATCTTATAACTGGGGGGCTCCGCATTGAAGCTTTTGATTTTGTAGCTGTAAATGTAGCCCTGCATTCTTAGCCTTTCCTCAATACTTAAGATATTCAAACCATTTCAAACCATATTCTATCACGCAACTGGCTCTATACTAAATAATTAATCTTGTTTCAGGGGTTGCCCTTTCAAATCTGGTTCTGAAAAGGCCACATGATTTACCTAAGTCCATCAAACGGCATACCCCTGAGGAAACCTTCAAAGTGGAGGTTGAGATCTTGAAGAAGGAGTACACGGACACCAACACGAAGATCGAAGCCGAATTCGTAAGTGAGGCATTCATGGCCGATGAATGGGGTTGGAGTGCGAACCTTTGTCATTCAAATTTCACCCTCCGAAGGCCTTGCAACCCCCTTGGAGTGGTACAGGTTGGGTTTACACCTATATTTGCCTGTATGTGATAATAGATAGGAACACATGGTTGATTATTGTGATGGTTCATGGCTGGCAATCCCATGGTACTTATTTACTGAACGACTGAGGCATTACTGTTCGTGATATCTCCCATTTTTTTGCTTCACCTGCCGCGTGCTGAGGAAGCGCATCGCTGCAGTGGTCAAATTCTGCGAGTCGGATCCCAAAAAGTTTATGAGGCACACCCTGGAAACAATGGTCAATCCCAATGAAATGCATATCAAAT